ATCTCACGGAACAGTTTGTCGATATATTCGCCCGCGCCAGATAGATGCAAAATGTGCGCAATGGCACGGTGCGTCGCAAGCAGCCGCGGGGATGGCATGTCAATATTCTCGGTGTTAAAGAGTGTGCGCGTGACTGGCAGGCCTGCATTGCGCTTCAATAAGGGTGGATCAAAGGAATCGATTTTATACATCGGCCGGTCCGAGGACGATGCCGGCATTTCGGTGAAAAACATCTGGAAGCGGCCGAACATTCTATGCATCGTTTGAGTAAGCGTAAACGCATTATGCGCCCGGTCGATTTCGATGGCCTTAATCATGCTAATAACACCCGTGTCAAACATGTTAAGGAGATTGAGTGTTGCCTTTCTCGACGCATTCTAGGTGTATACTATTAGTATAGTTAGTTAATTTATATAAGACTGCAGGCAAGACTTGCAAGTTCTAGGTTTTCCTTTAAGTCGGTTTTGGTTAAGGAATGCAGGAAGATATGTGCCACCTCTAATTCCTGCGCAAGGATCTGATCATTTAGCAGCAACATGCCATCGTCATCGCAAGCTTGGTCACCGTCCCGCATTTCCCGCAGCATAAACTCTTGACGGCTAAAGGCACGACTAATAACGCATCTAAAATGGTCACGCTTTAAGCACGCACCGCGGAGAGTGCTAACTCGGTCAACTGTTCCAACCTCTAAGTGATCCGAATTAAGCCTCTATACAGCGGAGTCGTACTTAGGAGTTGGCTGGGCTGTTTTGCTGCCTAAAGCCTTTACTAAGTTAAGAAAAGATGCCTATTAGTAGCGGGAACAGGGCCAGACACCAGCCGGTTTTAAAGACGTCGACGTACATGGCAAGAAAAACGATTCCATCAGGTAGGTGGCAAAGCCCTTAAAATCAACCGCTAAGGAATCGCAGTCGATGCTTTCTTGGCTATCGAGAGGGATCCCCATAGAGTCGAAAAATACTCGAAGAAATTTATCTTTAGATAGTTTAGACCGTGCATATTCGTAGGTGTGCTGAATCAACAGTGGCTGGCTATAAGGCTTGTTACTTCCCGGCAAGGCCCGAAAATGCTGCACGATCTGGTAGAACCGGGTTTTGCCTCGCACACGTTGACTCTCGTTTAGACCATTGGAGAAGTCAAGTACACCCTCGAAAGACGACTGGTGGCGAAGCCGGGGCGGCATTGTGGTATGCGTACTCGTAGATAGAAATAAAACACACGGTCCTTTGCATCGAGAATAAACAACTCCACTATATTAGTTGTTAGATGCCTGGCGGGTGATTGTGTTTTGCCATTTCTGACCGCCTAGCTTGTTAGTGTATCATTTTAGCTGCGAGCTACGCTTACTAACTTGTGGGTGAACATATGCCCTTTGGCTTTTCTCCATATCCTTCCTCACTAGCCGAAGCGGGAAAATTAAATTGCCTTCGGCTGTAGTGAACGGGGGAACGGAGGTGGAGAGGGGTGCAGATTGTAAATACGATCAGATTGCGGTGCTTTGCTTTATACGGAGTTCAAACTAGTCATATACCAATTTCCCCAGATTTCTGGCTGTCCAAGTAATGAGGCATGGAGAGAGAGCAGTCGGATGAAGCGTGCTCGTATACGATGTGCGGGCGGGCTACAAACAGGCTAAACTCGCACAGTTAGAAGAACGTGGTGCACATAACTGTCTGCATACGTGTAGGGCCTCTTGCGTGATGCAGTGACTGCCTCTGACAGCGCCGTTCAAAATAGACGTGATAGAATAGACGGCGTTATCAAAGTAAATGTCGTATGACAAAGCCTGGTTGGCTAACATGAATTTGGCAAGCCAGCTGTGGCTGCTGTGGCGCCGCTCGGGCGTTTGTTCTGTAGTGCCCCCACGTTGCTGTCTGAATCCTCCTACGAGATGCGGCAGATATGAGTGGGTATGGTCTGTATGGGCTGACACCGGATGCAGATAGGGAACGGGCACAACGGACAGACGGGGTGTGGGCGGAGGAAGGCGACGGCATCATATTCGGTGAATTGGGAAGCGAAACGAGAAAAACACAAAACAGAAAGTGGTAGAATGCACAGAACCAAGCGCCGGCGGTAATTGCCTCGAGGAAGCATCGGCCTGGAACGACTACCCCGGATCGGATGACTAAGGCTTTTCCGAGTACAACGTATTAGCCGGACGGGTGCACATACTGGAAGCAGACACCGGCTAATAAGAAACACGGGGATGTCGGGGTGCAAGGGTTCGCATTGAGCACCAAAAGAGGGGGGTGATCGATGTCTTCAGATCAAACAGCGGAAGAGACGGTGAGTCGCCGACTGTTCGCTTGTTTGCAAAAGGCAGTGACGCAAAAGCACTTGAGAATGAAGAAAGGAAAAACTGTGGATGGAGGCAAGATCCCGAAACGATCCGACACAAGAGGGTCGCGAAAACGATTGATATGGCGGAGTCGCCACATAGGACCTAGATAGATTTGTCACCGTTTGTGGGAGCCGATCGGGTTAAGTCGTCCGTTCACCCGCAATGATCGGGTCGTTGGCTTGTTGTGTAAGTATGCATGTACCTTTGTACCTTATCTCACCGTCCAGCCCGTAGCCCCAGAATCCCGATGGGTACATATGTAAGATACTTGGCTCCTTTATCTTTGCTGCATACTCCGTATTACAGGCACTCGTTACTTGGTGTGCTCCATACTTTCACCCCACACTGCCAGGGCAAGAGAAGAAAGGACGTCGTAGAGAGGAAGGAAGAAAGATAAAGAAAAGTCGGGCGCACGGAAAAACAGATTCCAGGCAGGGACCTGTACGGTGTGGGCGCGAGATGAAGCAAAACAGAGAGGGTCAAGGGTGAGTATCGTATGAAGCATTACTCGTACTATGTAGACCCACTCCAGAAGGGACGGACGCTGTGGGAAAAAGGTCAGAGAGTACGGAGCACGGAGTAGGCGAAATTGGGGAGTACTCCGTAGGGAAGTTACGGCGTACGGACGGAGTAAGAAGGAAGTCTACTCCGTACATAGTTAGCGGAGCTGTCAGGTCAGCTCTGATGTACGGGGTAAGTCTATCCCCATTCAGCATTGCGTGCGCGGTAGTTTTTATTGCTAAGCCACTCCACCACTACTATTTCACTTACTATGTAGAGGATGTGTTTTTCCTATTTGCGCCTGCCGCCCGTAGTGTACACGTCAGAAACCTGCTTGTGTCACAGAGTGGGAGCAAAGCGATGTCGTAAAGGGAAGTAGCTACGCCCGTAAACACACACTCTTGCTTTCAAGGGGAAAGAAAGGAGGGGGGCCAGAGGGACAAGACAGCCAGATAGGGTTTGAGAGACGGGCAAGGAGAGGGAGAAAGACCGAGAGATAGGACGGACTCAGGCTGTGTGCGTTCCCCGGCTGGCCCCCATCTATCCTTGCTCTTTCCGGACGGCAAGAAAGCAGAGTGGTGGAAGTACGGGGGGCAGAGCCTCCCCAGGATGGATTTTCCCCTTCTCGGCAGGCTACCCGTATCTTACTAAGGCGGGATGAGCGAATTAGCAGAAGGCTGCGGTCGTAGACTTTGTCGCAATCTGTCTTGGGGTTTAGACACGTCTGCTGCCGGTCCAAAGTGCCGACGTCTCATAGCTAGACCGCCTCGTCGAGGTTGGTGAGGCGGACGACTGAGATCCAATCGACCGGATTGTCACAAGCCAGCCAGAGAGCCAACCAGCCCAGACGGTGCGACTCCGTTTTGAGACCGTTCCATCTTGCTCCATGCGAGAATGCACCGTCTCTCCGCGTCGCAGAGCAGGTCTCCCGCGCCAGGTTTATCGGCGTCTTAGCGCAGGCCCGCCGGGGCTTGTTACTCCAGGATATCGTCGTCCTCGGATAAAGTCGTACTTGTAGTTGTGCAGCGCCTTGGACCGACGATCTCTTCCAGGCAACGTCCGGCCGTCCTGGTAGCTCGCTCACAAGACATCCACTGGTACTGCCTAGACCGGCTGTATCTTCTGATCTGGGGCTATTGGCTTTACAATCACGCCAGATGACAGACAGGCCAGGTCAGGAGGCGGGGTCTCGTGGGCAGCAAAGGCCGGGGCAACCAAGACAGCCAGAACCAGGACAACCAGGACAACCAGGACAGTACGACGTACAGACAGTCTTGGGCACAACAGGCAGCTCAGCCCCCGCAGTCTGGCAGCATAAGGCCACCTTCCCACTTCTCGTATTGTCTTGCATCCTTGCGTGACCCGAGCACGTATCCGTCGTGCTCTCTGGGAAGGCGCGGCCGACTGGGCTGTGGACGGCCAAAAGACGCAGAAAAAGATGGGGGCATCTCCGGGGTACATCCCCAGCGTTAAGCAACACCTAAGACAGGATGCCCCATGCCCCACGCCGCGTCCATTTCGTCCTTTTACAGGCACACCCCTCCCCCTTCTCAAAGTGTAAGATCTACCCCGTCCGCCGCCTACACCCACTAGCCATGACATGCCACGCCCCTCCCCTCCTTCCACCCAGCTCCCCACATGTGCCTTCAGCAAGGAGCAGAAAAAAAAAGTAAAAAAAAAAAATGAAATAATAGGCGCTTTACCGACCCCGGGCCGTTTCCCCCAACACCCAGCCCATTTATAACCCATTATCTCCCCCCTTCCGAAAAATTACAGACATTCTTCTTGAATTCTGCTACCCCCCCTCACACACACTCTCGCAACACTTCCCCAGTTTATATACCTCTGCAAGCCTGGCTGCTCTTACCGGAGGAAACGGACATTTGCAGCACTGAAGCATCTTTCTGCCGTGGCTTTTGCAACAAAACCCGCTGTAGCACGCACTACCTCAGCTGCTTGCCTTGTCTCTGCATCTTCGAAGACCATAACTCAAAACCAAAACAAAAACCAGCACTGCTCTGCCAACCACACACGCCCTAGCCGAGGACCCGTGCTGACGCTCTGGTTCTCTTTGGCTTTCTGCTCCCTAATTCCTGCCACACTTCTGTCTCGCACGTCTCGTCTGGGGGCTTCTCCCAGAACCACGAGCGACCACATGCAACGAGCTCAGTCTGCAGTGGATTTTTCCAATCTGCTCAACCCCGACTCGGCCGGCTCCGCTGGTGACTCCATGATCCGGCAACAGCTCCAACAGCAGGACGAGATGAGCGACATTGAAATGACATCGGCCGGAAGCACTTCCGGCCTGGCCACGTCTATTCGCCCTAACGGCCCTGTGCCTACCGGCCAGCCGTCGGAGGCTTCGACTGAGATGCCTCGGCCGTACAAGTGCCCGCTTTGCGACAAGGCCTTCCACCGTCTGGAGCACCAGACCAGACACATCCGCACGCACACGGGCGAGAAGCCGCACGCCTGCCAGTTTCCCGGCTGCAGCAAACGCTTTTCCCGCTCGGACGAGCTGACCCGCCATTCTCGCATACACAACAACCCGAATTCGCGCCGCCACAACAAGGTCACCCACATCTCCCACGGCTCCTACGGAAACCCAGAGAGCCTGATGCCGCCGCCGCCAGGCCCCAAGACCATCCGCTCCGCTCCGCCTTCGGCCCTGGGCTCGCCCAACCACTCGCCGCCGCACTCCTTCTCCTCCTACAGCCTGACCAGCGGTCTGAAGCCGCCTTATGGCAGCAACAGTGGCAGCCGTGGTGGCGTCACCTTTGGTAGCACTGCTCCCCAGCAGGCCCACGAAGGCATGGACATCAACCTGCTCGCCAAGGCTGCCCACCAGGTGGAGCGCGAGACACTGATGGGTCCGCCCTCACACTTCTCCTCGCCCTCTTCCTCGCGTCATCACAGCCACAGCAGCAGCAGCCACCACCTGCTGCACCACCACCACCACAACGGCAACCACCATCACACCAGCCCGCCCTCGTCGTACTACGCCCACTCGGCCCACTCTTCGCGCAGCCACCTGCCGTCGCTCTCGGCCTACCACATGTCGCGCAGCAACTCGCACGAGGATGGCAACCATGGCCCCAACTCAGCCAGCACCTCGAGCAGCAGCAACGGCGACGAGCACTACGCAAACAACTACCGCATGCCCAAGCGGTCGCGACCCAACTCGCCCAACTCCACGGCCCCGTCTTCGCCGACGTTCTCGCACGACTCACTCTCGCCCACGCCCGACCACACACCGCTGGCCACACCGGCGCACTCACCGCGGCTACGGCCCTTTTCCAGCACGTACGAGCTGCCGCCGTTTCGCCAGCTGTCGCTGCAGTCGCATACTACGCCCGCCTTGGCGCCACTCGAGCCACAGCCCGACTCGTCCAAGTACACGGCGCCCAGCTCGACCGTCACGCGGAGTAGTAGCGGCATGTCTCTCAGCGACATCCTCAGCCGCACAGACGGCTCGCAGAGGAAGCTGCCGGTGCCACAGGTCATGACCAAGGTGGTGCCAGATCTCCTCATGCCGAGCGACGGCTTCAACCTCAGCGGCCGGAGCTCCACAGCCAACAGCATCGCGGGCGGCGACTTGATGGAACGCATGTGAACTTGTCGGGAAACGATTTCATGACCAGCCTTTTTTTTTTTCATGACCGGGTGGGCTTTTTACAATTAGAACTGGGAGGGCACACGAGAATATAGATCGGAGAGCGGCGTTTCGTTTTGTTGTTTTTTGACGTCTTACGTCTTGCATGTTCAGTTTTACATGTTTGGTGGATTTTTTTCCCTTTTTCGGTGGGAGACCCAGGGGTCAAGTGTATTAGATTTCCGGCAGAGGCAACAACAGAAACATCACCTAATCATGCATTGACGATGTTTACAACACGTTGGATTTGCCTTTTGTTTTTTATTCTCTTTTTTTGTGTTCTCGTTTGTCGTTTCTGCCACTGTTACGAATACCAGAGTAGTATAGTTTTTCCTCTCATTCCTGATACCTCCACCCTTCCCTTGGCAGATGCTGGGGAAAGGGGCTCGTCAATGACAAGCCATGCGTTTTCACTCTCCCATACTTATTGTGCACTACCCACGTACCCCTTTCTACCGGCATACAGTTGCTGTGATCTGTCCGCTATTACGTCGCGTGCCTGCTCTGCGAGTACTATGTGTGGTCCATTCACGTCCTCATGCCTATCTCTCGCATCGAGTCTCCAATTTTGTCAGCGGGGCGCATTTGCTTCAACGTGGTCCGTACTCCGTACTCGGTCTTCGGTTTCTTTTTCCCTTTTTCTTCCCTTTTTTTCCACGAGTGCTTTATGCGCACTCTAAAACGAGTCACATACGCGTAAGGATGCTGTATGTGATCAAGAGCATCTTCCGATCTGGCGATTCCAGCGTCTCCGGAGAGGTCCGCGCATACTGTGGTACGGAGTACTAGTAAACGAAAACTTACGATGCCCGGAAGCCGTGGACGAAATACTCGTACGGCAGTGTATGGGGCCTGGCTTAGCCGTAAATTAGGAGTTGTCTACCCCACCGGGTTCACCCCCTCCCCAGACAACAGACAAAATAGCGGGGATGCGCAGTGCCAGTTCCCGTACACGTAAGATAGTAAGATACTCCGTACTCGTATTACCGATGGTGGGGTGAAACGGCAGACATATCCGCCGGCAGCATGAAGATATATTACCTGTCCTGCAGGCGGCCTGTGGTACAGAGAGACGAGACATGTCCGTATTGCAGAAGCCACGACGCGAATGCCATTGATTGCCATGGCCTGCACTCCGTTCTCGTACTCCACATCTCATGTATCGCATGCCTCCAGAGGGAGGGCATAAAAACCTCATGCCACAATTGCTTTTTTCAGCGTGACTGGACCAGCTGCGTTTTCTCGTCGGCACACCGCCAGTCCCCGGGGAGACCGTTCGAAAAGAGGTCTTGTTTCCCACCCACCCTCTCTGAATCGAGGCCATTCTCGCGCTGACTGGCCCCAGCAGCTGTCTTTGGGGGTTTCATCTTGCGCCAGGTCCTGTTGGGGATTGGGCGAGAAGGGATTGTGCTAGGTCATCGACGGTCTGGAACCTGCAGACCAGCCAGCACACCTGTGCTGATTTCTCTTCTCTCCTTTCTTTTTCCTTGTTTTCCTTTTTTTTCCCTTTTTTTTCCCTTTTTTCTGTCTCTAGCTCTCTTCTCGTTCGTCCTTGCTGCCATGCGCTGTGCTCTGGCTTCTGCCGCTGGCATATCTCCCCACACAGCCATCGGGACAGTTCGCACTTTCGTTTCCGTCACCATGTCCGATACGGAGTGGGAGAGCTGGCAAATGAGACGGAAAAAGGCCTCCGTTCCGAGGATGGGGCCAGGAAGAGAGACCCTCATTGCTCGATCTGGGGGCGCCTGTGCGTGAGATGCCCGAATACATACATAGTAGTATCTTAGTACCTTGACAAGGGTGTAGAGATGCAGCAAATCCTCTAGCCTCTGCTGCCGTCTGCAGGCTGGTCCTATAGGAAGGGGGATCGCCCACTTGGCTGGGCATGCGTCCTCCAGGTTGCAGTGCAGGGGACCTCTTTGGCTCTACATTGTAAGATACGAGTATCACTCATACAAGGCGAGCGCAGATCGAGGGGCGCTTCTCTGGTTGTCGATGCACGCCCAGCCAGGTCGACAGCTGGGAGACGAGGAGGCTTCTGGCTGCCCGTCTGTCTGACTTGTCGCCCGTCGAGCCAGACCTCGCGCAACGGTGCAAGGGCCTGGCTTGCCGTTTGGCCGGAATGGGCGATATGCCGACCCCCACGCCGATGGTACCATACTATGTATGCTGAGATTGAGTTCCGCCTAGCTCCTGCCTGTACGGAGTACGAGTACAGGGTGGTTGTCCCCTCCCTGCTCGTACGGCGGCAGCCAGACCGGTTCGATACCGTCGTTCCGGACCATTCTCCTGCTGTTGCACGGCATTTATTTGCAATGTTTGCGTAAGCGAGGAAAAGGAACGCAGTCAGATGTGTTCCGGACAGCTCGCCATACACGATACTATGTACGGAGTGTGGTAGGCCAGTCGTTGCTCGGGGGAGGGGTACCGTTATTACTTCGTAAAATACATAATACACATAGTATGTAGTAAGTCATCTCGTCCCCAGACTTCCACCCCAGAGACTCCAACCCCTTAAATCCCCCCCTAAGGCCAGCCAGGGCCGCCCCGCAAAGCCGGGGCATAGACGTGCTAAAAACAGAACAAGACAGCGCTAGGAGGACCAGCCACGGAGTGACAAGCCAGGATGCCAGACAAGGAAGGAGCCAGCCGGAACAACAGGAGCGAGAGAAGCAGGCAGAATCGCTAATTTGTCCCACGTTCTTGCGACATGGCCTTCTCGCTGTGGGTGATATACGACACGAGCCGGGCGACACGACGATCCTTTGGCCAGCCTCACCCACGGGGCCCCCCGGAAGCGTTCCAGCGGCCGTACTGGATACTGGCTGACGGATAGCGTCAGAAGCTGGAGAAAAGGGTGGGCCAGAGGACACCTCTGCCGCTGTCGCCTTTTGCCCAAGTGTCTTTATTATCCTACTTTCCAGATATGGCGACGAGGCAGCCTAATGGCTTTGATTTCTCCCCAGTCCATGATGCCTTGCCTCGTCTGGAAGCTCACCGCCTCCTCTGCCACGTAGTTTCAACACCCTCAGCCGAACCGGTGACGGAATTGCAGCCAGGAGCGGCCGGACGGGTGCATGAGACAATGGTGAGCTGGGGGCCCTCTCGCCCCTTCGCTTTAGACGGCTTAACGATCTCGATGCTGCAGATGTAACATGACAATTCTCCTTGAAGAGCGGTCACGTTGTGTATCCCTCCATTTCGTACGGAAGAAACAACGACGAACAGCGAGCACGCAGGGCGAAACGAATATTCCGACGGGAAGAGGAAACGAGGCGAGAGGATTCAAAATAGGCGGAACGCTAGGTACGTGTGTGAGTTGGTCAACTTCTTGTCCTGGCTTGTGTCGGAGGGGCGTGTCTCCAACAAAACGACAAACGGATCGGATGGCATCCTTTAAAACTGTGTGTGTGCCCGTGCTCACCTACAAAGACGAGTGCTTACATGAGAAACTGTTTCCATCCCGGTCTGACGCCGCCCTTGCATGACTCTCACCCCCATTATGGATATTTATTATACTTACATTCTCTTCTGGGGAAAAGGCGTTCTCCCTACATTCTGGGCTGTTTGCTCGTAAGACACCGATATGCAGGCCGTTGATGTTATAGACCAGGCTGACTAAGCGTCAAGCAAGCTCCGTTTGAAGCTCCGTTTTGTGTTTTGTGTTTTCTAATTTCGAGGCGAGACGACCAAAAGGTGCATGATATTGACGGCTGTGCTTGCCTGGGTGCACAGCATGCTGAGCGCACAACAGCACGCTCGCTGGTCACAGAAGCAATACGGTGGGAACATAGCACAGCTGACAGGGCCGACTAGCCTTGCCCAGAGACACTTCCAGCAGAACAAAGTTCACGCCATCTGTACATTGCATCAGTAGCCAAGACAGGTTCAGCAGAGGTGCCCCGCCAGAGGGAGCGGTTCATGGGTTCGCATTTCGGCCCTTCTGTCTGATTGCATGTGTCTCGTGTCTCGGTATGGTGACTAGAGTGGTTTTAGATTATCATACAAGGCGAGATCAAGATGGAATGGTTTGTCCAGGCGCCAGGCAGCGGAAATCGAGATCCTCTGCCGGTCCGGGCGACAAAGGACGGCTGTCACGTTGGGATAATCGTACAAGTAGTATCAGGAGATTGTGGTGGTCTTGAAGCCGGGCCGATATCGGCTAGGCAGGCGAGCGACAGACGGTGCTGGCGCGACTGGCTGCCGTGATGACGGCCGTCTGGTTCGAGTGTCCTAAACGGGCAAGTGCGAAGAGGCTTTACTCGGGGTTTGGCCTTGGAAAAACGGGGATCCATCTGCAGAGATCGCCAGACGTCTTTATCTCTTTCAGTGCCAATCCATGCGGTTCCGCGCATGCACACCTGCAGCGTGCAGACTGTGCAGACAGAAGAGCGCAGCGTGTACGAGTACTTGTACTTGTACACGTATGTGCACATGCAAATTGTGCAGAAGGAAGGATCACCCCCCCACACACGTCCTAAAAGAAGTGCATGTTCTCTTTTGACCAGCCCATGTCGAGGAAGATCTGCCGCACGCTTGCCTCCATCGGCTCCGGCCCGCAGACGAGCACGAGGACGTTGTTGTCGCTGCTGTTGCTGGCCGTGGCTGGCCGTGGCTGGCCGACTTCTCGCTGGAAAAAGGCGGCATCCATGAGGCCGCAGAGTCCGGTCCAGCTGCCGTGCTTTTCTGGCCTCGAGAGCACGTGGACGACGCGAAAGCGATCGGGATGGGCAACGGCTAGGGCGTCCAACTCAGCGCGACACAGGATGTCGGCCTCGGTGCGGTTGCCGTCCAGCAGCAGACACTGGGTTGGGTCATCGGCGGCGGACGTGGCTAGCACTGTCCGCAGGACCTGGAAAACGGGCGTGATGCCGCTTCCGCCACACACCATGACAAAGCGCCGCACCTGCCGGTGTCGTACGGCCTTGCCCGAGCCGATGGCACAGCAGCCGTGGCCGAGATACGCAAAGTGACCGATGGGACCCTTGAAGTCGACCGCGTGACCGATTGGCAGCGCGTTGAGCGCCTGGGTCATGCGGCCGCCCGGCTGGCCCGGTTTGTCGTGGTAGATCTTGATCAGCATGTCTAGCACGCCGCGAGCCGGCTGTCCGGGCAGGTCCATCGACAGCGGCGTGTATGCCCGCATGAAGGCCTCGCGCGTTGCCGGGTCGCGCAGCCGCACCATCAGATGCTGGCCCACCGGCAGTCCCAACAACTGGTCTGCGTGGTCCAGCCGGAACGAGAAGATCTTGGTGTCGGCTGACACTGCTGTTTTGGCCGTCAGCAGTGCCTTGCTCCACCGTCGAGACTGCAAAAACACCGGCCGCTGCTGCTCGTTTTCTGCCTTGTCTGCTGCCTCGCCTCCTCCAAGAGCTGCCACGGCTGCCTTGTCCAGAACGCCGACATGGTACGCCGCCATCATTCGCTTTGCTTTCTCCGAGTGGATCGCCATGAACTCCTCCGTCACATCCTGCGCCGCTGCTGCTGTGATCGATGGCGCCCCTCCTGGATGGCCGCTCAGAAACTCGGTTCCGTCGTACACGTGACCCTGCACCACAAACCATGGCTCGTCCTCGTTGTTGTGTGCCTGCAGCTCCTCTAGCGTGACGACGTGTCCGGTCTTCGTCTCGTCCGTCATGCAGATTTCCTGGGCCGCCTCGGCCTTCTGTCTGTCTCTCGCTGCTGTCTCGATGTCTCTGTCCTCCCCCTCTGGCTCGCCTCCGGTCTTCTCGCCCCAGAAGCTGTTCGTCAGGTTGCCGCCCGCCTTCTTCACCCGCTCCATCCATCCGTGCTCTGTCGATCGCGGTGGCGCCGGGTGCTCGAACCATAGCATGTCGTCGTTTCCCGACTGCGCCTTGTGGATCACCACCCGGAACCACGGGTTGTTCATCATGCCCAGCACGCTCCAGTACATGTCTCGCGGCTGCACCATCATCGAGTCGTCCATGCTGCGCACCATCAGGTCGTCTGCTGTCTGCAGATCGGCCACCGACACGTCCACATTCCAGAAGCACCAGCAGAAGCTTGTCGACCGCTCGCCCATCACGTCGATCCGCCCGCCGTACAGCATCTCGCCCTCTGCCGCCAGCCGGTAGCGGTCCTCCGGGTATTCCACGTCGGCCAGACGCCACGACCGGCCCCTGTCCAGGGTCACCTCCACCCGCGTCACCCGCTTGCCGCCACCTGCGTATGCATACCCCCGCACGTTGTACGTCTGGCCGCCGCCGCCGCTTCTCGCCAGCTGTATTCGCTCCTCGTGTGCCGGGAAGCAGATGGCGCTGTTCGTATTCAGGTCGTAGATCGCGTACCGCTCGTCCCGCCACATGTCCGGCAGGTCTGCACTCGCCTCGGGCGAAATCATCGTCGGCAGCACCCGGTTGTCGTAGATATGGTACCAGCTGTCGCTCGGCTCTGCCGCCACGATAATCCGTTTCAGCCACTTCACGCTGCGGCCCCCAATGTTCCCTGGCACCACCACACGCAATGGCTTTCCGTGGTCCGGCGGTAGTGGCTCGCCATTCATCTTGTAGGCCACCAGGATGCCTCGCTCCGAGTTCCGTGCCCAAGCGAGCTTGACCGACGTCCCGTAGTGTCCGTTGGGCAGCTTGTCCGCGCCTTCGAACCGCACATACATGGCACCGCGCACCGGCTTCGCTCTCTCCAGCAGGTCGCTCAGTGCTACCCCCGTCCAGAGCGCTGTCGACAGCCCGGAAGCACCCCAGGAGAAGCCGTTTGTCTTGCGCACAATATTCTGTTCCTTGCGCCGGTTGCCTGCACACACAAGCGTCACCGGGTATGTGAGCTGCTCGTAGTCGGCAAGCAGCTGTCGTAGCGTCATCTTCATCGGCTTCTTCACCATGCCCTCGATCGAGAAATCCCAGTCCATCACGTCCGCGTCTTGCACCTCTGGCACCGCGCCATGGTTTCTTACAAAGTGCAAATTCTTTGTCGTCAAAAATCCCTCCTGGTAGAGCTCTGTCATCGGCGGCTCGACATTAAACGGGTGCACCCCCGTCAGCCGAATCAGCCGCGGGTCTCGTTGCACATGTCGGTCTGGCGTCTTCAGGTCCTCCATTAACACGCTGACAGGCTTTGCTGCTGGTGGAAGTGGGTATGGCCGCTGCCATTTGCTGTCATCGCCGAGCTCTGTGCCAGAAGAAATCGAACCTGATTCGATGTCCGACTCTGTCCAATCTGTTTCTGCAGGGCTTGGCGGCAGCCGGTTAGGGAAGACGACTTTTGCTGTTGGTTGGGTATTTGGTGTGGACGGCTTTGAATGAGACGGTGGTCGCACCGCCGATTCAGGCTGATCGGCCATCTGATCTCTCCTTTTTTTTTTTGTTTTTTCTTTTTTTTTTCCTCTCGTTTCGTTTCTTTTTCTTTGTTTGCTCCTTTATGGAGTACTCCGTACTTCCTTCGCTTTTCCCAAGACTGTGGTCCCGTAAGCAGGCTGTAACCCTACATGGACGATAGGGAGCCTATCTTCTCGAATCGTGAAGCAGAGAGGTGAAGGCGAGCACGGGATAAGACGAGCGTGATTCTCGCGGCCATTTGCAGACACAGCTGTGTCTCGCCAAGATCAGAAGAAGTTGTAAACAGTGCTGCCCAACCAGCTTGCGAAAAAGTGAAAGATAGGAGACGGCTCGGCAAATAATCATTCGAAATGCAGAAATGCTTCTGGTAAGAGGGGCGAAACGAGACAGAATACCGTGAGCACCAGCAATACGGAGTAGGTTTGTGCATCTCCGTTTTTTCCTCTTTTTTTACATTTCCGGGAAACTCTAGTTGTCCGTTTTAAGGATGCGGACTGAGAAGAAGCGCCGTTTTCCAAACATCTTCGTTTCTGGCCCCAAGCAGTCCGCTCAGCTTTGCCATCAGGCGTTGTTCCGTTTGGTGCTCATGCTAGTATTCGGACGTCTCTGTCGACTCTGTTCTCCACTGACTGTGGACCAATGGCGGCCATAGCTTCGACCCGGCTTCATCCAATCCTAGCTAGTTGTTGCCTCCGCGGACTTGATGGTTTCGAGGTCCTCTGGCGTCTTTCGTCTCCTTTTCGGCACCCGTCACTCCCGTCCCTATCACAGGGAACACATTCGTTTACCAGGGTGCTGTCGCAGATAAGATGATTCTCTCGCCAGCTAGGCCCACGCAAGGCCCCGAGAAAGTTGGCTTGTTCTAGTCCTGGGCGGAGATGCTTCAACGGTTGGTATTTAGCGTGAAATAGGAGCACAAAAAACACTCATAAACCATCCAACGGCACTGATCGGGCCTAGATGCCACCCAAGAACACGGTAGCAGTCGGGTCAGTGGAGCGAGATCCTTGGGACAAGCACGTCTTTTCCACGCCTGCTTTCCCATCTCTGGAATGTCATCGGTCTTTGTTTGGCATTGCAGCCGTCAGGAGAGGCGGCACGCCCCTGTGGCAACGAGCTCATCGCCTGCCGTATTCGGCAATAAGATACTACACGGTGATACCTGCCCCTGCCTCTAGGCCAAACAGGACGGGTGCAATCGGCGGTGGAAGCGTGGTGTACAGAGTACGTAGTACGTAAAGTACACCCTTTTATGGAGAATGTGCAGCTATCGTGTTGACTGGCAGTTTTGTGCAAGTAAGCGAACCAGCTGTGACCGGAGCGTCTTGATGACGTGCTATCATAATGTTGTAGGGCTGTACATGAGGCGGCCTTGCTCCATGCGATCGTGAGCTAAACTACCCTGGTGGGATACAAATTTGGGCTTATAAGCTGCAGGCTGCAGCTTACATACTGTACGGAGTACGGAGCAATACTCTGTAACGTACCGTAGTGGTTATGACGGCCAAACAAATAATCCGGATGCGGGGCACGGCGACTGGCTATTGGACGACTTGAATATCGACAGCCAAAAGGCTGCTATGGAGGTTTCCGGGATTTTTGATAGCAAATGAGTGCACAACCGCATGCAAAATACAACAACGCCAAACCGGCTCTCTTCTCTCTGGCCTGACCGACAGGACAGCCTGAGTACTGGCAGACAGAGTTGCTGCGACCCCGATTGGTCTCGACCAGCCTCTTGAGCTTACCCATGTCTACCTCGACCAGCGAGGAGTACAATTTCCGATTTCTCGACCCATCGGTCCCGTAGCCTCTGCTCTCCACCATAGCCAGGCCGTGACTGCGCTCGCATGCCATTTTAACTGATCTGCCATCAACTTTGGTCCGTGGCCAGTCATGGATCGCGCCAGAAAGCGTACATTCCGCCCACCCCGCCGTCTTCTTCGCGCTCGCAGAGCTTCGACCTCACATTCTCCTGGCCCGCCTTGCTAACTATCTTTGTGATAGGCCACCTCCGGGCGCTGAACGAGCGCGCATGGGCAGGCGAGACAGGTGAGCAGACCTCGCCGAGCTTCTGCTGCGTTCCCGCTCGCTCACCACCTTGTTTCTAGATCTCTTCGCCGTCAACAAGTCTCTGGACTCGTCTCTGAAGAAGAACACTGCTTTTATCCGGCGCTTGCGAACGGCCATCTCCTCTGCGACCCTCAACTCCTTCCTGCAAGAAATCGCTTCGCTCAGTCTCAGCAAGTACCTGTCCGAGATCATTTCCGCCTGCTATGAGGGCCTCTGTCGCCTCAAAAACCCCTCCGACATCGAGGCCGGCGTCGAAATCGTCTCGGCTCTCCACCAGCGCTTTGGGCCCTCTGATTTCACCGAATATCTTGGATGGCTGCTGGGCAAGGGCATGGCCCAGCCGGACAAGAGCATGATCAAATCTCAGACCACCGAGGCACGTGAGAAAGACGAAAAGGAGCGCATCACTCTCCAGCGCGTGCTCCTTCGCGTTGTCACTGAGTTGTGGCTCGCCGGCGTTTTGCGCACGCTGGATGATGTCAACCGTCCCGACGATGCTACCAAGGGTGCTGCCGGAAAAACGGCAGACGTCAAGCTTCGAAACGGAGTTGCGAACAAAGCCGGCGCCGCCGATCCCTTTCCGCTGGCCGTCTTGAAAGACCTTCTCGGCCACGACCGCGAACACGTTAACCTTCCTCTGCTTGTCACATTTGTCAAGGCCTTCAGCTGGGATGTACTCGGGGTCAAGGGCGCCGGCTCCGAGAGCCGCAAAATCGGCGACGATGACAGCAGCGCAAAGACAAACGGGCAAACCGACAAGGAAAACGGCAAAGCGGAAACCGAAGCCGCAGCCGCAGCTGATGGTGCCGATCAAGCTCAACAGCTGTCTGCTGTGCAAGGCCCACCGACCGACGAACAGTCGATCACCCCGCGAGAGTTGCAGGAAAAGTTTAAGAGCATCCTCAGCCGCTACTTTGACGATGTAAAGGGCCACTTGGTGCGCGACCAGAAGGCTATCTCGAACCAGTCACGCCGCAATGCCGAGGCCTACGTCAAATCTGGTGAGGTTTTTGAGGACCGCCAATCAAACTTCGAAAAGCAAGTCAAAGCCCAGGAACGGCTTGTGGCCAATGCTCAGGTGATCGCTGACGTTATTGGCGCCGAGATGCCCGAGCTCAAAGACGGAGAGGATGGTCCTTCTGCCACTGGTGGATCGATCGGCATTGTCAAGGCTGGGGACTACCTGCGTGACCAGGGCGAGGGGGCGGGCATCTGGGAAGATGAGGAGGAGCGCCGCTTTTACGAAAACCTGGTTGACTTAAAGGGCAAGGTGCCAGCCATTCTCCTAGAGGATGTCAAGAAGAAAAAGACCGATACGGACGAGCAGGTGGGCAAGAAGGCCGACCCGAGTGAAGGGCCGGAACCCCCGAAGCCAGCGGACAGTGCTGGGACCACCGTCTCGACCGACGAGCTGTCCACTTCGATTGTGAACAAGAGTATCGGCGCCCAGGTCGATACGCTTCTTCTTCGACTGCCCGACTTGACAAACAAGGATGTCATCGACCAGACAGCCATTGATTTCTGCTTTTTGAACTCCAAGGCATCGCGAAACAGGCTCGTCAAGGCACTCACCGAAGTTCCCAAAGGACGCAGTGATCTCTTGCCGTGCTGGGCTCGCCTGGTGGCGACTTTGGGACGATATATGCCCGACATTCCCAGGGGCCTGGTGGAGCACCTCGACGCCGAGTTCCGCAGCCTCCAGCGCCGCAAGGAAAAAGACTTCCTCGGCCAGGTACGCCTCAGCAACATCCGCTACTTGGCCGAGCTCACAAAGTTTGGCATTGTCCCCGAGCATGTCGTCTTCCACTGCCTCAAGATCAGCCTGGACGACTTCTCGCGCATGAATATTGAGATAATATCCAACCTTCTCGAGAACTGTGGCCGCTACCTGCTGCGCAGCCCGGAAACCTCTCCACGTATGGTTTCCTTCCTGGAGACCCTCCAGCGGAAGAAGACGATGCAGCACATCGGGCAGACCGAGAGAATGTTGATCGAAAATGCCATATACTATGTGGACCCTCCGGAGCGGCCTGCCATCCAGCAGAAAGAGAGAACGCCTATGGAGCTGTTTATCCGAAAGCTGCTGTACGTCGACCTGAGCAAGCGCAACGCCAACAAGATTCTAAGACAGGTCCAGAAGCTGCACTGGGAGGAAAAGGAGGCAAGTATTCCTATTAGGCCTCAGTCGTTGTGTTTTTCACCCCTCTGTTCTGTGCCCTAACGTCTGCGCCCAGGTCGTCGAGCTTTTGAGAAAGGCGTTTTCTCGTCCTTGGAAGGTCAAATATGGGAATGTGCATCTTCTTGCCGGACTCCTCAGCGCTCTCTATCGGCACCATTCTGCTTTTGTCATCAATATTGTCGATGGCATTATCGAGTCGGTCATCTTCGGACTTGAACAGAATGACTTTCGTCAAAACCAGCGACGCCTCGCCGAAGTCAAGTATCTCGGGGAATTTTATACATACCGCCTGCTGGAAAATCCTGTCATTTTTGACATGATGTACAAGATCTTGACGCTTGGTTATGGCGGGCCGCCTATACCCGGCCGCCTCAACCCCTTGGATCTTCCGGATGAATATTTCCGCATCCGCCTCGTCGCCACTATTCTCGAGACCACAGGAACCTATTTCAACAAGGGTCCAGCAGGCAAGAAGTTGGATTACTTGCTATGCTTCTTCCAGGTGTGCATAATTCGTGCTATGCGTATGTTGTGTTTCTACGACTAATACCGTCATCAAACAGTACTACATCTTCACAAAGAATCCTCTGCCGATGGACATCGAGTTCATTGTTCAGGACACGTATGCTCTTGTCCGACCGCAGTGGAAGTTGGCAACCAATTTTGAGGAAGCACTCAAAGCATTTCAGCTTGCGAGAGCCCAAGACCAGAAGACTACGGGTGTCGAGAAGGTCATAGACCAAGACGACGGCGCTGCATCTGATGACGAGTCTTCAGAGGATGAAAACGAAAACGGGGATGATTTAGGTGTGGCCGAAGCGGAGGGCGACGAAGATGCATCTTCGGCAGATGAAGACGGAGAGGTCTGTGCTTGTCTTCTAGGAATCGTTGGGCGCTCTGAAGGGACCAGCTAACCGATTATTTGGCAATATTATAGGATGATGCCGACCAACGCGAGTCCGATCATAGTGAATCCGAAGACGAAGAAATCGTGGTAACTCGTGAGGAGGAACTAGTCGATCCCGAGGAGGAAGCCGAGTTCGAGCGTGAGTATGCGAGGATTATGGCAGAGAGCCTGGAATCCCGAAAGTTCGACCGCAAGCCCATGTTTGATGTTGCTCTTCCGGTCCGGGCAAAGGCACGCGAAACAAACATGACGCCTGTAGACAGCGGCGACGGTGGCGATGCCGAGCAGCAAACACCAAGCGGAACGCCAACAATGTCGTTCTCTCTTCTCACGAAGCGGGGGAATCGTCAGCAGACACGGACATTAGAGCTCCCGTCAGACTCCGATTTTGCGGTTGCTATGAGGAGCCAGCAACAGGCTGAGCGCGAGGAGCAGCAGCGCATCAAGAACCTGGTGCTAAACCTGGACCTTCGTGAGAGCGAAGAGCTCGATGGTCAGTACATCCGCAAAGCACCCCCTACTGAAAACCAGAACAGCAGTGTTTACCTTTAGCGTACAGACCCAGGACATGAGAAGCCGACGTCGTACTTCCACAATCGACCCGATAAGGCGGGAAAAGACCGCTCACAACGCGTCCGCAAACTTCAACTGAGCGACGTAGACTGGTATGGCCCTCCTCCCAGCAGTGTCAGGCGGGGTTTGCATGGGTACGACAAGAGGGGACCTTAGGGACGGCTGAGTCTCCCGAAGAGTGTCAAGCGATATGCGACATGGGGATGCCGGCTGGCGATGGTGTCGCACAACAAGCGTTGGTGACTCTTGGTCCCTTACTCGCAGAATCGTCATGCTCCAGTAGGCAGTAGGCGTGATGCTTTTAAGATCACCGCCCTCTAACACTCTTCTGCAGGACATAAACACATGGCTCCATTGCGGATCTCCTCATTTCCGCAACGGCATCGTTTCTCCACCCAGATATACGACGATGAACCCCTGGACCAAGGGCTGGCTGATCTAAGGCCAGGTCTGGGCCTAAGCTTATCTGTCGCTCAAACAGGTGTTCTTTGCGGACCGCCTGATCGGGTAGTCCTAAAGGTTCCATTGCAGTCTCGTTTCTGAATCAAATCGAACCGGTAACAGACAACTCCCGGGTCGAAGCGGATGACAAAGCAACGGCTCTGACCGGCCCAGGCCTTGGTTTGCGAACCCAGAAGTTCCTCCACATGCCCGAGAGCAGGCTCTTACCGCTTGCCGAGGAGAGAAGGGAAGCTACGAGCACTGCTCGAACGGCGCTCGATTGCTCTGCCCAAAGTTCTTCAGAGTTGGGTGCTATCTATGTTGATCTGCGAACGCCATGACCACGATCTGTAAAGTATGGGCTTTCTATGGCAGTGATCGAGCGTCTTGGTCTTTTCAGTGCTAGCTGGTGTGCCTATCGTTCTTCTGTCCGCATGATGTTTGGGTTTTTCTTCCAGCATCATCGACAACCTAAATGATGCGAAGTTTTTCCCCACTGCTTTCATGCCTGCACTTCTGGTGACTTACTTCCCATGGAAGCACGTTGGCAGCAATGCAGAAAAGGGTAGATCTGATACGATATTTAAAACTTATTTTAGACAGTACCATGATGATGTGTGTGTCGTGCCTGCCTCACGAAACGCCCAATACCCATACCTGAAAATCTTCCATACGTTATATGCTTTGTACGACACAAATGAGGGTCCTGGCTTCCCGCATATGGAGAAATAAGATACTGCTAAGGCGGCAGTATCTGGCCCCTGGACTTAACTGTTTTCCCCCTTCCGGCGCACGCGTCTTTAAGTGTTCAAATGGTTCTCGTGAGTCAACTACATAATATTGGCTGACGTCTCCATGTCGAGCAATATACGCACAGCAGGTCGCTAATTCTCTACGCTTTCACTTTTTCGTCACCTTTCGCAATTATCCTTCTTTCTGACAGATTTGCAGCAACCTCGTTCCTGAATGTATCTCCTGCCATGTCATCTCGTTCTATGACACTTTCTCTCGTCTATACTCTTGATTTATGACTATGAGCTGTTCTCCCGCTCTCTGATTATTTTATAGAGCTATACTCAGGAGGAGACATCCGGCGTATTGCCGATTTGCCACCTTGCGCTACTCGAAAAACGCAGTCTCCAATCTTTACTATACCGACTCCATTTCGCTAACACCTCTTTTTTTATCACTGCCTCATTTCTCTCCCTGTCTAGGTTCTGGGTACGGCATGATGCCATTCCCTGTTCGAAGGCATTACGACAGCTAGCTGGTCAACCTTGGTCACACACTTCTTCGTATTTTTTCAGCTCTTTCTCCCGCGTTGATTCCCCTCCCTGCAGTGTGCTGTCCGCATATGCAGGTAACCGTCAACTTGTTAGATTGCCAACACGGCAATACGGCCATCAGAAATAAACAACACAACTGGCGTGTACATAGACGGATTCCAAAAGCATTCTTGAGCTCTTGAATATGACGGCAAAAGACAAATAGAGAAGATACAAGAGGGCCCAATGCACACACACTAACTACATAGAGCAGATAGATACCAAGAAGCAAACAGCACCGCCATTGTCGAGACAAATCCTGGCGAATGACTGCATTATTTACATTCTCGCCTCTCTCTCCACCCCTTCGACGTGTTTACTTCTCTAGTATCGGAACAATCGGGCAGTTCTGGTGATTTTCCGAATTCCTGCCAACTAAAAGGACAGGGACCTTCTTCTCAGAGCAGACACGATCGCGTGTGGGCCCAATTACAATTCAACCATCACCAATACAGCCTTTTGCAACTTTCTGGCATTTGTTGGTGCCTCTTTTGCAACAAGATATAATACGGTTTGATTACAATGATCGCCCATAATTCATCGTCATGGCCCCTACACGATGTGAGCCCTCCCCCCCTACCGTCTTGCATGCTCGCCGTTTCTTTGCGATGCTAAACTGAGCAGATCATTTACACCGCTATCGTCGGCCTGGTTATGGTGGCTGCTTGTCTCGAATGGTTCCTGTGGATTGCGGCATTCCTATACTGCCTATGGAAAGTGTTTTGCAAGGCCGAGCACTGGACTGTTAACGTGTTGGCTGTCATTGTGGGCGTGGCTTTCACGCTACTAAGGTATGCAGACCCAGCCTGTTTCTCAGGATACTGTTCGCCTGAAGAGAAACATACTGACCACAGTCTCGTCGCAGACTGATTTTCCTACCAATAATGCTTGTGACCCTTCCCCTTCCCAGCGCCGTCGTTCGAATGTGGCCAGCCGACATGGTCCTTGTGCTACAGTGGTTCGCCTTTTGGAGTTTCGCCGGTCTATTGACCATCCCATGGCTTTTCTGTGTCTATCAGATTGTCACCCACCAACTCGGCCGAACGAAGCGAATCAAGCAGGTGCTTGACGAGTTGTCTGCGCCAAAAGTGGTCGTTGTCATGCCTTGCTACAGAGAAGACCCAGAAGTGCTTGTGACGGCTATCAACTCGGTTGTCGACTGCGATTACCCCCCGTCGTGCATCCACGTCTTCTTGTCCTTTGACGGTGACCAGGAGGACGAGCTGTATCTCAACACGCTCGAGAAGCTGGGTGTCCCGCTGACGCTGGACTCATACCCGAAGAGTATCGATGTGACATATCGTGCTGCGCGTGTGACGATATCACGGTTTCCGCATGGAGGCAAGCGTCATTGCCAGAAGTTGACGTTTAAGCTGATCGACCGAGTATATCAACAGTACCTCAAGCGCAACGATAACCTATTCATCTTATTCATTGACTCGGACTGTATACTTGACCGTGTGTGTCTGCAGAACTTTGTCTACGACATGGAACTCAGCCCGAAAAACCGCCACGACATGCTTGCTATGACTGGTGTCATTACGTCGACTACCCGGCGACACAGCCTCATAACCTTGCTCCAAGATATGAAATATGTGCACGGACAACTGTTTGAGCGCACGGTCGAGTCCGGGTGTGGCGCCGTCACCTGCTTACCTGGCGCGCTGACAATGCTCCGCTTCTCTGCTTTCCGGCGCATGGCCAAGTACTACTTCGCTGACAAGGCAGAGCAGTGTGAGGATCTCTTCGACTTTGCCAAGTGCCACCTGGGCGAGGACCGCTGGCTGACTCACTTGTTTATGATTGGGGCCAAGAAGCGGTATCAGATTCAGATGTGCACGTCCGCGTTCTGCAAGACAGAAGCGGTACAGACCGTACGCTCGCTGGTCAAGCAGCGGCGCCGCTGGTTTCTCGGCTTCGTTACGAACGAAGTGTGCATGCTGACAGACTGGCGCCTGTGGAAGCGCTACCCGATCCTGGTTCTCGTGCGCTTTATGCAAAATACCATCCGCACCACGGCGCTCCTGTTCTTCATCATGGTGCTGGCGCTGCTGACGACGTCAAAACGGGTGTCTAATCTGCCTGTCGGTTTCATTGCAGTGTCCCTGGGCCTCAATTGGATCATGATGATCTACTTTGGATTCAAGCTGCGTCGCTTCAAGATCTGGCTATACCCTCTCATGTTTGTCCTCAACCCCTTTCTCAACTGGTACTATATGGTCTACGGAATCTTTACAGCTGGCCAGCGCACGTGGGGAGGCCCACGCGCCGACGCTGCTGCAGCTGATGGCGACAAGACGACTGTGCAGGATGCCATTGAGCAGGCCGAAAAGGCCGGTGACGAACTCAACATCGTGCCAGAGTCGTTTGTACCAGCGGCCAAGGTGCAGCGCCGGAAGAGCAGCAAGCGGAGGCCTTCTGTCAGGGGAGCCAAGAAACCATCGTTGGATCTAGCAGTTACGACAGCGGGGCGTGTGCTAGGTGATCCCATGAGGGAAGGCTTCTCTGACGCAGACACAGGGGAAGACACTGGTCATAGTTCCGGGGTCTCAGCAGGTGGCTTGAGATTCAGCACGACAGTCGGCCGATCGAAGAGTGGCCGCAGCCTGCTGCAGCCTCCGGACAAGGTCGATGGCATGTTTTCGGCGCCGGAGCGCACAGACTCGGGACTGTACCACTACTCAGACGACTCGGTTGGTAGTTTCAACATGTCAAGGGTAGCAGGTGGAGGCAGTGGAGATGATCTGGCCGGATCACCTCCCCGGACGATTGGCGGCACCGGTACGGACGGCCATTACGGATGGAATGCCCGCAATGGCAAGCAAGCCTTATATGTACGCGATTCGTTTGAGAGTTTTGTGTCGAGCCAGACGGCCGGTCACAACCCGGTGTACCTGCCGCGCCGAGTTGAGAGCCTTATGAGTTACGAGGATAGACGCAAGTACGAGATGGCGCAGGCCGGCCAGCTGAGCGTCGGTGCAACGGTAGCTACGGCGGCATCTTCGGCTGCAGTCCATCATCTGGCCAAATACCGGAACCCGAGCCAGCAACAGCCAGGTCCAAATGCACTGCGCCTGATTACACCACCTCCAGGGCCGGTGTACGAGTACCACTCCGAGGCAGAGATGCAGCAGGGTGAATTCCTTGCCGGCATGGACCCAATCAGGACGGCCACACAGGCTGGTAGCCGAGAGATGGATCGAGGCGGCGAGGGCTTGTACAGCATTGCGCCAGCACAACCAGCATCGTCGGTGTCGACGCCACCGACGACGTCGCCGCCGAACCAGCCGCGACAGCCTTCAGGTCTGTCTCCACCTGGTGGGACTGGGGCTGGGCGAAGCTTTCTGGGCCGGATGAGCTACGTGCATGCATCGACTTCGGACGAGGGCACCACTGATGAGACACCCAGACGAAGTGGAAGAGAAGAAAAACCGGGACGGTCAAAGTAATCTGATTAGACAACGGGAATAGATGGCATGTGTTCTTGATCCTTGCTTCTGCGTATTAGTTGGATGGACTAGGCGTTCCAAACACCGCACAAGAACTGTTTTGTAAGATATAGCTTCAAGGCGTCTACTTGGTTCATACAGGGTGGCAGGCGTCCACAAATGTAGTGACGTGTGGCAACGAGAATGTGTGTCGTTTGGGCATAAAGGCCAAGGAGATAGTGCGGTACTTGCGAGGGACTCGGCTGACAAGTCCCTCAAGGCGGTGAGTTGGGCACGTTCACGTCGTCGCCCCAGCGCAGAGCACTGCCCCTCTTACCTTTTTTGGCGCCACCCGGCCTCTGAGTGGCTGGCAGCATAGTCTCGAAGCTTCTTTCTGGTTCGCGTTTGTTCTTCTGCCCTTGACTGGACGAGGCTGTGGTCTATTTCACAACGGCCTGCTTTGCGTTGTCGTGCCATCTCGTCTTCTGATCCCTGCAATATTCTCACCACCCATCTATCCCCTTTGCCATTTCACTCATCCAATTTGCCGGTCACGAAAGCGCCCTGTCGAGCCCCGATACGGAGGTACTTACAAGATACATTCATAGTCGTCGCCCCGCACCCCTCTCTCGCTCCTCCCTCTTTCTCGCGGCTTCCTCCCCACTACTAGCTTGCCTTTTTTTTCAGACAGCAAAGTCGATCGCAAGCAGCGACAGAATCCGGCTGCCAAAGGAAGTGGTGCAGAAAATAAAAGAGTCGTTCATCTTCTCTTCTCGCCTCCCAAAGAGCTTGTAAGAGACCAGCACGAATTCTCTGTTTTTCATTCGCGAAGAAAGAAGGCAAAGGGCCGGAACAACCCCGCTGTGCAAAAGACGTCTACTTGGGTAAAAAAAAAACCTATCTAAACCCTTCCTTGGTTGCCAGGAAGTGTTTTTTTGTTTAGACCTGAAAGCCGATTTTCTTCCTCTACTCCTTTTTTATTTCCCATCCCACCTCCGCTCTTGGCTTCTTTCGCGTCCATCGATACGAAGCTGACCAGCCGTTTCTTCCGTTTTTCTTTCCCACAGATATCTCAACAATCCAACCGACACGATGAGTGTTGTAGGTAGGTTTTGTTGGCCGTTGCAGACGGTTCCCCTGTCCTTCCCTTGGTTGCCGCTCTTCTATCCCAGCGCCCAATATGTCTATACTAATCAATCTTCAGGTGTTGATTTCGGTGCCCTCAACACGGTCATTGCCGTGGCGAGGAACCGTGGTGTCGATGTGGTACGTCTGATACCTTCCCTGCCCTTCCTTCTCGACCAAGTCCTAACGTCTCTGCCAGATTGCCAATGAAGTCTCTAACCGGGCAACTCCGTAAGCTCCTTTCGCTCTCGTCTGCTTGTCTTGTCTTTGCTGCATTGCCATACTGACCTTTGCTGCTGCAGTTCCCTCGTCGGATTCGGACCCAAGTCCCGTTACCTCGGTGAGGCTGCCAAGACACAGGAGATCTCGAACCTTAAGAACACCGTCAGCTCCCTCAAGCGCCTCGCCGGCCGGTCAATTAAGGAAGCCGATGTGCAGCTCGAGCAGCAGTTCATCTCAGCACCCCTGGTCGATGTCAATGGCCAGGTCGGCGCCGAGGTGTCCTACCTGGGCAAGAAGGAGAAGTTCTCTGCCACGCAGCTCATCGGCATGTACCTCAGCAAGATCAAGCAGACCACCGCTGCCGAGATCCGCCTGCCCGTGTCGGACCTGGTGATGAGCGTGCCGGTGTGGTTCACGGATGCTCAGCGTCGTGCCCTCATCGACGCTGCCGAGATCGCCGGCCTGCGGCTGCTTCGCCTGATCAACGACACCACCGCTGCCGCTCTCGGCTACGGCATCACCAAGCTGGACCTGCCTCCGCCGGAGGAGAAGCCGCGCCGGGTGTTCTTCATCGACATCGGCCACTCCAACTACACCGCCTCTGTGGTTGAGTTCCACAAGGGCGAGCTCACTGTCAAGGGCACTGCCTTCGACCGCCACTTTGGTGGCCGCAACTTCGACAAGGCCATTGTCGACCACCTGCAGAAGGAGTTTCTCGGCAAGTACAAGATCGACATCAACTCGAACCCCCGTGCGGTGTCCCGGGTCTACGCCGCTGCCGAACGGCTCAAGAAGATTCTCTCGGCCAACCTGCAGGCCCCCATCAACATCGAGTCGCTCATGAACGACATTGACGTGCAGTCCATGATGACGCGCCAGGAGTTTGAGGCTCTGGTCGACCCGCTGCTGTCGGGCGTCGTGGTGCCGCTCGAGCAGGCCCTGGCTCAGGCCAAGCTGACCAAGGACGACATTGACGTCATCGAGCTTGTCGGTGCCGGCACTCGTGTGCCGTCGATCAAGGAGCGCATCCAGGCCTTCTTCGGCAAGCAGCTGTCGTTCACGCTGAACCAGGATGAGGCTATTGCTCGCGGCTGTGCCTTTAGCTGCGCTATCATGTCGCCTGTGTTCCGTGTGCGCGACTTTGCCGTTCACGACCTGGTGACGTACCCGATCGAGTTCACGTGGGAGAAGGCCAACGATATCCCTGACGAGGACCCGAACCTGGTTGTGTTTGGCAAGGGCAACGTCATGCCGTCGACCAAGGTGCTGACCTTTTTTCGGAAACGGCCATTTGACCTGGAGGCACGCTACTACACGCCGGAAGAGCTGCCTGCCGGCATGCAGCCCTGGATCGCACGGTTTTCCGTCAAGGGTGTCAAGCCGACGATCGGCGGGCCGGACGACTACATGACGTGCAAGCTGCGGGCCCGCGTGAATATCAACGGTGTGCTGAACATTGAGAGCGCGTACTACGTGGAGGACCAGGAGGTCGAGGAGGAGATTAAGGAGGACGAGGAGAAGAAGGAGGACGAGGCGGGCGAGAAGAAGGATGCGGACGTGAGTGCTTTCCGTTCCTTCTGTTCTTCCTGTTTCTGTGGGAGTGGAGCCGAGCTAACCGGACAGCAGGCCATGGACACGGACGCTGCTAAGGACGAGGCCAAGCCGAAGACGCGCAAGGTGCGCAAGCAGGTGCGCAAGGGCGAGCTGCCGATTGTGTCGGCGACGCAGACGATGGATCCGACGGCCAAGAACGCGGCCATTGAGAAGGAGGCGGCGATGGTGATGGAGGACAAGCTTGTGGCCGACACGGAAGAGAAGAAGAACGAGCTGGAGACGTTCATCTACGACCTGCGCAACAAGCTGGACGACCAGTATTCGGACTTTGCCAGCGATGCGGAGAAGACCAAGATTCGCGAGAAGCTCGAGGCCAGCGAGGTGAGCCCATCTGGACTGACGTTTTGGACTGATGAAAGGATGATTTGTTTTGCTGACTAATCACAGGACTGGTTGTACGACGAGGGCGAGGATGCGACCAAGGCGGTGTACATGGCCAAGATGGAAGAGCTGCGCGCGCTGGCCGGTCCGATTGTGCAGCGCCACTTTGAGCACACGGAGGCGCAGCGTCAGGCGCTGCAGGCGCGGCTGGACGCCGAGGCAGCCGCGAAGAAGGCGGCTGCTGGGACGGGCGGTGGCGAGGCCAAGGCCGAGGCCACGGATGCAGCACGTGACGATGAGATGACGGATGCGGACGGCACGCAGACGACGGTGGAGGAGGTGCAGGAAGACCGGTAAATGTTGGCAGCTAGGAAAGAAGGAAAGGAAGCTGCACAAGACAGACAAAGAGCGCGGGACATATACAAGACGAAAACACGAGCCATTCACACTGCCAAAGACAGGATTACAAGACAGAGGGGCCATTAGAGGACGTAGCTGGAGCGTGCACGTTGAATACAAAGGATCCTATCATTGTGTCTGGCCGACTCTCAAAGCAGACTCGATGCTAATCAGGGGATGTTAAACAGCGGCTTCAGCTTGATCAGTAGCTTCCACTCCTCGGCCGATACGTCGGAGCGGTAGAACTCCTTGAGGCAGTCGATGCTGGCGCGCGACACGAGGCTGTACAGCTGGTCGGTCTCTTCCAGGTGGCGGCCGTACGTGGGCTGGTGGCCGCCCATCTCGATCTTGACCGCCACCGACGGCTGGCCGGGCTTGCAGACGTTGATCTGCTTATGTTCGCGCTCGATGGAGGTCCTGGAGGGGGGGGGTTTTGGTTAGCTAGAGTGACTAAGCAATGAATCACGTGACATACACTCGGCCGAGACTGATAATCTCCTTCTGGTTCGTGTTTGGGTTCATCTTGACGCAGGCGATGGGCGTGTTGAGCTTGAGCTGGCCCTCGAGCACGTCGACGCCGATGACGATGGGACCGGTCTTGTTGAAGACAGCGACGGTGGAGAGGACGCAGGGGAAGACGGCGAGCATCTTGGACTCCTCCTTCTTCTTCTCGCTCAGCTCGCGCATATGCTTGGTGAAGGCGTCAAAGAGGTGGTAGATGATGTCGGCGGTGAAGATCTTGATGCCCTGGTCGTCGGCATAGGCCATAGCCTCCTTGTCGACCTTGACGTCGAAGCAGAGCATGACGGCGTAGTCAGGATTCTTCTCCAGCATGGTGCTGCACTGCATCACGTCGCGCTTAAAGACCGGACCGATGCCGACGTTGGCCACCGGGATCTTGGAGTCCTTAAGGAAGTCGAGCAGGGCCTCGAGCGAGCCGAGCGTGGAGGCCTGGACGCTGACGCCACGGCCGGACTTTTCGACCCGGCTGAAGACGGAAGCCAGGTCGGACTCGACCTCTTCTTCCAGATCCTCCTCGTCGTCGTACTTGCCGACTACCAGCAGCCGCGAGCCGGCAATGGCACCCTCGAGATTGGGTGCGCTGATCTTGATACCCATGGCTGCACGCACCTCCTTGTTGTGCACGTAGGCCGAGCGGATGCGCAGCTCGCGCAAAGGCGCCGGCGTCAGCAGAGCGCGGATGTTCGTCTTGATCACGCCCTCGACACCACACAGGATGATCCGGTCGCCCTCGCGCAAAATGCCGTTGGACAGGATCACGTCAATGGTCATGCCGAACCCCTCAATCGCCTTGACCTCCAGCACGGTCGCCTGCACCTCGGACAGGTACATCAGCGAGTCTGTCATACGCTCTTGTGTCAGCTGCACCAGCAGCTTCAGCATGTCGGGCACGCCTTCGCCCGTGTGGGCTGACGTCGGCACCAGCGACACGATCCGCGACATGTTCTTGTTCTCGTAAAAGAGCTCCGTGTTGAAGCCCTGCTCGGCAAAGGCCAGCTTCGTCTGCTCCAGCCGCTTGCTGAACTCGTTCTGCACGCCACGGTTCTGCAGCGCCAGACTGTCCTCGAATCCGTTGTTGTCCACCTTCTTCCACCCGTACAGCCGGTCAATCTTGTTGAGCGCCACGATAAAGGGCGTCTTGCGGTCCCGCAGCATCCGCATCGACTCCAGCGTCTGCTGCTCCAGCCCGTGCATGATGTCCACCACCAGGATCGCAATGTTGCACAGCGACGATCCGCGCGACCGCAGGTTCGAGAACGACTCGTGGCCCGGCGTGTCGATGATCAGCAGTCCCGGCACCTTGAACTCAAACGACCCGTCCTTGTTGACCACTGCTGTCTTTTGTCGGATCGCGTCGATCGGGAAGTACGTCGCGCCGATCTGCTGTGTGATCCCGCCCGCCTCGCCCTCCTGCACGTTGGTCTGCCGCACTTTGTCCAGCAGCTTCGTCTTGCCCGTGTCGACGTGTCCCATGATGCAGCAGATGGGTGACCGCAAGTTGTCCTTGCTTCGGGCTGCCAGTGCTGCTTGGTGCTCCTTCTCGCGCATCTCTGCCAGCTCCTTCTTCCGCTGTGCTTCTGCTGCCTTGGCTGCCGATGTCAGCTCGTCGTCCGACTCTGACTCGCTGTCCGAGTCGCTGCCCGAGTCGCTTCCCGAGTCCGAGTCCGAGTTCGAACCCTTCTTCTCTGCCTTCTTCGCCTCTTTCTCTGCGTCCGAGTCAGCGTCCCAGCTGTCCTTGACGTCCTCCAGGCTGAGCTTCGCGTCCGCTGCCGTCTCCCAGTCCTCGTCAATGTCACTTCCTGCTGCCTCGGCTGCCTTCCGTGCTGCTTCCTCCTCGGCTTTTTGCTTCGCCAGCTCGCGCTCTTCAGCCTCCTTGGCCAGCTTCTCTGCCTGCAGTCGTGCTCGCTCTGCTGCCTCCTCCAGCACCTTTGCCTCGTCCACCTTCTCTCGCCGCCCACCACCACGCTTCTTGCTCTCCTTTGTCGCCTTCTTCTTCTCCTCACCCGACGCATCCGGAGCTGCCACCTTGACCACGCCTGCTGCCACCATCTGCTGCAGCTTCTGCTCGTTGCGTGCCTTGGCCTCCTTCTGCGCCTTCGTCAGGTACTTGCCCTCCTTCTTGAGTTGCTCGATCCTCTCCTTCTCCTTCTGCTTCCGAGCCGCCCTCTGCTCTTCTTTACGCTTCAGCTCCTCGGCCTCCTGCCGTTCCAGCTCCTCCAGTCGTACCTTTTCCTCCGCCAGAAACCGTTCTTCCTCCTCTTTCTGCCGACGAAGCTCTTCTTGCTGCCGCTGGATCGCCAGCAGGTGTGCCGGGAGCTTCTTCTTCTTTCCACCTGCCGCGACAGGCTCTTCTGCCGCCGCCACCGGCGCTGCCGCCTTTACCTGCTTCTCTGCTACTGGTCCAGATTTGGCTGCTTCATCCTGCGCCGGCGTCGTTGTCTTTTTCTTCGCAGCCTGCTCTTTCTTTCTCTGCTTTTCCCGCTCCCTCTTTTGCTTCTCCTTCTCCGCCTTGGTCAACATCCGTCCGCCGTTGCCCTCCTCGTCGGCTGGCTCCTCTTTTTTCGCCGGAGCAGCTCCCTTGCCGTTCTTTCCTGAAGCACCACCTTTGCCCTTCTTTTCCGGAAGTGCAAACTCGTCGTCCATGCCGGCCTCTTCGGGAGCCTTGGCCGCCAGGTCTGGCGTCTCCTCTGCCGGTACCTCCTCTCCGTGGAAGTCTTCCGGGAGGCCCTTCTTCTTGCGTTTCTCCTTGTTCTTGCGCAGAACCGCCATAAGACCACCGCCACCGGCCTCGTCGTCGTCCTCGTCCGCCGCAGCGTCGCCGTCCTTTGCCGCTGCCGACACAGGCGCAATGGTCTCCCCAAGCTCAGCCTCCCAGTCATCGTTGGCCTTCTTGCCTCCCTTCTTCTTAGGCGGCATCTTGATGGGCTGTCTGGTGTGCTTGTGCTATGTGTTTCGTTTCGTTGTTTCGTAAAATCAAGACCTGCCTATTATTAGCCATCTACAGGGGAAAATGAGAAACTGGCCTTTCCATACCTCTGCAACACTCCTCTGGACGTTTCAGTTCACTCTATGCTGCTCCGAGAAGATGCACAGCCGACCTCGCTGTATTTCAATCGCCTTTGTTGGAAATATGACAGTCGATACCGAGACATAATCTGGCTACACAATGTTCGGCAGGAGAATGCAAGAGATGCTTTTCGCCTGGCCGCTTGTCCGTTCCCGTTGACCGTTGCTGGCAAGTGAAGCTGCCGTAGATGGAGTGGCCAAAAATCGGAGCGAGGCAGAAAAAAAACCAACTAGAAAAACTGCCGAACTGGATCGTCGCCACGTCAAAATAAAATAATGGAAACTGCTACACACTGTGGTCCAGCTACAGGCCAGGAAGGCGGATGGGCAAAAAATAAAGTCCGTCACTGGCCCTATTATTAGGCGGGGAGTTTGCAGGGTCAAAGGAGGGGTCGATGTTCACAAAATAAATCATAGCTTTGTGGGGGCCCACTCCGTTGGTCAGCCCTGCCTACAACAGCCGCAAACGTCCCAACCCATTCTAAGAGAGGCTGTATTATTGTTGTCCTCGACAGGTAAGGAGATAAAACACCCATGTCTGTAATCCAGAGCCTCCTTATTGCCAGGACCTCGCAATGCACCATGATCGCTGTGAATCGTTGGGGAACAAAAAGCGAAAATTCCCGCCCTAAAACAACAAGACTCTAATTTCACACACAGACTTCTTTTTTATTCAAGACAACGAAATTGCCGTGATCCCTGCCGTCTCATGTTCCTCGGCTTCCTACCAGAGCATGCCTCAAAGCACCGGGGCCAGGTAGTACTCCAAAATGTCATAGAGAAGAGCCAGATAGCTGCTTTTTTTCTCCTCTTTCTTCTTCCTCTTGGCATCCCCTTCGTCGGCGCAGTCGCCTTCTTCTCCGTCCTCCATACCTGGCTCTGTTTCCCGGTCTTCTTCCCGGCCTTCAGAGCTCTTCCCAATCGCGGCTGTCCATCGCCCATTATCGAGCTGTTCGAGCAACTCAAACAGCCGATTTGTGCGCGATGCGCTTGAAAACAGCTCCTCGAGCGCTCGCTTGTCCAGACACCTCTGCAACATGTCTCCGTCGATCTGCATGCCATACGACTGGTCCACCTCTGGTTCTTCGTCAAAATCGGGCCCCGGCACCTCGTACAAAAAGGGGTAGAGCGTAGGGGTGGTGAATGCCAGGTTCTGGATCAGCCGAAGTATTCGCCAAATCGGAATGCTGAGAAGAGTAAAGTGCTGCAGCGAGCCGTCGATACACATTCCCAAGATCTCTGCCCCGTCCAGCGTGCTGGGTAGCAGTCCATACCGGACGTCGCGCCGTGCCTGTTGCCAGACCGGCCGTGTTCGCCCGCGTGCAAGTTTTCGAATCGATGCCGGCAGTTCTGCTTCCAGAATCACCTCACAGTCTCTCCCCGGCTGCTGCCAAGGAATGAACAGTCCGGCCACTCCACAGCTTCGGTTCGATAAAAGTACCGCCGACGCCCCAGATCCATCGGCCGTTTTGTCTCCGATCTCAATCATATGCACCGCCGTCCGTGACTCCGAGTCGGCGTGGTGAAGCGTCATTTCGCCTGGATTCTCCCCTGTCATGCTGATTATCTCCACCGAGTCGCGCTCTGTCAACGCAACGATCCTTCCGTTCAGGATTCTTAAGCTGGTTGCGGACGAAGCGAGCTCAAAGGTCCCTTGTGTCCTCAATCTCCGGTCCTCCACGTCGAGTTGATCCCAGTAGAGCGTAGAGCCCATGCAGTAGAAGACGTTGTTGTTCCAACCCACGACAGAATAGATCGGTTCTGTAGCGGTGGATCTTTTATACCGCGTCCAATATCTAATCTTCTGGCGGCGTCCTTCCTGGTTCTTGGCAACTGGCACTGTCGACAGCACGAGAAGGCGACCGCCCTTAGTGGAAACCAAAAGAAACAGCCACTTGTCACCATTCCGCTCGTACTGCCATTCGTCCAACCCCAAAATGTGATCTCCAGTCTTTCCCAGCCCTGACACGAACTCGACCGGCTCATTGTACTTGTCCGTCGGGAAGGACAGGTCTTCCCCCGTGTCCGGGTCCAGAAATTGAAGCGTCGGCTTGTCGTCCAATGTTTTCAGTGCCACGATGAGGCAGTCCAGCATGCAAGAGTAGATGACCTTCAAGGGTGTTCCCATCACTGGTAGACTGCGGTGCACCGGCCTAGGTTGCGTGTGCAATTCCACCAACAAAACTCTAGTTTTGGCCGTCAACGTCAGCTGGGTCTTGCTTTGGTGTCCTGGCAGGCTTTTCTGAAGAACAGAGGCGGCGCTGACAAAGGGCGATTCCTTGCTGGTGTCGGATGCGTCCTCAAGCCAGACCGTGTGCATTGACCGAAAAGAAGCCCGGCGCGCATCGAAATCAGACATAAGGGAAAGCCGACCATCACAAACAGCAAGTGTAGCCGTCTTCAGGTTTGGGTCTTCGACCGAGACAACATGGGTTGCCGTACGGCCCAGTTTTTCCGAGTTAGCCGCCAAGACACTGCCAGCCAACCCAATGGTCAAGGCGACCATGTCTCCTCCCCTTGTACCAAACACAATCGCCATCGAGCCATCTTCGGATTTTTTGAGCAAGACACTTGTCAGTGGCTCCAGCGAAGGATAACGAGCAGCATCCTCCTGTCCCCCACACCGTAGCTTGCTAATTTCAGCTGTGAAGTGGTGAGCAAATCGCGTAAAATCTCAACGAGACGTGCCAGGAAAGTGCTTTGGTCTTGCTTACTAGAGTTTACATCGACGACACAGAGGGCGCTTTCGCCCTCGGCGCCAACATTGTAAAGGACTAGAGACGGATGGCTGTCTTTCAGAAGGCCGGCCACAAGGTAGGGCGAGCCTTCTACCGTTGCCAGACACAGGCATGTCACCTCGCCCATTTGTCCATATGATTTCGCAGTCTTGATTGTTCCGCTAGCATCGAGCTGCACAATGTACAAGCGGAAAACAACTCCGACGTTTGTGGAGACGGCGACAAGATTCCCTTGTATGAAAGCGTCCACAACGGTGACCTGGGAGTCTTGAAATATGTCGGCATGTAGCCGGCGTACACTACCACAGAAAAGTTAGCAAAAGGTCTGACTTTGCGCTTCCCGATTTCGCATTGCTATAGTACCTTGTCATTGGGCTAATAAACACCAGGTACTTTTCTGACACTTGCACGACGGCATCTTCATACATCTGAGCAGCAGCCACTGTCCTGGTTGATAAGTCGTACTGTGTTAAGTCTGCATCCGGTTCCCTATACTTTTCAAGATCGCTGGATAGGTACAAGACCACAGTTCTATCAACCAAAGACATGAGCAGATGAAATTCGGGGTCGGCACTCTCAGGTTGGGTCGGAAATATCCAAGACTGTTTCACGGGCGTCTCATAGTCTATGTCCAGGCCAATGTTCGCGCGGTAGCCAAAGCGGAACTCGGTGACGGCACCCGTAACACCATGGCCAGAGGTAGCGAATATCCGGTCTGGGTTGGAAAAGCTGCCGAGGGGGCGATCTTGCCACGGGATGATCTTGTTTCCTGCTTCTCCCACGAGACGAACGGCTGCTGAGAACTTATCATTCGTGACGAAATCTACTACTGGAGACCAGTTCGGAATGGTGCCGAGCGGGATGTTAGGTTTTCGTGGACGGATCTGTTATACTTTGTTAAACACCCTTCTGCAAGTTTCGGGAAGCGCGCATTATCTTTTTCCTCTCTTCTTCGCCAGGCCTCTTCCACTCCACAACACTTACCTGGCAAATCGAGCCCGGTCCAGAGTCGCCGCCCATGATCAAAATGTCGTTGAAGTCATCCAACAGGCTGCAAAATGATGTACCAATATTGCAATCAAACTTGCCGATCTGGACAGAGGCACCCAGTATATTGTCCGAATCAATCTCTAGAAACATGACGACACCGTCTTCGCGGGCAAGGTAGATGTTATCCCGTGTCGTCCTATACGTGGGAAGACGGTAGGGCCGTGTCCAGGCAGCCCATAGCGGTTCACCTGAACCGTGGTGAAAGCGGGATGTTTCTTGAACGTCCATGACGAAGTCGTCGAATTCGGCTGGTAAGGTGAGAGCATCCTTGCAGACAGCGATGCGACGAGCCGAAATGGCAAAAAAGGCCGAATGGACGGTTAGTGGGATGATTAGGAGAGGGATCTGGTGTTGAGGAGGTAATGGTTGTCCCCGTTTCGCCTCAGAAAGAACGGAAACCAGGTCATCGCCCCGCCCTCCCCATTCATACGTCACCATCCTTGATTTCCCATGCATGACAATGATGAGAAGCAGGATGATGTGATAGTCGTCGTCCGGGTGCGGATACAGAAACTCCATTTTGTGAATGACACCATTCACCATTCGAGCCCGAAATGACTTGATCGGTCGTAGAGGTTCGCCACGCGCATACCGTCTGTTCAGCTCCAACTTTGACTCGAGCTCATACACAACGAACAGATTCTCCGGACAAGCTAAAGCCATGTAGCGGGAGCTTGGGTCGACAGCTGCGTGGAAGCCGGGTTGGGCGATCTGGCTGTTAGGTATGTCGACTCGAGTGTCGAAGAATTCATACTCCCCAGTGACTCCTTGTCGCACGAAGAGAAAGACACAGTCTCCGGACTCCAGAACGATCATGAGCTGCTGGGGAGGCAATCGTGTCAACCGACTAGGAGAGGCGGCGGGAGGTAGCGGCACACCAGCATCGCTCATAGCCACATCGGTATCGTCGTCTGAAAAAGCAGCGCCCTCCTCGACCTTGACCATAATGTCGTCACTCTTGACTTCGGTATCGTCCCTAGTACTATCTGGCGGCGGTCCGATAACCTTGGCATTTCTGATGCGGGATCCGAAATCGGTCTTCCTGATGATGTCTCGAAGCTGACCATCCTCCCCCAGTTCGCTGATTTGTACATAGTGGTCCTATAAGCAGCCGACTCACACGGTCAGACCCGGGCAGAGTTGGGATGAACTTCAGAGAGAGGGAGCGGTCGGAGGGTGGGGTTGCGGCAGAAAGAAGGGATATATCTTACACCTATAAAAGCAACGTCCATATGCTGTGCAGATCTTAAGCGAACAGGAAGTATCCAATTGGCCACGGGGCTTTCGATGACGGTTCTTGTAAGGATACCGCACTCTGGGGGGTGAGCAGCTCGCTGTCGCAGCGGCTTAGCGGAGGCATTGGAGTTTGCCTTGAGGACGGCCTGTAGATCGACGGTCTCGGTCACCCACTCGCCGTGGCGAAACACATTGGTCTGAAAAGCCATGCCAGGCGAGACCTTTCATGCCGATGCTCGGCCTGCAAAGGTACTAGTGCTCCTCTGACGGGCTCGGGTGCAGAATCTTGCTTTCACGCGAATCGAGATTGAGATGGCGAGCCAAGGTGAGGGTTCCGCTGAATGCGCACCAGGCGGCATACAGCGGTGACCGCAAATAGCCTCGCAGTACACAGTAGCCAAGCGGAGCGTGCTAGAAGATGAATCGTAGAGACTTCGGGGATAAATCGCGTGATGATGTTGGTTGATATTGCCGCTTCTCGGCCGATATCTGGCAAGTGGAATTGGATGTGATTTGATATCCCCGCTACTGAAATGGTCTGTGCAGCAAACGCCAAAAGAGAATAGAGAGCCAAGGGCAAGTAGAGTTGAAGAGGCAAGTCACACAGATCCAGGACGGCGACTCAAAATCAAAGATTATCCTCACAGAAGGAAAGGCTTTCCCCTGTTTTGAAACATGATCCGTCACCAGGAGCAGCTGAGCACGGGAGGCGAAAATGAGGCAGGAGAACGGACGAGCAACGGAATGACGTGAGATGGAGCGTAGAGCTTATGGCTGAGGGAAAGTTGCGGGAGAGTTTATAAAAAAGGGCTCTCGAGTTTTTTTCTGGGACGAGACTGTTATGTGGTGGACAAGAAACAGCAGCTTGGCTAGTGAATGGCGTGTCAAGAAATCGGCCAAAGATAGCCTGCCAAGCAAGATCGAGCGAGGAGCTGGTAGGACGAAGAAGTGGAAGCTAGGCCAAGCTTGGAGCAGTCAGCCATACAAAGCTGGAGAGGCTGGAGAGAAAGACCCGACAAATAGTTTGAGAGAGACAAAGACGGAGAGAAGAAGAAGAGGAGGAGGGGGGAATGAAAATGGAAACGAAAGATAAATGCTTTTTGTTTAAACTGCCAAAAAAAATCCTGAGACAGATACGGATACGTGCGCATGGGTTGAGCATAAGAATAGGAGAGGCGACGATGCCGATGCAAAGGACAGAGGGGAAAAGATCGGGGAAGATTGGAGAACACACGGGCAAGGGACCTAGGCAAGCGTCTGTGAGTCTCAGTCGATGGGGAACACAAGCTCGCGTAGGGGAGGCCAGACGTGGTATGGAGAGCTAGAGTGGGAAGACAGGGTGGGAGGCAGGGTGGGCTAGGCGACCGGGCCCGAACAGATTGCGTAGTATCGTTGGTGGGCAGTGTTTGGGGGGGACTGGATGAGCCCGGAGTAGGGCAGAGAGACCAGGGCAGAGACAGGGAAGAGACAGGGGGAGACAGCAGAGGAAAGGACGCGTTCGGCTTACAATGGCTCTAGTCGTGTAAGAGATCGATCGGACAGGCAGGCACAGGTGGACAGGCAGGTAGCAGGCAGGCAGAGGAGAAGGAAGGCGCGACGGCGTCCAGCTTTTTGGCGGGTCTTGCCAGCTGGCGGGGAGGGAGGGAAGCTGCGCTGCGCCGGGCAGTTGGCGACGTGAGCGAAAAGCAGTTGCAGAGCTCTGTGGTCTGCTCGTGGCCAAGGCTGCACACGGAGTGATAAAGGGAATTATGGGGGGAGGGGAAGGGGATATCCGGCGAGGAGGGAGAGAGTACGGAGTAAAAAGAGGAGGGTGCGATGGGGAAGGGGGGGAGGATCGGACAAGGGATTGGCAGACCCAAAATAAATATAGAATACAGAGATACAAAATACAAAATGAGATACAAAGACACTGATCATACTCCGTAAACTGGGATCTAAGCCAGGGGAGCGTCAAAAAACGGCACTAAAAAAAGCAAAGCAATATGGAAAGAGGCACACGGATAGCGGGGGGAGTTTAGGCGACTAAGCCAGCCTGTGCTCTCTCGATTGGCCGAGACGACGGAGGGTAGAGGCAGACATGATCTCCTGTCGATTCTCTGCGATTACTGCTTTTGTCGGCCTGCGTCTGCGTTGCGGCAGGACTGCGACTCTGTCCATGGATCATGCTTGCTCTGCCCGTCTTCATGGCTGGCCATCAGTCTGCAGTCTGTGTTGTGTCTACGACGTCTTGTTGCCGCCTGCAAGCTAAGCACTATTACTGCAATCACAATCACAACCACCAACCTCCCGTCCGTCCACTCCACCCTTCGGCCTCCACCCCTGCGGCGGCGAGATAGACGCGGTGCTCGGCAAGATTAGGCATTCTCTACCTGCAGCAGTCGAGGACCAAGCGCAGCCTAGAGCACGACGCCGCATGCACTGCCTCGCCGTCCCTCGATCGCCGGTCCAGCCTGATGAACGAAGCCAGTGTCGTTGTCTTTTCAGGCGGCCGAAAACAATCAGAACAGCCAGCCGCAGCCCGCACACAAGGCCATGGTCTGGGACAATGGACACGGCAGGCAGCCGCAGACCCCTGCTACGCAGCGATATTCTGCCTGCCAGACGACTGCTCGAATATGACGGGTCACCTACGACGATGTGCATGCCAGAAGCCGGTCCCAACCCAAACTCTCGAGGGGAGTGGTAGCTCCTTGCTGCTGCTAAACGCTCCTCTCCTGTTCACCGCCAGCTTGCAGCTGATGTGCCGCGGATATGGCGGGCTGCTGACATGGGCACTCTCTCGCACCTCTCCCCTTCTCTTCCCCTCCCTCGTCCTCCCCTGCAGGGCTCGTACGCACCCATTACGCTCACGCATCTTCCAATACTCCGCCGCTCTCCTGAACCCCGTTTTGTGCACCCGTATATTGCCAGGTTGTGCCATTACACATTGGTTACACGAGTCCGCCCAGTGGAGACCGTGTCCTGATTGTAAGATATCTATAATATAGCTATTAACACCCGGGCCATCGGCGGGGCAGCGCTGACGAGCCCTGTAGCAGCCTATACCCCAAATACGCTCTTTTACTACGGCTTTGAATTAATGGAATTTTCGTTATTTGATCTGCCGCCCTGCTCTCGTGAATCTACAGAAAACCGCCGCCCGACTTCACTACGTCGCGCAAGAAGACACGGACAGGCTCTCGGACCCCACCCTCCACGAAGTTCCTCTCTCTCCATTTCTTTCATTTGTCTGCTGGTCAGGCGCCAAGCAGCTTCGCCATCTCAACCCGACCACCTTTCCGTCTTACGTAGCAACAGCAGCTCATCAGGCTACCAACACACGACGTACCTTCTCTTCGCTGCGTCTGTCTGTTTCTTGTTTGCTCGCTCGCATCGCCTGTGCTGTTGTTGGCCCGCCGCTTCTCGATCGTGCAGGCTCTGGTCAATCTGGCCTCGCTTCTGACGTCATCCGGCACCAAAATTTCTTGTTCCGGCTTGCGCTCAGGCCCCTTTGTACAATCTCATTCCGCAGGACGTTGCACTCCCATCTCCCGATATCTGCTGCGCCGTCTTCCTTTGTGGGTGCAGAGCAAGGGCTGTTGCCGGGTAGGCCAGCTCGCTCGCCACGGGCACTTACATGCAAATCAGGCCACATAGGCGCGGCGCACGGCTGACATAGCACCCAAATGGCCGACTATCCCACCGAAGACGCCAGCCTGCCACCGGCGGCAGAGAGCTGGCCCAAAAGACGCAGCCTGTCGAGGTCGCCGGAGCGGCAGCCGAGCACGACAGGCACGGAGATGGCAGGCACGGAGATGACAGACACGGAAATGACAGATGCCACGGAGAGCATGGCAGACCCGACGGCGTCTGACAGGACGTCATCCCGAGCAACGTCGGTAACAGCTGAGGACGAGCACTTCGAAGCTGACGAGAAAGGGGACGAGAAAGAGGAAGATGAAGGGATCAAGGAAGAGATGGTCGAAGAAGAGGGCGACATGAAGGAAGAGGATGTGTTCAAAGAAAAGAAGGTCGAAGAGGAAAAGGAAGAGGATGAGATCAAAGAAGAGAAGGTCGAAGAGGAAGAGGAAGAAGACCCAGCCTATGCTGCCAAGGTGCAGCAGATCCGCAGCGCCTGCATCCACGGGGATCTGGCCGAACTGCAGTCACTGGCCGCGTCGGAAGGCGGTCTCCTCACAGACGAGCTCCGCCAGGTTGCATGTATGTGTTCGCCCAGGGTGCAGCAGCCGCTCTAACTCTATGCTGACTAAGCAAACAGGGCCCGTGCTGCTCGGACTGCCTGTAGATGGCGACGGCCGGGTGGACGAGAAGGCAGCGGCAGCCAAGGCGGGCATGGCGGTCGACGAGGGAGATGCATCCTGGCAGAATCTTCCGGCTCATCGGGACGAGGAGCAGGTGCAGCTGGACGTCAACCGGGCGTTTGTGTACTATCCGATCCGTGAGTCTGCAGTGAAATCCCCCCTCTTCACTTTCGGCACGCTCTTTCTGACAGGTCGATGTTCTCGCAGACGCGTCCCCGGTCGAGGAAGCACGCCAGCGCCGGGCGCTGTCAGACCTGATCGTGGAGGTGCTCCGGCGCCAGCCGTTCCTGTGCTACTTCCAGGGCTTCCACGACATCTGCCAGGTGCTGCTGCTGGTGCTGCCGCCGGGTCTGCGCACGCCGGCAGTGCTGCGGCTGGCGGTGCTGCGCATCCGCGACTTCATGCTGCCGACCATCGACGCGGCCGTGACGCAGCTGCAGCTGCTGCCCGACATCTTGCAGCTGGCCGACCGGCCGCTCTGGACACATCTGCACCTGGCCCAGCATCCACGTCCGTTCTTCGCCCTCGGCGGCACCCTCACCATGTACGCCCACGACATGCGGTCACTCGGGGCCATCGCCCGCGTTTTTGACGTCCTGCTGGCCCGCCCGCCCGACTTCTCGCTCTACCTCTTCGCCGCCATCGTCTGCGCCCATCGCTCCGCCCTCTTCGCCACTCCCGCCGACGAGCCCGAAATGCTGCACCACATCCTGTCCCGGCTGCCCGGCGATGCCGGAGACCCTGTCGATGGCGAGACTCCGCCTGGCCACCATCTCGACCTTCTCGTCGCTGATGCCGCCCGTCTCGCCGACCGTTTCCCCCCCCATGTTCTGCCCGCCTGGCGCGCCGTCTCGGCTGCCTCCGTCCTCAAGACTGCTCAGCGCCCCGGTGGCATCGTCGCTCAGTCCGTCGCCGATGGCGAACGCCTCTTCCGCACCCACGTCCGCGAGCTCGATCGCGCCGACCGCCATCGCCTCCGTCGCGCCCATCTCCACAAGATGCTCATACAATACCGCACTCCCCTCCGGGCCGTCGGCGTCGCCGTCCTCGTCGGCGTCCTCGCCATCTGGCTGCGTCGCGCTGGTCCAACCGGCACGTCGTCCGCCACCTCGCTGGGCAACCTGCTCGCTAGGCCCTTCACTGCTGCTGCCTCGGGGCTGTCGCGTCTCGGCATACGCTTTACCTGAAAGAACTAAGAAGAAAAGAAAAGAAAAGAAAATAGAAACAACTCACATTGGCAGACTCGTTGTAAGATGGGATTCATAGATCATAGCGATGCCAAGGTGCCTCTGTAAAATAATAAATAAACGCTCAAGTATACAACGAGAGAACAGAGTGCAGACTTCGTGGTGTAAGCTATGCTTTGCCGGCTATTATGCGCTGCATCCACGTAAGATTACGTAATCGGCTCTTGCCCATTCCCAACCTGGCCCCAGCATCCCTTCGAATTATGCTCCCTCCTGAAAGGCCGCCTTGAGGCTCTCAATGTGCTGCTTCTGGTCGGCGGCAAGCTTGCCACCGTTCACGTCGCTGATAATGGTCAGCACGAGCGAGTAGTTGTTGTAGAGAAACCGCTCCTGCTTGCGCCGGTCCTTGCCAAAGACGGCCTGGCTGTAGCGCGTGAGGAAGGCCTCGGACTCGCTGCGCAGCCGGTGCAGGCTCGTCACCACCGGCTCGTCGTCGCCGGCCTCGGTGCTCAGCGCTAGGATGCCGTGCAGCAGCTGACCGAAGCGCTGCGTGATGACGTGGGGGGCCGTCGATGCCGTCGACGAAGACGAAGGCGATGCCGCAACGGCTGCAGCCAGCTGGCGCATACTCTCGCAGTGGTGGTCCATGATCACCTGGAAGCGCGGCCACAGCAGCATGTTGGTTGCGTTGACGTAGCTGTCGACGGCCGGCACCTTGCGGCGCTGCAGCTCAAAGGCCGCGTGCTGGTTGAGCCGGATGCAGAGCAGCACACCGAGACAGTCGTACGAGTCGGCCGTCAGCAACCGCGTCAGCGCCTGGCCCAGCGCAAACGTCGGCTCAAAGATGTAGTGGAAGTGCCGCCCGATCGTCGCAAACGTGAGTGCCGGTGAGAAGAACGAGGCCAGGAACGTATACTCGGCCGTTGCGTTGTCCACCAGCGCCAAGTTGAAGTGTCGGAACGGCACCTCCAGGTAGTGAGCTGCCGTATCCTCTTCTGCCAGGTACGAAGACAGTGCTATCTGGCTCGGGCCCTTCAGCAGGTCGATGCGCCGCCCCAGGCTGAAGGCGTCATGCCGCACCCCCGGCCCTCCACCGCCGCTACTGCCGCCACCCTTGCGCGAGGACCCGTAGTGTAGGTCGTCGTGGCCCAACACGTCGTTCTTATCCAGCACGTGCAGCCGCAGCTTCTCCAGCGACTTGGCATACCGCCCAAACTGGTTGCTGTAGTACCAGCGCATCGTGTTCATGTATGCCAGGCAAATCTCGTCCGCCAGCGTCGCGTGGTGCTTGTGGAGAAACGTGTACAGGTCCCGGAACTTGAGGAAGCTCTGCTGCTGGATGATCTGCGCGTTGATGTGCGGAGACCGTAGCGCCTTGACCTGGGCAACCAGGAAGTCTCGTATTCGCTCGATCGCCTGCAGTGCCACGAGTCAGATCAGCGGCAAACAACACGGCACCGGCGGCCAGGAGAAGACTACCTTTAGAATCAGCTTGTCAATCAGCGGCAAGAGATCTTGCACGGCCTTGCCCTGCTTCTGCTGCTCGCTTCCGCTCCGCAGTACCGCTGCTCGCCTATCCACCTCCTTGAGAGATTGCACCCATTGCTCGTCGATATTGCCCTCGGCAATCCTGTTGACGAGCGCGGGCGGCACGCTGAGATCCTCGACCGCCGCCGCCAGTCCCTTCTCGACCGTCTTACGGTTCTCCAGCCGGATATTGAGAGCCGTCGACCGCGCTTGCAGATTTTCGATGTCTGCAGACACTAGCACGAGGTCGTTTCGAAAATTCGTCAGGTTTGTCTCGACCGAGTTCAGCACTTCGTCGCACGCGCGGATCGACTTGTGAAGATCTTCGAGCTTGGTTCGTTCCGTTTCCACTGGACAGCCTGTCAGCAGAGAAACAACAGACACTTCGTCCGAGATAGACGGTGATAGGAACGGCTTACGCTCTTCCGGCGTCTGTGTAGAGCGCGCAACATCATCGCCTTGCAAGCCGCCAGGTCCGTTCCAGACAATCTGTCGCAGAGAGAGCCCACCAAAGTCGAAGTCCAGCTCGAGGTCCTCGTCCGTAATCGTTTCCGTGGCTGTAGCTGAGGACTCCAATGAGCCTTTTTCATCATCGGCTGCGAGGAGCTTTCCCAGCAGAGCCAGCGCGGCTGCATCCTTTGCCTTGTCCTCGGTCGCGTCCACGGTCACCGACTGCCTCAGCGACGAACCATTCATCCGCCGGGAGTATGTAAGAAGCGAAGTGGTCGAGTCGCTAGAGATGAGCGACTGCGCTGAAACGCGCGCCGACCGCTGCGACGTCACATAGGGTCCTCCGCGGCCGGCGCCAGACACACTCCTCGGCAAGGGTGATCCTGAGCGATTGATGTTGTTCTGCGGGGGGCCGGCACCCGGATGGCTCAAGCGGTCGAGCCACATGGCAAGGCGGTCAGCATCAAAAGACGGCGAGGAGAAAGACGGCCGGAAGGTGTGGCAGCAGACGTTGGCGTAGGACCGGCAGCAAGTCGCGGCACTCACGCATCCAACAGGACGGTAAACACGGAAAAGAGAGCCAGAAGAGCCGAGACGCTAATTTCGAGCGGTGTACTGGTGGAAGTGAAGAGATTCAAGCTGGCTTGGCTGATGCCGACATTTTGGCAGCCATGTGTCTTCTCCTGCATTAGGAAGCTTCAACGGGTCCTCGCAGCCGCCAAGCTAAAGCCTCAGCACTGAGACCCTTGGCATCGGAGGTTGTATGATTACATAAGCGGCCTTATATAAGAGCCCCAGCTTAGTCGCAACGAACAGCCAAAACGGGAAGAGGCAAATTACAGTAAGCCAGCCCCAACAACAGTTTAATGGGCATTATACTTGTAGATGCCCCTTCTCACCGGGCCGCTCAGTGAGTCAAACAGTGCCTGGGTCGACAAATTTTACAATATACGAGTACGAGTACGGTATCCGCAGGATTCCAAGATGGAGATCCCCTGCAATATGTGTAAGTAGCTTTCACCGAGAGAACATTCATTAGAGAGGAGGCAAGCCTGCAAGAGTCACGCGAGTATAAAGGCGCTCAAATGGCGTGACGCGATTGGCTCGCAGGAAGCCAACGGCCAGTATTGAGAGAATGGAACCGCCGAAGAGTTAGAAGGCTGCGTGCCTGTTGCCTCTCTGTGGGAGAAGACGCTTCGAATCTCGGCGGTTGCCATTGGCACAGTCTACCGAGCTTTCACTCTGGATAACCTTACAGAGAGCCACAAGGCCAAAAAAAAAATAAAGACCTCTTTAGAAAAGAAAAAAATAATTATAGTGTCTATCCCTCCCCGACCACTGGCCGCTCTCCACTTCGCCCCTCTTTCCGAATTTCCAAGCGCACTCATTCGCTCCTTCCCCTCCACCCTATATTTTCCCTTCTCTTCCCCCATCTCCTCTATTTTTTTTCCTATTTTGTGGATTGGATACTAAATCTGGTTCTAACACAAACTTTTTTCTTCTCTTCCTCCTCTTTGAATCGAAGGTTTCCCTTTTTCTCGCCTGTCAACAATCCCTTTGCACTCAAAGCAGTCAAGATGGCGGACGACTCTCAGGTAACACCCCTGCTTCCTTGTTTCGATATTATGGGCGCAAACCCACCGGGACGAGGGCATAGAAGAGAAAGAGGCCAAAAAACCTGTCACCCCGCAATCGCGCACCCCCGCGAACCGCAACCAGGGCTCGCAACCGGCAGCATTCGCTTGTCGCCTGGTGATCTCTTTTGTCCCGGTGATTTCACTGTGGCACAAAAGTCTCACGGGTGACTGCCGAGTCTTGCGTCTGACGGGCTGTGGCTTGGCCCGCAGAGGTGCTCAGAGCCTTGCCTTGGGACACACAGTTCTTCTTTCAACCTCTTTCTCTCGCTCCCGCGCGGCTGACTGTCTTCAATTCAGCCCGTCTCGTTTATCGCATTTTACTAACAGTGGCCGCGATGTAGCATGAGCACACCTTCGACTCCGCCGATGCCGGCGCCTCGGCCACGTTCCCCATGCAGTGCTCTGCTCTGAGGAAGAACGGTCACGTCGTCATCAAGGGCCGCCCCTGCAAGATTGTCGACATGTCGACCTCCAAGACTGGCAAGCACGGTCATGCCAAGGTCCATCTTGTTGCTATTGACATCTTCACTGGCAAGAAGCTCGAAGATCTGTGCCCGTCCACCCACAACATGGACGTCCCCAACGTCACCCGCCGCGAGTACCAGCTTGTAAGAAAACCACAGTCCTTTCCGTTGCACGTCCTTCGTCCAGCCTGTACCCGTCTGCTGACACTCTGAACCAGTTGGACATCTCCGACGATGGCTACCTCTCCCTCATGAGCGACGACGGTGATACCAAGGATGATGTCAAGATGCCCGACGGCGAGATTGGCGAGAAGATCAACAAGCTCTTCAAGGTCGATGAGAAGGACACCAGTAAGACCCTCTTTTTTTTACGATGGATACGAGCAGCACCACTAACATTACGAAACAGACGTCATCATTCTCACTGCCATGGGCGAGGAGTGCGCTGTTGAGGCCAAGGAGGCCCCGCGTGCCGCCTAAAAAGTCTATCGCTTTGTGCTTGCTTTTTCTGCCTTGTCGTGCTGTCATTTTTCGGCCTTGCTTATAGCCAGAACGGCCCTCCTCCAGTGCCGGCTCTCGCTGTTGTCTGACAAGGCTACAAGGCTCCTGGTGGTGTGGTTTTCTAGGCGAGAGAGCAGGAAGTTGGGAGGGAGGAGTGGTACGATTTATGTGAGAAGGCATGATGCCATCTGTTGTGTCTTCCTCATAAGTCCCATCTCGGCTTCACAATAGATATATGCTTCATCGATTCAGACAGCGCCTCTAAGGAGGCGGGAAGAATATCTGCAGCGGGATTTTCAAACAAAACAAAATCAATAATCAAATTGGCAGAGTAACTATGACGTGAAGGCACTGACCGCTTCAAAGTGTGGAAGGATACGGGAATTCAGAACGAGTGGCTCTCGAGTTGGTTTCGATGTTGGTTACTCCTCATTTGGGCCGCGATGCAATGACACTAGGTCAGTTCATCCAGCATCGGAAATATCACGTGTTGTCTACTGCGGTGCAGTACCTAATTGATTATGCCCGGCATATCTTTTCCGAGGAACCACTTGTGGCTGTTACTTCGCTTACACGATACGCGTCGAGGAGCTCTTCCTGCAGAGTCGATAAAAAAAACTCACTGTCGTTGCATGTGTAAAAAAGAACCTTCATGACCGAAAAGGGCGAAGACGGAAGCTCGCAAAGCCTAGCTTCACCGATTTATCGGTACGTCACGGGAATGATTGATCAAATAAAAGTGTAAGCACAAATTGCGCAAATGCGCCTAGGGAATACTATTCTGGAGGTTTCGCAAACCGCCATTTTATCAGCTGATTTATAACCACCTGCAGTGTCTAAGTACGGTCAGGTCCAAAATTTGCCGCTGCTTGAAATATCATACGTTATTTGATAAAGTCCTCATTGAATTCTCTGCGCATTTATGAGGACATCGGAAATACAGTCTTAGTATAATTTCAAGCTACGAGTGGCGTGTCTCGATAACTTTGTGGGAAATTTTGTCGCACGACAGCGGGAGCTTCGACTGTTACCTACGAATCGGCACGATAAGACCACGGAAAGAACTGCTAACATATGAACGCACTTTGAAAGAAATCGGAAAGAAAAAGCCCAGCGTTCAGTCTTTGCTAACTCTCAGCGTCGACCTAAGAAGTTGTATTGTACTTAAAATGATAAAGATATTATAAATCCTACGACAGCTAGACGTCAACTACAGTAACCCTTCAGAGTGACACGACCCGAAACACAGGTGGATATTGGCAATGGGTTGAAATTCCGGACGGATGCTGAGTTGAAAGACTGTTTACAGTTGACATTAAGGATACGGAGACCATGTCCACGGTTCCCAGAGTTTAGGTGTTACGTCTTTCTACGGGCACAATACAGTTGCTCTTAACAGCTTCCCTAGCTGGAGTGCGATTCCACAAGCTGCGGAGAAAGTGTTCTTGCTGATATAATAAGAGGGGTTGAAGCACAATCAGTAGTAACTATGACGATTAACAGGCACAATAAATTACCAACCGATGGCAAAACATCTCCTACAGAAAAGCTACAACGCCGATGTCACCACAGCATCGCAGATCTGGGGCAAGAAAATCTATATGTAGGACCAACCTAGCAAAAGTCCTATTTTGGAGTTTCAGTTGCGGAAGATCCGAAAAAAAAGACTGAATATGTGTCTGAATGATGGTATATGATTTGCGACTTCTCCGAGGTACAAAAACATCTTATATCAAGCCCCTTCTCCTCCTTTCTGTCAGCTACCTTGGCTGGGATGAGTTTTGAAGTGCGTTTTTTTTTTTTCCTTTTCTGGCGGGTATTTTAAACCGGACTCGTTACTGTCAATTCTAGGACTAGATGCCATTCGCCTCTTCTCTGCTACACGTAGCCTGAATCTTACCAGCGGCCATCGTCCTATAACGGCGATTTTCAAGCGTTTCCGATTTGTCCTTCTATTCCTTTTCTCACTCCCGTTCTATTCCTGTCTTCTCCTTCTTCTAGTTTCCTCTCTCTCTCTTACTCAGTTCATGAAATTTTGTCTTGATTGTCACCACTGCCATAGATTGATACCAAGTATAAATGATTGGCCTGGGCTTGCCTCAGCTTTGAATTTCCAGCTTTGGCCGAATTTCGATCCACTTGTGACTTGCTCAAGTTGTTAGACGCTCCCGAGCGACACGAGGAAGCTTGATGCATTTGGAAGTTTAATGCACACTACTAGGCCCATAGAGACGTCCCACCAAAAAAAAAAAAAAAAAAAAAAAAAAAGGCACGAATGTGAAAGTTCGTCACAGTGAGAGAAAAACATAGCTGTTCTGCAATGAGTGCGACAAGACTGGACTTTTTACAAAGACCTGGTTCAAAGAGCCTTGAATAGCAGATAAAATTAAGTGGATTGCAGACTTATTTCGTGAACACCGGTCCCCACTTACAATTGATTTCCACACACTGAATCGCCAGATCTGTCTTTGGCTACGGAGTACTACGAGACAGCGCTGTTTTATCCAAAGACTTGTCTACTACATTATTTGAAGTAGTGTTCGTTTCGATCCATATTGGCGTAACTCGAAACAGGAGCCGCAGCTAATCCAAGGCTCTACAGCCTCACGTCCCCACCGTGCAATTCTTTCTCTTTCGGCTTGCCATTGGCTTCCTTGCAGCAACCGTGACAGCAACACATACAGTGGCAGCGCATTCTCGTGGGCAATGGACCTCGGCCATGGCAGACGCGCGCTGCATCGCTTTCGCAAGGGCGAGACATGTGACGATTGCAACGCGCGGCGCTGGTATTCCGACAGCGGTTTTCATTACTGCGAACGTGGTCATCTGATTGAAGTGCGTCAGTCTTTCTCGCCAATCTCTCTTTTGGGCTACTGCAGTGACTTACGTCGGCTAACCTTTTCGCTAGTCTTTTATTCCCTTCGATCAGGAAGACGAGGACAACTTTGGTGGTGGCGGCCACGTCGCTCGCGTGCAGAAAGAAACTCGTCATAAGGAGGCGCGTCATCTGTCAGGGATCGCCGCCCGTGAGCTTTTTCTCGAGTGCCTGCAGCTGTTGCTACGCCGGCAGGTCGCGTGGCTGCAGCAGCGCCAGCAGTATGCTGACCACGATGATGCTCCGCCTCCGGCTGCTGCGCTCGAGTCTGTAGTTCGCGACCTTTGGGAGCTGCGCGTCCGCGACTTTAACGGCCTCACGGTACTGTCGACCGGGACATCGCGCGAGACAAGTCGCAGCCGTAGTCGCAGTCGCAGTCGGAGCCGCAGTCGCAGCCGGAGCCGGAGCCGGAGCCAGAGTGCAGGCATCATTGATGGCGACGGCAACACTGACGGAATTTCAGACTTGGATGAGGACATCCGCACGGTGTACAGCTCTCAGCCGGACAGCGACTGGGGAGGACACAACAGTGCCGGCGGTATGTTTGGCGGCCGGCCACAGCGTCGTGGCCTCAAGAAGCGAGTGCGCAGCATGCGGCAGTGGAAGTCGGCACCAGACGCACGGTGGAACCTGCCGGCTGTCGTGGAGACGCTGGCACTCTGCTATCTGGGCGGCGTGTTGCTGCGGCTGCCATACCGCTTGGGAGACTTTTTCCGCTGGGCAAAGAACGATCAGATTCCCTTTTTAGGAGCGGTACGTGATTGCATCTGAGTAGAAATCTCGGCTCTCTGGAGCAAAGTACGGCTGACAGCTCTCTACAGATCGGCTACATGCCCAAGGCTATGAGGGAGCGGTTGCCACCGGGGTATCAGGCTACGCTGCTGATGCGCAACACCACTTTTGAAGGCGGCAGCCTCCACAAAACTGTGTCCTACCTAGCACGTGGGTTCTACAGCAACCATGCGCTTCGGTTTCCTGGCCTCAATGTGCCGCCTCTTCTCTGGCGCTGGATGCGCCAGCTGGGACTGCCAAGTGTGTATCCTTCCACCCCATTTGCTCGTTTGTGCCCTGTCTCTGCTTCAGCTCACTGATCGCTTTGCAGTCGAGGTCTACGTGGGCGTTCAAGAGATAGTGCGGCTCTCCCAGGAGGACTTCTGCTACCCATTGGAGCAGCCTGGCTTTACCTGGTTAGACCACCCGGACGTTTTCCTCTTGGCGAGCATCGTTTTTGTCACGAAGTTGCTCTTCCCATTCCGAGGCCACGAACAAGGCACCAGTGTCGGCGCAGCAGAGATGAACCCCAGCGAGGGTGGAGGCCCAGCCAGATCTGCCGCCCTCCACATGGATTGGCATAGGTGGCAGGCTATCTTCCGCGAGGTTCAGGATCCATCAGAGCCCACTGAGAAGCTGGATAGGCGGGAGATGGAGAAGTTGCGGTCAGCCGATGCCTGGCGCATGACTGGAGATCAGGTGGACGACTATCTCGACTGGTACCAGGAAGTCCGCCTCAAGGAGAGAGACGGTATGTTTCCAATTTCAAGCCCGTTGATTCGCGAAGTGGTGGCGACTTTACTGACGATTGATGTCGAACAGACCACCGTCATCTCCTGCGTCTGTTCCCCCTTCAGGACACACGGCCACCCCCCGTGGTACAGGAGGAGTTTGAGGAGTCTATCGATGAGCGCTACCGTCAGGTACAAGGATCATGTCTTACGACGGCAGAGTCACCATTTGGCCGCAACGTGGTATACTACCGGCAAGAAAAGGACTTGCCAGAAACCGCGCAAGCATTCTACAACAGGGCAGCCAGCTTGGGAGGTATCACGGTCCAGATCCTGGTCCGCAGTGTCTACAAATTGGAGCGGCGATGGAAGGCGTGGTCCAACATCAATGCTGCTGGCACAGAGCTGGCAATGATGGTGGATGAATAGGCTTGCTATATTAGACGTTTCGATATCACGTGATAGGGTTTTGTGGCAAGAAAGCCTGAGGCGACTTGTATAATGCGCCCACACTCCGGCAGGCGGGGCAATTATTTTCCACTCTAACTCAGGATTTTGGGGTCCCGCACCAACAATTTTGCCGTGTGCGAGATTTCACTTTTTGCTTCTAATTTCCTCTTTGCAAACCCACACACCACTTCACGACCAAAGTATCGTCAAGAGTAAGTGCTTCTATGCCGCAAACTGTCATGGGAGAGATGGGAGCATGATGGAACGATTGCTAACCTCTTTTTCCCGCTTGCAGTGCAGATGTAAGGACACCCAATTTCCAATTTCCCAATCTATCGGCGAAGCGCATTTTGCGTCGACGAGCTCGCAGCCGATCAGAACGGGGTCTAGGGGAATAGAGAGAGAGAGAAAATGCTGACCAGCCGTCCAATAGCTTCGTGAAGACCCTTACGGGCAAGACCATTACCTTGGAGGTCGAGTCCTCGGATACGATCGACAATGTCAAGTCCAAGATTCAGGACAAGGAGGGCATCCCGCCCGACCAGCAGCGCCTGATCTTTGCTGGCAAGCAGCTCGAGGACGGCCGGACTCTGTCCGACTACAACATCCAGAAGGAGTCGACTCTGCACCTGGTGCTCCGTCTGCGTGGTGGTATCATTGAGCCGTCGCTGAAGGCTCTGGCGAGCAAGTTCAACTGCGACAAGATGATCTGCCGCAAGTGCTACGTACGTACTGCTGCTGCTGTTGGAGATGGTGGACTTTCATGTACTGACCGACAAATGCAGGCCCGTCTGCCACCCCGTGCCACCAACTGCCGCAAGCGCAAGTGCGGTCACACCAACCAGCTCCGCCCGAAGAAGAAGCTCAAATAAATGGCTCGCCCCCTATGCGGTGCTTGGGAAAGAACGGAAAGAAAACTTCTATGGCGTCATTTTTTTGGTTGTGGTTGTTATCTTTTTTTACACCGGACGATTTTAGACGAGATAGCTGAATCGGTCAGACAAAAAAAATGAAAAATAAACCAGCAGCTAGCAGCACGATGTGACAAGACTGGCAAAGCCGAAATGCTGCTCGCCTTGTATGTGTAGACGTTGTGGGCGCTGCGCCGAGTATGTGTTTAAACGAGTAAGAAGTACGGAAGTACACCGTGGAGGACCATGCAATTGATTGCCGGCTAGTTGCGGCCCGCCAGTCCAGGTGCCAGCTGGCACAGGTGGCTCATGCCCCACTTATGTACGGAACGCGACTATGTCGCCTTTCATTTGGCATTCATAGCCTGTCTCTAGCAACACTCTACGACTGCACGAGGCACCATTATCCACGAGACTCTCGATTCTCGATCAACGGAGCACGAAGACGCACGCCGAGCTCGAGCCAAGGGCACGGCATCGGTAAAGCAGGAGAACGGACATCCCAGGCAGCAGCAGCAGCAGCAAAATGGCAGGAGCAGGATATGACGCCGTGGTGGATGTGGACGACGAGGTGAGCGAGGTCTTTTATTTGTTTTTGGGTTTGTTCATCGGCTAGACAGCTGCTGGACGTGGCCATGCGTGTGTGTGTGTCTTTCGCCGGACGGCTATCTGACCGGCGATTGTGAAAAACAGGGCGACCTCGGCCACACCGATCTGCAGGACGACCTCGAGTTCCACAACTCCAGCTTCGTCGACACGGCCGGACGCAAGAGCACGCCAGGTGCAGGCGTTGGGCTGCCGCTGCCGGCGACGGCCTCGCGGCCGGGCGGTACAGCTGGCGCGGCAGGCGGCAAGCAGTTTCTCTGGTCGCTGTCATACTACGCACAGTTCTTTGACGTGGACACATCGGCGGTGTTGACGCGCTGCTGGGCGGCGCTGTATCCGCGGGCCAACTTCTTGGACGTGCTCGAGGGCAACCCGGACCTGTACGGACCGTTTTGGATCGCCACGACGGTCGTCTTCATCCTCTTCCTCAGCGGCACCATCAGCCATTACCTGGCCTCGACGGGCGACGAGCCGTTTGCCTACGACTTCACCCTGCTGAGCGGTGAGCTGCCCTGATGTCTCTCCCCTCTTCTTCCTGTCCTTGCTCGCCCGCTGACTCTTCAGGTGCCGCCGGCCTCGTCTACGGCTACACGCTCGTCATCCCGGTCCTCCTCTTCCTGGCGCTGCGCTACTTCGGGTCCGAATCGGCCAACCTGCTCGAGTGCTGGGCCCTCTACGGCTACGGCAACCTGATCTGGGTCCCTGTCGCGCTCATCGCCTGGTCGCACGTTGACATTCTCAACTGGGTCTTTGTCGCCGTCGGCTTCGGCCTCTCTGTCGCCTTTTTGCTGCGCAACCTGTACCCCGTCCTGTCGGCCACCGACAAGCAGACAAGCAAGGTCCTTCTCGCCATCGTCGTCGTCCTGCACATGGCCCTCTCTGTCACGATCAAGTTCCTATTCTTTGCGCACGCCAGCCCGATCAAGAGCCCGCTGTCGGGAAACAAGCCGCCCGTAGAGACACCGCCCAGCCTGTTCTAGGCGAGAGAGCACCAGAGGGGGACGTTCAGAGGGACGATGCAAATCGGCTGTGGAGGATGGGAAGTCCAGACGTCTGGTTCGGCAGGGCTTTCTTGCACCGTGTCCGGCCAACTGCCCGATCTCGGAACGACTGGCCAGCCAGAACCAGCGGATGATTGGCCTAGAATTTCGTGGAGGGGCAGCATATTATCTTACTTGCGCCTGTGCATAGTACTCTCATGGGATAGATCACGGTTTCTCGCGTTTGCCTTCAAGAATGTACTGAATGTTCTCTTGTTTTCCTTTTTCTGTGCCGCCTCGCTCTCTCGTGTGTGTGAGCCTCAGTGCTCGACTGCACCACCCTTTCCGGTCCAGTCCAGCCAGCTGCCCGGGTACTCGGCCACGTTGGTCCAGCCGGCATCGCGGGCCAGCGTGGCGGCAGCCCGGCTGCGCACGCCGGCCTTGCAGTAGAAGACGATCTCGGCGTCACGGGCGGGCCGCTCGAACCCGAAGCGGTCCTCAAACTCCTCGTCCGGCAGGAAGAAGCCGTCGGGCGACGAGGTCACGGGGATGTTGATGGCGCCCGGAATGCGGCCGGTAGCCGCCAGTTCGCCGGGCTCGCGGGCGTCTGCGGCACGCCTGGTCAGCAGGCCTTGAACTCTCACAAGACACGTCCTCGCAGACCCATCACTCACCAACAAGGATCACCGTCGAGCCGGCCTTCTTGGTCGCGGTTTGCAGCTGCAGCACGATCAGCATCGTCCGCCTCTATCCTGGCTCAGGCTTCTTCACCATCCCACACACCTCCTCGAACGACCACGTCTTGCCGGCCGCTTCGGGCGCCGACGAGTACGCTCTTCGCAGAGGCACGGCCACCCACGATCTCTGCGTGCTGCCCTTGGCCACTGCATTGGCTCGCACTAACGCAGACGAGGTGGTCGCTATCGTGCGCACTGCAAAGGCTCGCTTTAGAGGCACAGGAGGAGAGGCCCGCAGAAGCGCCAAAGGCGCCTTCGCGGCGAGGCTGTAGCGAAATGGCGACATGACGATGCAATGCGTTGTCTGCGGTTAAGTTGAGATGCGAAGCGATAGAGGATCATAACTAGGTTCTAGCGGCTTAACTCCGCTATCACTCGCTGATGTCAGCGATGGGAACCGGTTGGCTACAGTGGACCACAGACCTGTTGCTCGCTATAAAGAAAACCATGCTATTCAATAGCTATTAACACGGAAATGTATTTTATGACTCAAAGAACGATTGCATACTTGCACCACCACTTAGTTGTCATACATCACCCCCCCTGCTCCACCTCACTTCAGCCATCCTCTTGCAACTCGCAGCCCTTAGCCCCCAGCTCTCAGACCTATTCCTCCGACACCTGGATGCCCTCCCGCAGGCCCTCCACAACCAGCTCCTCGCCCATGACCCGGCGGTAGATGTCCTTGACGTCGTCGGTAGTAGTCTCGAAGTGGGACGTGGCGTCGTAGCTCTTGGAGATGAAGATGCTGTCCTTGGTGCCGTCCTCGTTCGGCTCGTACAGCGGGATGGGCGGTCCCTAGACAGACGACGGTTAGTGCACAGCGAGAAGAGCAAGGCAGACAGACAGCGTACCATGAACTGCTCCTCGATCTTGCCGAGACGCTCGATGCCCGGCTGCAGCTCCAGGTGGTGGTTGGCCGTCGTCTCGGCAATGGTCGACACGATGGCGATCCAGTAGCCCTTGGGGCACACGTTGTGGGCAGATGACACGCAGGCCACGTAGATGTCTGCTTAATCAGCATATGCTTATTCTACTATCTGCACCTGCTCTCACACACTCACCGTTTTTCCGGCCAACCTGGCTCTGTGGAATGATCAGCTGGCACGAGTCGGCATCGTTGGTGCTGGACAGCGGGTGCTTGAGCACGCAGATGGCCCGCAGCACGTGGCCGACAACCTTGACCTTGTCGGGGAAGTACGACGGGTCGCCAATGACCAGCTTGGCCTTGGTCTCAAATTTGACCTTCTCGTCCCCGTTGATCATGGTGGCCTTGATGCCTGAGATCTTGCCATCGGAGCCGTGCAGCAGCTCATCGACGTCCGTGTTCAGCATGTAGGTGCCGCCGTAGATGGCGGACAGACGGGCAAAGCCCTGGGGCAGCTCGCCCAGGCCGTACAGCGGGTAGATGTAGGGCGACTTGCCGTAGCGAGCGACACTGTTGCCATAGAGGCGGATGCGCTCGATCGCCTCGGGCGCGCTGCCGGGAGCGTCGACGTAGGCGTCGTTGAGGTAGAGCGCCATGGCGTGGCCGATGAAGTCCTTGGTGGCCGGCTCGAGGCCGAACTTGTCGTAGATGTCCTTCATCGTGCACGTGGCCATGTCGAAGCCCTTGTGCGATTCCGGGTCCTTGATGTCAAAGGAGCCGATCCACTCGATGAAGCTCTTCATGCGGCGCTTCTCAAAGATGCCCATCAGCGGCGACTTCAGCGCCTCGGCCGCGTCAGCCGGCACCTTGGCGACCGTGGCACGAGGGCCATTGCCCTGCTGCACGAAGCTGCCGGCAATCTGGCGGAACTCAAGGTAGCGCGTGACGTCGGTGGAGACGAGGATGTTGGTCAGCTCGCCCGACGAGATGAGGAACTTGGGCACCAGATCGATGTTCCAGTCGTTGACCCGGCCATAGTTGACCCAGGGCTCCTCGCCTGCAGCAAAGTTGCCGTATTTTTGGTACAGCTGCCACCCGTCAGCTGCATGCTCCCGCTGGGACGACAAAAAGGACAGGGGACCGTTTTCACTAGCTTACCGCCTGAATGTTCAGAGATGCTGCCTCACTGCGTCGCGGTTAGCTCTAGCCCGATCTTGCATCTGAGACAGGAAGAGAGGTATTCCTGCACGCGCTCTCTCCTCCCCGCATCTTCCTTTCTTTTTCTTTTCTTCTTTTTTTCAAGAACCTACCCGCCGTAGTGGTCGTTGCGGTCAATATGCAGGACCTTCTTGCCCTTGACACTCAGAACACTACATCCAGAGAGATGGCTGTCAGCACGATACAACACGCAGCTCGGCCGCGGCATCGGGGCCAGTCGGCAGCGGAATGACGCACCCAGAAAGAATGCATTCGGTCAGTCCTACACAGTCATCGGTCAGCGCTTCGTGTAGCTTTTTTGCCATCTTCTCGTCCGTCTGCAGCCCAGCTTACCTGTGCCCAGCACAATGACATCGTACTCCTTGGCAATCTCGTCCATGGCTGCAGTTTCTGTCGCGAGAGATACTGGTTGATCAGAGGCAGTCTAGATGCAGAGTGAGGACAAAACCAGCAAGACCAAAACAATCGGTGTGAAGGAGTAGAGACGTTTGGGGGGGAAGGACTGGTAGAGGTGGTGGTTTGGGCTCGTGCTGGAGACGAGGGAAGGAGGGACCGCAGCCCCGCAGCAAAAGGAACTGGGACACTCATAGCGGGGACGTCGCTACAAGAGGTGAGCTTTGCTCAAAAGTGTGGGTGGGGCCCGCTTCAACCGTTGGCAAGCGCTGAGAAAGAGCGGTCGAGCCGCTGTACCGCCGGTGCGCATCATTAAAAAGTAAGATTATACTAATACCGTAATATCATACTACTAATATGTGCGGAGTAACCCAGCAGGAGATTATGATCCCAACAGCATCGCCAGCCTGGTCCACCGCGACACCGCCTCGTCTGGCGTCCAGTGGTGCTATGTACATAGTAAGATACGATGCGGAAATTGACCTCCTGGTATTTTTGATTGATCGTATCTTACAGGCTCTCCGCCTTTATCTACAACAAGACAGATCCTCTCCCATCTGGCTCATTTCACTCATCTCGCTCATCTTGTCATCTTGCTCATCTCGTTCATCTCGCTGGAGCCTGCTGATGCCCAGCCTCTGTCTGTGCTTCAGCAGTCATGCTGGCCTCCTCGCTGCCTAGCGGACCCTCGTCCTCCAGGTATGCTGCCGGTCGGAATGCCGGACCCTCGCCCGACAGGTCAATTTCCGGGTCCGATCGTGCCAGGTCCACTGCGTCCTCCCAAGTGTAGAAACGCTCTGTCAGGACGTGCTTAATGCCTCGCATCGTTTGTCTGACCTGAAGCAACATCATCGTCAGTATGTCCCTGCGGCCTCAGAAATGGGATTGCGGGCAAGCCTACCGCTGCATCACGTTCTTCGCTCTCGTACTGCCCGAAGCCAAGATCAAACTGCTTTCGTGCCACCGCCGCCGTCGCGATCCGGTTGCGCTCCTTGACGCAGACCCACCACAGCCGGTGCAGGTCGTCCCAGCTCTTGCGCCGCAGCTCCTCAGCCGTCCACGCACGACCAAACGCCACGTCCTTAGCCGGCGGCTGTGCCACCTGACCGTCGTAGAAGAACTGCCACAACCCGTGCTCCGGGTCGATCTCGGGTTTTGCCGCCGCCGCCTTAGCAGACTCTGCCGGCCGTGGCAGACGCTCGTCCGACACGGACAGGAATTCGCGGGGGCCGGTTCGCCGGGTGCTGGAAACGCCTCGCAGCCGGTTGTTGTCGCGGGGCTGGTATCGACGGCGCTTTGCGAGCGCTGGAGATGTAGAAAAGGCTGCTGCCGCTGCTACCGACACACATTGTAGCCGTGGTCGATGTGATGGTAGTGACGGCGAAGTGGAAGGGGCTGCTGCACTCCGGCGCAGCACCACTGCTAGACGCGCACGCACCGCAGAAGGCGCCAGCGTAGCCATTGTATCGCGAGACTGGGCGGCGTGAGACTTGCCTGGGAGTCAGTCGTCGTCGTCGGCCTCGTAAGGTCAATGTTCATTTGCTCAACACCACAGACGACGTTGAGGTCTAATTTTTTCGGCCTTCCCACTCCAAGGACCCACATGTTCCTGCTTGTGGCTGCGATTGTGGCGGTGCCACCAATCAGGACTTACACAATCGCTCACCGAACAACGACAAAACTACGGAGTATCAAGCCATTCTGTCGCGCAACTCCCAAAACGACTCCGCCTTCAAAGCAATGTCTCTTTGGAAGTGAGCCTTTCACCCGCACCCCATCGCCTGTCATATTCGGCGTCTGACCGTATTCTTAGATCGTACCGCGCACTTTCGCCAACCACCCGCTTTGGCGTTGGCATTGGTGTGCTGTTTTGGGGCACGGCTGGCCTGTACTTTTCGGATTCGGCTGCCGACCGCATGGGCATGACACCGACAGAGGCAGACCGGCAGTCCCTGGACAAGATGATGCCAAAGATCCATGTCGTTGATCCCCAGGAGAAGTGAAGAGTCCGCATTATCGGCTATAAATAAGCAAGGGCTATAGCAGTGCCAGTCAAATCGATTGTGCCTCGTCCTCTTCTTATTGGCTAGAAATGGCCAACGAGTCATGATTGTGTGCACGTCACAATTATAACACATTACCACAAGCCAACCGCCCGCTCCAGTTCAGCCTGTTGCACATCCGGGTGTCAGATGAGAGAGGATGGAGCCTGGTTTTGCATCACTAGATTGTGCAGCCACCTTGTCTTAATAATCCACACAATGCCACATGAAGTGAAGGCAACACTATTTCAGTACAAACAGCTTTTGGTTTCATGCCCAGAGCAGAAGCCCCTGTTACCATCATGCTACATGACTTCACCGAACTAAAAACCACACCGCTCCCGATTTGCACTGGCCTCATATTCCCATACAAATATATATATTAGTCGATGGGTGTGATTTAACAAACAAAAAATCAAACATAGCCTCCGTTTTTTTACCACCCCTCTTCAAGTATTCTGGGTTGACAGAAAGAACAGTTACCACCACTCCGTTTCCCATGGATCTAAGTTCAGTGAAACAATGAAATGATGCATTTTTGTCGGGAAGTAAAGACTTGCCAATACCAGGATAGGAAATCGTCAACTGCAATGACACCGCATGAACGAGCACAAAAACAAATCTAAACGAAAGCATAAAAGCACAAACGCGAAATCAGTCTATCAGTTGCCAATCCCGACCGTTAAATATGCGAAGCAAAGAGACCGCCGTTGTTCCAATCTGATGCAACAGGAGTAATCATACTTTTTTGTCCTATAAGGAAAGGAAAGGAAATTGGACGTAGAGCAGCCTGACGAGACTCCACCCAAACAACCACAAAAAAGGAGACAACGGCTAAGGAAAGTCGAACAGAGGCAGCAGTATAAACAGGCAGTCGGGAGTTGATGCGAGAATGGAAGACAAACGCCACTAATGCGGAAACAAAAAGGAAAAAAGCCTGATACCGACCTGAGTCTAACGGGGCTGAAACTTTGTACATCATGACTGCCGTGACTGTGTTGGTACCGCTTAAATGAGTTCTGCCTTGATCGGGTAGAAGCCAGACGAATTGACCACTTGTGGTGGCGTGATAGGCCCGGCACACCATAGAAATGACCGATATCGCTAAATGACCAGATAATTTCGCTGCACGTAGACTTGTTTGGCATGTCAAATCTCAACGGCCTTCCGGAAGCCGACAGCCAGATGAAAGGTTGCTTCCCGCGCCTTTGATCGACACTCCTTTGAAAATGAAGGCGTTTTCAAGTGCGTGTGATGACAACTGTCGTGTCATTTCCGGATCCAAACTGTACGTGATTTTCAAACGTAGCTGAAATCACAACTGTAGTCCTAATGCCAGTCTGGTTGCCGCAACGAGGGACCAGACAAGTCGCCCATGATTGCAATGAACCCTCCTACCATTACAATCCGGCTAAGGACGGGCCACAAACCCGTCCCGGAATGGCCGAGGAATTGTTTTGTCGACCACAAGTGAATGAGCAGCAACGCAGACGATTGTAGCAGGGAGCCCAGTGCAAACTTCTAGTACACGGAAGTAGAGATATGAAGGATTGGAAAATGCACGTGGTAAAGAATGTACAGATTGAGAGAGGCCTCGAGATTCTCTGGAAACAACGGCCATATTCGTGGCGATCGGGGGTGGAAAGAGGGTAAATTGTCCGGGATGCTTGTTGCTGGTACGGATCTTGAGTAGAGAGCGGATCCCAACGACTGAAGGATAGCGGTCAGTCGGTGGCAGAGCTGTCGCCGTGGCCTCTCTCCGCCGGGAGGCCAACAGGTTGAACGCCAAGGGCGTTACGTTCTTGCTTGATTGCGGTCTGCGTCTACCGAGTATTAGATGGGAACAGATGATTGACTGGTGTAGGTATGTTGCGCACCGGCCTGAAACATCGACGACCAATCGAGGTTCGATTGGGGGTTGGCATTTTGGCCAGTGAACATAGGCATGCCATTCTGGTTACCCGGCATGTTGTAGTTGGCCAGCTGCGGGTTCATACCACCAGGAACACTTCCATTATAAGGAGACTGGTCATACGAGCCACCTGGGCCTTGGGGACCCGGGCCGCCGTTACCGACGCGGGTAGGAGCACCCATGACGTTTCCGGCGGCGCCTGCAGCAGCTGCAGCAGCGGCAGCGTTACGCCGGTTCTGATCCGCAGCAGCAGCATCGTCCATGCGGTTCATGCTGTTCGAACGAGACAGCTGGGCCTGGTCATTGGACATTCCGTCGCTACCCGCAGGCATCAGCCCGAAGGGGTGAACCATGCCATCAGGCTGAACGTTGCCCATGCCGTTCATGTGGCTCATATCACCAGCCTCGGCCATGTGCTTCTGAGCCGCCTGCTGATTCTTCTTGACATGGGCATGTGGGTGCGACAGATGGCTGGCTCCCGTCGGGTTACCACGACGAATAGAGCACTTTTGGAAGTGACGCTTGAGAATGTCGCTGCGCGAGAACGTGTCGCGACACAAAACACACATGTATGGGCGGTCGCCGGTGTCTGCGATTGTCAGTTTTCTTTTCAGGCACAGAAAAGGTAGAAAAGGGATGCACTTGGAAAGTAAACTTACGTCTCAGAAGGTGACGCTTCAGATGCTTTGCGTGGAGGTACGTTTTGGTGCAATGAGGGCAAGGGAACTTCCCGTCGGCGTCCTTCTGGGGAATCTGGTTCTTGGTGACCGTGCCTGCAGCTGGGGGAGCGGGTCTGCCTGGGGCGCTCGGCAGAATGCCTCGGCGGCCCTGAGAGCCAACCACGTGGGTCGGCTGCTCGGTCTCGGGAAGCATTGTTGCCTGAGGCATCATGGGGCTCTGGCTGTAAGGCGAAGACATCCCTGGTTGTGGCATGACGCCGCCGGCAGGCATAGGACGCAGCACAGGTGGACCCCGAGAGCCTGGAGCCGGTGCCGGGGCGATGGGTTGGGGATGGGCCATTGCGGTGGAGGACTGGGGAAGCATTGCCGACGAGGTTGCGCCATACTGATGAGGCTGCTGGTAGGCATTGCTCATCATCTGGTAGCCTCGACCACCATTAGTGGTCGGCGGAGGAGGGTAAGCGGTCATGTTGGCAGGACCCGGGGTGTTTGGGGTTGCGGGCGTCCGTGGAGTGTGTGGGTAGCTCCCATAGGGATTGCCCGCATGCATCATGCCGTTGTTCTGCTGGTGTTGGGGGTGTTGCTGGTGCTGCTGCTGCAGGGGTGGCAGCGTATGCGGCTGGAGATTCTGTGGCGTCGACGAGGCAGATGAAGGGTAGGACTGGTTCGATGTGCCATTCATCACGTTAGACGAATAGTGTGAGCCGTCCATTGTAAACCTGTTTGTTTCCTCCGATATTAACCTATAGAACATTGTCAGCAAGAAAGACTTGGACTGATGGTAGAGGCAGAGAAAGCAAACAGGAGAAGGTGAGAGGGCAGAAGTGCAAATGATATATGGGTAGCGGCAGAAACAGGCCAAGGGGTGAAGAGACTTGGCGGTCAAGCAAAAACAGAAGAAGCTAGAGAGCAGACGACGACAGCAGACGACAGACGTGGCGGGTTAGGTGATGGCAGTCGAATCAGAAATTGATCTGGAGGTTTTCGCACGCAACGATGAAAGCTCGACTGTCTGGCTGCCCGAACAGACTGGAAGCCAAAATCCAGCCAGTAACGAAGTCGCGCTGGCTGCAAGCTCTGACTTGGCACATGCGAATTCGCGTCCATGTTTCCATAGTATGTATGCACTTGCTCGCAAAGCTGCATTGTGTCTCGTGCCATTTGTTTGGGCTGCTTCTCGTAACGAGGATGCAACGACAAAAACAACACCAGCGCGTCCAATTGTTGGTCGTGTCGCGTCTGCTCTAAACCCGTGTCTTGATGTCTATCGCCCAGATCATGGCCGCATCTCTTCTGTTTTGCGCATGATCACCAGTCTGGTGCTTTGGCCATACACCTCTGTACTTCGTTCTTACCTGGGCTGCTGCTTCTACTGTGCACCACTCAATCGTCTGGCAAAGTGGCACACGACGACGGGATGGGATGAGGTAGGGTGGAGATTTGTGGAAAGAGTGGATATTTGGAGGTTCTCGAAAGTGGAGGGTGGAAAGAAAAGAAGTGGTTGTAAAGGAAACTTTTTATGGAGGTTGAAGATGGGAAGGAAAAAAAAGTTGTGGAGACAGGACGTTCAGTTATATTGGGCCGTTGAGAGAGTTGGGTTGATTGCGGTGTAGTGAGGAAGAAAAAAAGAGTGGGTACGATGGCTTGAGAAATGGTATTTTTTTTTTTTTACTGCACCTTCTGTGCTCCGTCCTCGTCTTACCTTCTTTGGGGGGAGGCTTTGGAAGAAGCTGTCAGGTACCGGTGGTCTGTGGCCGGGAAGGGTGGATTCTTTCAGCGGGTTGAGTTGTATGGTAGCACTGCGGTTGCTTGTAGTGTGAGTAGGGGCGCTGTTTGGTGGACGGGTGGTGGGTAGGGGGCGGTTGGCTGAGTGGATTTAGGTGGATTTCAAGGAAAGGGAAGAGAGAAAAGTGGACGGGTGGAGACCAGACCAAGAAAGGGAAGAGCAGCATATATATACCAGCGGGAGTTTTTACTGCTTGCCCGCGATGAATGAAAATACAGAGTGCCACCACTTAGGGCACCAGGGATAATCACCTTTTTTGGCTTGGACCCTTCTTTTTTAGACGGTGGTGTAGGATCCGGTATAAAAACGTACCAGTACGAAGTGAGATACAATAGATCCCAAAGGTCCGTTATCCGCAAATCCGTCAGGGCAAATGTAGCCGTTGGTCTGGTTAGCGCGGCAGCCGGCAGGCGAACGAAAGACGCGCAATAGACGGCAGGCAAACAGAATAAGCCGGATTTGCCACGTTCAAACAGCGGCAAGGAGGTAGTGAGTAAAATGGATGGACGTTGGAGAAGAGCACGAGAACCGAGATGACAAGGAGTCTGAAGAGGAGAATGGATGTGGTGCAAGCAAGACGTGAGAAATAGGAAGGAGAGTGAGGAAGAGTTTTGAGAAGGACGAGAAGAGAAGGAGAGCGGGCGTGGCAGGGATTCCAATTGGCGCGAGAACTCGCACGGAGGAAGGGGGGGGGGGGGGGGGGGGTAGAAGAGTAGGGAGGTGGCAGAAACAAGAAACGATAATTTGACGATTACTAGCCAGAAAAAGAGAAGGAAGGAAAAAAAACAATAATAGTAATAATAATAACGGTGATAATGGTAATGATAATGGTAATGGTAATGATAATAAAAAAGAAGAATATGACAATATAATATACGAAGAGGTCTATTACTGCCGGTTTGTTTTGTGCAAGAGCAATATGTGCTGTTCAGCTGAGTTAGGATAGCAAGAGGCAAGCAGGAGCCAAACTGTGCTTTGGAGGAATTTGGCACGGTGGACTTGGGGAGAAGCAGCAGACGGCAAGTGCGCGAGATGGTGCCTTCCAAGGACAGTGCGCTGGCTGCAGGTGCAAGCTGGGTGGCTGGGCGCGTGCTCATGGGGCAGGGACGAGTGACAGACCAACCAGCTCCGACCGCCAGTTGAGCAACTAGCCATCCAGCAGTTTTTACTCACCGGCTGTCTCAATCATCTCTCCCTTGCCCCCGCCCGCCGCCTCCTGCCTGAGATGCGTGCCATTCCATCTTGATGCACGTAGATGGATATCTCCCTGGCACAAGCACAATTACAATGTATCTGTGCAGCGTCTGCGCAGAATGGCAATCCTTCCCTTCTCCCCTGCCCTGTCTCTTCGGCCGCCCTCAAGCCCTCAAGCAAGACACATTCCAGGGGGTGCCGTGTGCAGACTTCCGTGTGCGTTGTTCAGACACCCAACCCTGCCCCTAGCTAGCCCTGTGGCGTACTCGTACTGGCGCGTGCAGGTTTTTTTTCTCTTTCTTTTTCTCTCGCTCTCTTCTTGAGACACATCTTACGAGTTTTACTTTCCGGTGCCTCCTAATTAGGCTAGCGCTCTGGGAGTAAGAAGAAGAAAAAAACACTCCCCACCCCAGAATAAAGAACATCGCTCGTGCCAACCTCCCCGGCCTAGAAAAAAAAAAAAACAACGCGGTCGCGAACTGACCTGCCTCTACTCAGTAAGGCCGATGCGAACAGCGCTTTGACGGAGACCGGGAAGATGGAAGACGGAAGGCGACTACCACCATTCGGCCTCGCGCACAGGACCAGACTAGCACATTGAAGTGTCGTATTACGAGTACTCGTATGAGAGCCGCCTGCTGGTTGTTACAGCCAGCTAGTGAGAAACAAAACATACCCTTGGTACGCGGAACGTCGTAAACTGCCCGATTGGGGAATTCTTGCCATCATGACGATGATGCGACCGGCGGCAGGTGACGTCGATTCCCCGGCATCGTCCTATCCTGCTGCAGCCGTGCTGGTTGGCAGAGCCCAATGCGAGAGCCCGTCTGCGCCTGGCGTGTTTTCATCCTGACGGCATATGTATTTTCAGCAGTCCCACGTGGTTGTGCGTCTGCGTCTGCGTGTGCAGCCGTTATTCTCCTCTCGTAGAGCCATTCGTCCAAACTGACCAATTTTCTTGGACGGAATACGGAGTAAACGTGAGCAGGTCCGTTAGGAGACGCGGGCGGGAATACACAGGCGGGAATAGTGCTCGCTTCACACCTCTTACCGCCTTTGCCCCCTAAGAGGCAAGATCTCTTCCGGCTTTGCCTGCATTCGGACAGCCAGCCCGCCCTTTGCACCCTTTTTGGACTAGCCTGCTGGCAAAGGAGTGCGCAAACCGCCAATTGATCGTTTTGCCTGCCAGGAGAAGGCGACATCGACCGGCCACTAAGTTCCCCCCTAATAGTAATGGCAAGTGCTCGTACATTTCCCAGTATCACATTCATGCAACTGGTCGTGTCCTTGATATTCAGGAGGCGAGAGAAAGGGGTCTGATCGGCTGACCTGGCTTCTGCAGAAACCAGCTGTGTGAGAGTACGAATGTCGGGGTGGACGATCTTGCTAGCTGCCCAGTTGCTACGTCGTAGATGCCGGCTTGCCGGCGCCCACGGTTCTGTTCTGCGTGCATAACCGGCTAGCAGATCTGGGGAGGCCGAGACACCGCATCCCTTTCTTTTCAGTGTGCTCGGAATGTCTCGATACCTGCTGCACAAACTTATGAGACCGAGTCCTGTAACCGAGATTTCTCTCTTTGCAGGACGGTGTCAGCTTAACAGTCCGGCGGCCGTAAAAGGCTTAGGGTTTGTGGTGTGGCTCGAACGCGCTACGGAGGCAAAGTAGACAAAGTGGACAAACTCGAACACAGGCATATACGTCGTACTCCGAACGAGTAATTGTTAATTTGAAGGCTGGCAGTGATGCGCTCGAGTGCTCCGCACCTGCCATTTCGGCGGGGACGTGAAACTCATCTCCAGGGTCAGCGCAAAGAGTCGGTCTGTGAGGAAGCCTTCTAGAAGGCCAAAAAATGGATGGCGGTGACACGAAGGCCAAACCGCCTGCAATCAGGAGGAACCCTCGAGCCCAATCAATACTACATACGACGTACGGCCGCTAATGCGGCGTGGCACGAACGCTTACACATACATAGGACTCACAGTCTGCACTCGTACGGAGTACTCGTAGACGAAGACGGCCTCGGCAGCGGAACAGGCAATGCACAGGCATCGTACTCGTGTCAGGCACCAACCAAGATGGGAGCCCGGACGGGATTGAGCAGAGGGCCATCTGCCCTGGACAAAGTTTGTACGACGGGCTCTATTTCTCGGCAACATGCTGTGCGAGGATGCATCTTCCCTGCCCCAGAGTCGTAAGGAAGTAAAAGATATTATGTAAGATGCTGTAAGGCATTATTCACGAGTTGCAGTCCTTTGTCCCGCTTTCCGGGGCGAATAACCCTTTCCCTCCTCGCCTCCATTTTTTTTTAGCGAGTGGTCTCTCCTATATTAATCGTTCGCCCAACAGTTCGGTTGCCGGACATGTCCCCGATGCATGCGAGCAGTCCACTCACACCGTTTTTTTGCGACGCCAGCATGGGTGTCCGGGCACTGTGCAGGACACTGTACTCCGTACGCGTACGTCGTATGCTAGTTCGGAAATATATTCGTAGACTCGCTGCATGCCAGGTGTACAAGTACCACCCATGGTGGAAAAAAGCCACGCCTTCTGAGCTTCTGACAGACAAGGATACGTAGAGGCCTGCTCCGTGACCGCCAGGATACCTGGCTGCTTCCTGCAACTAGCCAGAGCGATGTCCCACCCTGCTCGCGTTGCGAAACGCGAGCAAAACAAGCAAGAGGGCGCGTACAGAATAAGTGGCAGCAGCAGAGGAACCGGACTTGCTCGCTGAAACATCAGGCTTTCCCCGGAAGGCAGAGCGCTCTTGTACGACGCAACTGACAGGATGTGTTGTTTTTTAGTGGCCGCCCGAGCTGTTTCGCTTGACAGAGTGGAGATCTGGCTAGAGAGAGAGCTCTCGACTGCCGTTAGACAGGCAGAGACCCCACTGGAGCAGCTTACGGGGCATATTGGTAGTGCAGCCAGCATCTTGACAGCGCCAGATAAACGATCTGTTGGAGGCTCTGGGAGGGGCGCTCTCTTGTTCAGTGCAGCTTTCGTGGTGGCACCCGCTGTAATTATGGGGAATGGGCTCGACTAGCAGCAGACTCGAGCACCCACAAAAAAAGCATTGCTGCCAAAGTACGAGGAGCATGTTCAAGCACGGTGAGAGGGTTTGCCAAGCATCGCGTGTTTGCTGTCTGTACAGCGGTGCTCTTGGGCACCTACGGGGTACTCGTACGGGTAGCAGGAGCATATAATATGGACCAAGGACGACCTGCTGCTCCAGCCAATAGTGTCGTAGCTAGAAGCTCTCCTGTCACAAGGCCCCACCATCCCAAGTACGGAGTACGGACGTGCTGGTGGCATTGATGTTGTACGCGGTATTGCCCACGGCACAGAGGACGTCGACGCGTAAGGCGGATCAGGATAAACGGCTGTCTGCGGCTTGAGAGCACTGCCACGCGCAATCTCACGGCCGGCGAGGCGATGTATCCCTAGATGCCATCTACGCGTGCATAGTAGCACGGCCAATTGGCCTGGTAAGATGGTGTCGGGTGCCATTGGGAGCGCCAAAACGAGTCGAGAAGGAGGGCCGGAGCAGAGGAGGCAGGAGCGACAGACCGAAAGGCCGGCCAGCGACACGGAGCAGGACAGCTCGTAAGCAAGAGCAAGGTGGCAGGCGCGCGAAAAGTGGGCATTGGACGGGCGTTCGGGTCGCCCAAGTGGGTGTGCCCGGATGTGTTTGCAGTCGAGCAGAAGGTGGGCCGGTGGCTCTTCCGTGTTGGCTCAAAGCGTACGCGTATCCACAGGAGCTGTGTCTGCCGGCAGGCTGTCAGATGACCTCGACGCCGACGACAAACCATTTGTTCACTAATAGGATCGGCTGCAGGCAAAATACGAGTACGTGTGCGTGTTCTCCGATGCCAGAGGTTGCGTCAACACTTGCCGTTGGCGGCAGCACGACTCGGCCACACATTCTTCAACCAACGCACCCTCTGCCATGTAGAAAAACAACAAGGGCGCAGGCGGAAGACGGGCACGACGGCGACCCTGACACATGCATGCAACAAATCGAAATTGCCCCCTGCGAGCAGGTACCGGGCACATAAGATACTACGAGTATGCAGGCGCAGAGGATTCCCATTCCCGTATAGCCGCCTGTAGGAAGCGCCAGCTGTAGCAGGCAGAAAAGAGCGCTAGGGACGGCCGATGAAATTATCCCACAATAGGAGCGACAAAGGAAGAGAGAAGGTGATCAGAGGCAGGGCCGCATCCAGCCGGCCGAGCCTGTTGGTGTGGCTTGGATGCAGCTTCTGTGACAGGTGCGAAAAAACCAGCACATCAGCACATCGGCACGCCAGCGCGCCAGCACACCAGCTCACCAGGTTGTTCCCCCCTCCCCCCTGGTCGGAGATCTGCACTGCTTCTTATAGAGAAAATCTGCCAGTGCATTTTGCCCACTTTTCCGCCTTTCTTCTCCATCTCTCCGTACGGACCGGCTACATACGACGTAGTTCCAGCAGCGGATCGGCAAGGCCGTCCCTCTTGCAGACGACGAGAGATGTGTCCAAGAGGGACCGCGCAGCGTGAGACAAAGGGCATCGTAGCCAGGCGGAGTGTCTAGAGGTGTGTGGGGAGGGAAAGAGTACGGAGTAGTGGAAGATGGAAGGGGTGGAAGGGAGCGGCGGCGGCAAAAAGAGGGACCCCCCCCTGCCTGCAGGTTGGCGGCAGTGCTGAGAAATGTGCTCCGTACGAGTACGTTGAACCCGGTCTTCCCGCGACACCAGACAGGGCCGTGAGCACGAGGAGAACACGAGCGGCCTGTTCTTTCTACTGGTCGCTCTGTCTGTCGGATGTACGAGGGCTGCATAGTCTGCACATACTTACATAGTAAGTATCTTACATAGCATAGTACGATGGGCCCATTGTGACGACGGATCTTCGCGTTGTGTGCTCCGACGTTTTTGTGCGCGCATCGCAGGCTTTTTGGTGACGATACCCGACCACATTCGTCTCCCCCCTCCCTTCCGAAGAAAGAGAGAAATAATACCAAAAATGGTAAAAAGGCGACAAAAAATAAATAAACAATAAAACCTGAACCCTTGGGCGTTGCCACCGTGCCTTCGCGGCCGCACTTTCGACACCGCTCTTTGAGCAAATAGGTTTAACGTATTATTTTAAAATGAAAATCGGCCTCTGCGGCTCCGGTCGTCGGTCACTCAATGTGAGCGGTCAGCCTGCGGTGCATTTCCGAGCCATCTCCTAGCCGTCTGCTCCGTGCATGTCTACGTGGAATGGACACATTGGGCCACGGCTCTTTTCAGGCTTCTCGCTTGCTTCGCTGGTGCTGTTGCTTGCTGTTGCTTGCTGTTGCTTGCTGCTGTTTGCAGAAGCAGCAGCGCAGAATCAAATAAAGAAGGAGGCCGGAGTGGTGGCCTAGCTTCGTGACATCGTATTCGCACTGGCCTGGAAAGGCACGCGGGCTCGCTCCTGCCACGCCACCCCCCTATACTCGTACTCGTACGTATCCTGCTCGTAGAATTACGGATGCGCAAAAATGGCAAGCTAAAGCATTTCGCCGTAGTATCTCCCAATTCAATTTCGTGGCTGCGCCAATCCGAACCTCGGCGAGTCGCAGCCAGGGCCAGGGTTGGGGAAACCTGCCAGTACGACGTGCCGTGCGACGTACGGAGGAATACGTGGTGGTACAGATACATTGGCGGACATTTCGAGTACGAGTACGGTCGCTTATATGCCACACCTCGGAGCGACTGGCCCGGGCTTGTCCGTAGCGCAGCGATACTGATCACATGTATTGTTGTCTGCTATCATCTGGACTACCGTGCAAGACAGACGATTCTTCGGGCTCGTACTCGTAGGCGAGAACGGCCGACGAAAGAGCCGGACATGCCGGCATGCCGGCCTGCCCGCCCGCCCTTCTACTTCCCCTCGCTCCTGTTCCGCCAAACAAAGAGTGAAGGAGCGCTCCCGCGCCCTACTTTCTTTTGTGGCCCTCGGTGACCCAGAGGGAGGTGGGGGACAGCATTAGAAGGCCGTTGGGACGGGTAATAGCACAGATCTGCTATGATCTTTCTAGCGTGTAGATTCTGTGCTCCCCAGCCAAGGAGAGACCCCCTTTTCCCCAAAACAGTGGCCTTCACTGTCCTCTCGACCGTCTTTAGGGGAGCAAAGAGGGGAAATGGGGGAGACCCCTTTCTCCAAACCCGGAATCCACACACATCAACCATACGAGGCTTGTCTGTCCGGTGGGGCGTGGCCGCCTCTTTGCCATGTGCCAAGTGGATTCAGGAGAAGGCTCCAAAAAACAGGGTAGCAAGGGAAACTGGGTCCCTGTCCGGTTCGCGTAAATGTGTGCGAGTAAGATGCGTCGTCGGGGATCCGTCAGACAGCCTATCACCGCCCAGGCGAGCCTGAAAAGGCGCCGTTGTAGTCCAGCATCAGCAGCAGGCCGGCGAGAGAGGGGCCTGACTGCTGGGGCAGCTGCTGGGTCCGTCGGGCCGCACTGTCTGCCTGCTTCTCGCCAAGGCCGCGACAGACGGTGAGGAAGACGGCCAGCTTCTTGCGGAAGTCGGCGTGGAGCCTGACCGTCTGCTGCTGCAGGCCTGTCTGGTCGGACGCCCGGCTGCGCGACAGCTTGGCAAAGTCCAGGATCAGTCCGAAGATGGTCTCGAGCAGCTCGAGCAGCGGCTGCTGTCTCTTGCGCAGAAATAGCGCCGCCATCACCTCGTCGACCGTCTGCTCGTGGCGCTCTCGCAGCCGCTCGGGGCTGATCACGTGCTTTGTCGCATTCGACTCGCCTTCGCCTTCGCCTTCGTCCAAGCCGTCCAAGCCGGCCTGCACGTCGTCGAGCCAGTGATCAAACGCCTGCCACGGCGTCCCCACTCCGGTGTCCAGAAAGTACGCCATCACGCTGGACACAAAGTGGCGTGCCTCGAAGCGGAAGCGCGTCGCCACGCTATCGTCGGGCGACTGCAAGCTGCCGCCTACTGTAGCCGTTGCCGTTGCTGCGGCCGTAGCCCTGCGCACAGACGTCTCCCGGCTGAGCTGGTTGACCACGTAGTACATGCGCAACACCCGCAGCAGCAGCCTGAAGACACGGTCGTACTTGACCAGGATCGCTGGTGTCATCACCGACAGCAGCGCCAATGGTGGCTTGTAGGACAGCCGCAGAAAGTCCAGCGCTTCCAGCGAGTCTGCGTCCATGCAGCGGTCCATCTCCTCCGCTGACAAATCACGCACCGCAAAGCTCAGATCTCCCGGCATCTTGTCCTTTCCGCCCTTTCTGTTCCTGCCGTCCTGGTAGCTCTCCACGAGCACGCCCAGGAGGGCCAGCCGGAGCTCCGAGCTGGCAGGCGGCCAACTGTCGCGGTTTGACAACCGCAGGCCCAGACCGCCGCTCGACAGCTGTACGCCCGTCCTCGCCTCCGCCCCGGCCAGGTCGGGGTCGAAGAGTGCGTGCGACAGCCGGCTGCAGAAGACGCCATTGCCGAGCAGCTGGAACTCACGCTGCAGCCGGAGGTGCTTCCGGACGTCGTGTGCGCCAAAGAGCAGCTGCATGCACGCGCGGCTGACGAGTCGCGCCTGGGCCGCCATGACAGGCCCAAACGAGAGCAGCGGCAGCAGCGACCAGTGCGGGCAAAACTCGTCCAGCACCAGCGTCTCCGCATTGCTGTTGTCGTTGTCGTAGTCGTCAAAGAGCCGCTGTCGGAGAATCGTGGTCAGACCGTCGTCGGCAGCATGTGCAACAGGACCGTCCAGCGTGGCCATGGACGCCTCAATGCCACTGGCGATCTGGTCATTGTCCTTCCCAAAGAACTGCAGCTCCAGAGACGGCAGGCTCCAGCCGATCTCGAAGCTCGTCGGCGGCTGCCGCGCCTGAGACAGCTGAAACGTTGGTCGTCGCCGCTGGTGTGTGGCAATGGCCACGGCTACGGCCAGTTCGTACGCATCGGCCACACGTTCGGCCTCCAGGACGGGCTCCCAGTCGAACTGCCAGCGTAGCGGTGGGGGCCCAGCGCGGGCGAAGGTGGCCGGGTCCGAGAGGGCGTGTTCCGGGTGATTGGTCCACAGGAAGCGCAGGTTGCGGCCGGTCTCAAACAGGGCCTGGGCCATCTCGTCGGGGATAAAGGCCGGCATCTTGTCGGCGTCCAAGAAGTAGTCTGGCTCGGCCTGCTCGGCGCCGGTGTCGTCGATCCAGACGCGGTCGCCGTGGCGAACAAAGGCCTTGCTCTCGAACTGGCCGGCCCACATGGTGTTCTTGCTCCGGGGGTCCAGGCCGATCCAGCGACCGACAAAGCCGAGCCAGGGCTCGGACACGATCTGGAGGACCTGCTTGGCGACCTCGCGCAGGAGTGGAGCGCTGTGCTCCATGGACTGGGCCTCCTGGAAAAGCGTGGCCAGCAGGATCCCGTCGTCGGCCGAGCAGCGCGAGAGCTGGACGACGAGTCCGCGCATGTACCTGACAACAGCGGCGACGGGTCGGATGAGGGCCTGCAGTTGCAGGACGGATCGGGACCGCTGGCCACGCACGCCGAGCTCACTCTGGATGGTCAGGAGCAGGCGGTCGACTGCGCGAGCTAGCGCGGCACGAGACGGCGTGGCCGATGTGGCCGACGTGAACGAGACGTCGACAAAGGCCCGCAGCGATCGGCTGTAGGTGCCACACTCCAGACACGTCCGCTCCACACTGCGGAGAATGGGTCCGGTGAAGCCAGATATCCGGGGTGACGAATGCAGAGCGACGAAGCATCGCCGGTCGTCGTCCCACGAAAACAGGACAGATGCACGGCCCAGAGCCAATGCCAGCAGACAGCTGCAGTATCCACGCGGATCCACGACGAGGCTGTCGCCACCACCTGTCACTTTGAGCCCGAGGAGATTGTCGTCCGAGAGCACGAGAGCATCCAGAAACGCAGGCCCTTGCTCTGACGCCAAAACAGGGATCGAGACCAGATTCCGGCTGTCTGCGTGTGCAAACGACGTCCAAGACTTGTATCCGGGGACGGACGGGAGGAGGTATTCGTCGGGATAGAGCCACAGGTCACTATCGTCGTCGTCATTGCCGGCAGAAGGGGGTTCCAGGGCCAACTTTACGACAGCCAATGGCTGCTGTGTCGAGTCGTCTTCGTTTGCCTCAACTGGTGGCTGCAGCTCTCGGAGCAGGGCCGGGATCTGAAAGAACGTGCTCTCTCGGTCGTCATCGGGCGGCTCGTCCTGTCCGAGAAACAGCGTGATCGCATCGCTTTCTGCAGACGTCAGTACATGCTTGCATCTGTTGAGCAATCGACAGGATGCAGTCCATATCTGGGGCCATACCACCGATCTTGAGATGAAAAAAACCATCTGGCGTCTCGTCGGAAGCATCGGCCAGACCGAGCTCCTGTTGCCAAGTAGACGACTTCCAAAAGTCGGGAATGGCGAAAAGCTCGGATGTGCCGCCGTCTGCCATGGCTCGAGGTGTTGGCCAGAGATGAGGTCGAGTCAAGCTAGCATTCAAAGTGAGGGGCCAAAGACAGCCCAACGCGTCTCCACATGGAAAGCGCGTTTTTGCGCGGTGGCGCTGTGGCTGCGCTGTAATACGGAAGCTACGACCTTACTGCCAATTCCGAATTTTGCAGCATCACCATCTGCATCCACGAAGCAAACGCCAGATCGCTGGACACGGCCGACAACACAGTCAGCAGACCGTCTGCGTGCACACACAGAGCAATGCCGCCCAAGAAGAGAGGGCGTACGAGCGCGGCGCAGGCGGCAGCGACGCCGAGCCGTGACGACGATGCCATGGACCTCGACACGCCGCAGGCAGCCGAGACGCCGACAATTTCGGGCTCCGAGCCGGCGGCCAAGGCGGTTTTTCGGACGGCGGCGCCCAGTCCGCTGGAGAGCTGCTGGACCTCGGAGCAGAAGGCGGGGCTTTTCTCGGCCGTCATCCGGTGGAAGCCGTCCGGTGGGTTTGACTTTGAAGCTTCGCCCTTCTGGCTGTTCCATCAGCTCATCAGCTCGTCTGCTCATCCTCTTCATCGGCTGACATCAGCCGCTCAGGCATGCACAGACACTTCCGCATGATTGCCATCTCTGAGCACCTGCGCTGCCGCGGCTTCGATCCCGACGTCTGCCAGCACACCCGCATCCCGGGCATCTGGAAGGAGCTCTGCACCGAGTACGAGCTCGAGGCCATCAACGACCGCGACAACTCGCTCGACCTTGCCGCCGACAGCCAGCCGGGCCACGACACCCGCTACAAGGAGTTTGCCCTGCCGCTCGACGACTTCCGCGACGCCATGCTGGACCGCGCCCTCGTCGAGAGCGTCGAGGCCGACGGCGATGGCGGCAGTGGCGGCCGCTCGGCTGCCACCTCGCCCGCCCAGTGGGATCCAGACGCATCATCGCCGCCGCCGACGACCGCCTCGTCTCATCCCGCCTCGACGGGCATCGCGTTCGAACCGGCGGCCGCGCGACCCAGCGTCGCCAAGCGCAAGCGCGGCGAGATGGCGCACGCCGCTCTGCGCACGCGCTCGTCTACCGTCGAGAGCTCCGAGATGGTCACGTCGTCGGCCGCATCGCCCGCTGCTACAGCCCACGCCGCGCGCGGCTCTCGACGTGGGAAGCGCGGCGGTGGTGCGGCCAAGCCCGGCCGACGGAAACCAGCGCCGCGAGCGAAGCACGAAGACGACGACAGCGACGACGACAGCGATGATGTCGAGGGCCGGTCGGCAACGGCCAGCGAAGGAGATGAGGACCGCAGAGGAGGCGACAGCGAGGATGAGGGCGAAGGGGATGGCGACGACGATGATGACGATGGCGATGACGACGACGACGGCGACGACGACGACAATTCGGATGACGACGACGACGACGACGATGACGACGACGACGACGATGACGACGACGATGATGATGTTGATGCCGACGTCAAGGACGAGGAGGAAGAGGTCGAGGAAAAGGTCAGAGCACCACCACCAAGAGCGACACGAGGAGGCGGTCGTGGCCGAGGTCGTGGTCGTGGACGAGGACGAGGACGAGGACGGGGACGGGGAAGATGATAGACCTGAAGATGGACAGGTGGACAGCAGATGAAGAGGCATGTCCACCTGACGACAATTGCACTTGTATTTTCTACACACACCGGAGCCAGACATCTTTCCCGAGGACTCCTGTAAAAACACTGTATAATAAGCGTGCCGGCAAATCATCAGCAGACGAGAGACAGCATCATATATGTGCAAAGCTCCCAAGGGTATCAATTTCTGACGGTCACCGCAAATGTTCGTATGTCTCCTCTTTTCGACTCCTTTCGACTATTCTTGACTCCCACTCCTACTGTCCCATCTCGTCGTCGTACACCATTGGCTGTGTCGGTCCGCCCGAGCCGCCAGACCCTCCGGCATCGTCAAGAGACTGGTAAAAATGCCGATTTCCTTGCTGCTGCTGCTGCTGTTGTGCTCGACCCAGCTGCTTGCCCGCTCCGCCTGCTCCTCCACCACCGCCACCGCGTCCTCGCTGCGGTCCACCACGGTAGCCCCCACGGCCGGCAACAAATCCAGGACCGCGAGCAGCCGCGCCTCCTCGTCCGCCCCGAGTTGTCGCTTGGAAGTGGTAACCACGGCCGCTTTGCGCACCAAACGCAGAAAAGGCCGCTGGCTGCGTCGGGATCGGCCCATTTCGCTGCTGCTGCTGCTGTTGTTGTCGTCGGTCGTTGCTGTTGCCGCCAACGCCTGAATGATTCTTCCGCCTGGAGCCCCTCGATTTGGTCGTCTGGTTGCTGTCGCCGCCTTCACCATCGGCCGAGCCCTCGCCCGAGCCCTCCACATCACCGTCCCCATCACCCTCGCCGCTGCTGCTGCTGCCGTTGCCCGTGTTATCACCCTCGTTGTTGTTGCTGTGGTGACGACGCCGGTTCGCCCCGTTCTCCGGCTCCACGCGCAGCAGTGCCTTCTCGCCCACCGTCGTCTCAAACACGTACGCCTTGTCGCGCGCCACCGGCTGCCAGTGGCGGATCTGGTTCGCCTGGTGCGGCCTCCCGTTGCGCGCCACCGCCAGCACCACCACTGGCTTCGGACCTTCCGTGTGGATCGTCGCCGTCGCCGGCACCGGCCGCACCTTGGCCGCCCATACGCTGTTGTCGATGCTCCCGGTCGCCTCCACCTCCCACGACATCTTGCTGCCCATGCCGCCAACCTTGCTCAGCAGGTGCGGCGGACACGCGTGCGGACAGATCAGAATGCTGTTGGCATGGTATCGCAGGTCGCGCCGCCCGCCCGGCTGCTGATGTGGCGGTGGTACGCCCAGCAGGCTGAGCAGCCGCTTCGAGTCCGCCTCCTTGACGAGATAGCCGGTGAAGAAGACCGTCTTATTGACCGACAGGGGGCCACGCCGGCCTTTGCCACCGTTCTTGCGCAGCGCCGCGTTGTGCCGGTTGACCATGTGCTGCACCTCAGCCACTTCCACCACCGGATCCAGCGTCGTCGTCGCGTCCACCACCGGTACCACCTCGCCGGCAATGGGCTGCCGCCGCTGCCGCCGCTTGTTGTAGTCGGCCAGAAAGTCGCGGAAGCCCGTCACGTGTCTGGGCCGGTCCTCGTAGATGCGCATCTCGCCTGCGTCTGCGTATGTCTCCATCAGGGTCTCGAGAAAGGCCTGCTTGAACGCCATTGTGCTCGAGAACCGCTCGTTATTCGGGCCTGCCACCGGCTTCAGCGCCACCATGTCAAAGTCCAGCCCCTTGCTCGTCACCATGCGCTGGATCAGATCGCTGTATCCGCTCTCCGACCGTCCCGTCAGCAGGACGCAGAGCGCATCCGGTTGTGCCTGTGTCAGCCGCACCAAGTCGACCACCCGCTCGTTCCACCAGCCCTCCCAAGCTCGCAGCTCTTCCTTGGCCATTCCTTCGCCGGTCGCCGCCAGAATCCGCGAGTCGTGCCACCAGCCTCCCGTCGAGATCACATCCTGGCTGGAGAGATAGCCGAGTGTCGGGTTGTTCCACAACTTCGGGTTCGGCAGAGGCGTCTTGAATACTGCACACGCAGAGGTCTACTGTCAACTGCCAGTCCCGTATAAGTCAGTGTAGAATGACTTACGGGTGTTGTCGAAATCGTAAATGTGCAGACTGCGAATGCTGTCCGCGTCCGGAAGCTTGCGATTCAACAGAGACCAGCGGCTCAGAGCTGTGGTCGTGTATGGGGAGTCAGGCCCAGTCCGGCTGTCATTATGCTCTTGTGTCTTGTCGCCGCCGCTGCCAGAATCATTACCCATGGCATTCGTAGGCACCGGTTGGAGAGCCTGCTGTGTCGCCCTCATCGCAGCATATGCCGCCGAAGCCGACACAGCCATTATCTGCAAATTAAAACTGTTCGTGTATTTTCTGGACAAGAAGTCGAAAAGCTCACGGAGACGCAGGTAGGCAGGCCTGGGAAGAAAGCTGACGGTAGCTCTGTCGTGTGTCTGTCGAAATGGAGAGCACTGATTGCTACAAAACAATGATGCGCGAATGCACGAAAGCAATGATGCGCGAATGCACGAAAGCTATAAGCTTCTAATCGTTATCGTTAGCGCGTCAAGCCACTTCATGACGCCACAATTTTACAGGCCATACCCCTACGTCGTACAACATCCGAATGCAATGGTGGAATAAAATGTTTTCGTACTTTTATGTCTTCTTGAAACATTCTCAGACAAATCCCCATCAGCTTGCATTAATAAGCTCTTAGCTACGGGTTCGACTATGAGCTTCTATCCAAGGCGGCTCCCCAAGAACAACAGAGGGTCCGTACCCTGAAATCAAATCTTCAACGGCCAGTCTCTCAGGCCCAGTAAACAAGAGTCAATCTGAACGCCGGCAATGTCTCCGAGTGATGCAATATGAGTGAGTGGCGGTGGCTCGACATAAACGAAAGGGTGGGAGAAGAGGCGGCGTAGTGAGATGGTGAGAGATGGGAGTGTGCAAGTATTAGGAGAATTGAGGGTATAATGGAGTGGATAGACAGATGGAAAGGTCAGGGACGAAGACGCCGCTTTAATCAACAGCCCAGCGCCGAGTCCAGACAAGGCGATCTTCCCCGACATCGGACAGCGTCTCATCATCGACAGTCGTGGACTTCCCCTTGGGGGTGGACGAGGGAGAAAGCTTGCCATTGCCGTCGTCTCCGTTTCTCTCGCCCTCAGTGACGTCCTCCACATCGGCCTCAGAGTAGACGCTGAGGTTGTTGAAGGCTCTGCGCCAGCGCAGCCCCGACTTGTGCCCGAGTGGGTCGTCGACATCAGTGTAGTCCCACTGCACGGGAATGCTCTCGCCAGCGTCCGTGGTGCCAACGGCGGACCCGCGCCATTCGCCCGAGATGATGCGCGCAGCAACCCTGAGCATCAGCGTGATCAGGTAGCTCGGCGGTGCCAGCAGGATTTCCATGACCCTGTACATGATGGAGCCTGGAATGCGACGCATGGCTTCGAGCCGCGTGGAGGCCCGTCCGGAGCTGGTGACACCCCGCAGGTGTCGAGCCGGCGTAAGTATGTTGACAGCGGGAGGGAGAGACGATAGTCTCGACACCGATATGCTCGACGTTGTGACCGATATGCTCGACGTTGTGACCGATATGCTGGACGTCGTCGCCCGGTGACGGATACGCGATTGTTGTGGTTGTGGCTGCGGTTCTTGCTGCTGCTGCTCACCGGCTTGTTGTTCTTGTAGCTGCAGCAGCCCTTTCTGTATTTCTTCTCCCTCCAACGGCTTTGTAGCACCAGTGCTGTCACCAGTGCTGTCGATAACCTTCCGAGTGTCCTGAAATAAAGATGCGAGGCCTGGTAGCGCATTTTCTGGGCCTGTCGGAAAGGCAGCTAATGAGCCGGCCGACGACGGCGGCGACGACGGCGGCAGGGTTCTGCCCGGCGAGAGCCAAGAGCGGACGCTGTTAAATGGACTGCCGGAATCGTTTGTGGATAGGTCCGAGTCCAGAACCTCGGACCACTTCCGGTCAGCACTCGACCAGCCACCCTGCCTCATGACAGAGATGTCGCTAGCCAACGACAGAGCCCTGTCCCTCGACCCACCACCACCACCACCTCGCCGATCAGCAGGTGACGGGGTGCAAGTCCCCCCGTTGTTCTTCCAGGGCGTGCCCATCTTGTTCACCTCGATTTCACTCGCCTTCACCTCCATGATGATGCGCTCGTGTTCTGCCACCAAGGCTGGCACGAGTCGCCGGCCGTCCTCGTCAAACTCCTCGGCAGCCTTGGTCTGTTCCTGCAGCATTGCTGCCCATTCGCGTTGCGTAAACTCCAGCGGCTGTGATGGCCTGACGGGAGTTGCAAACTGTGATGGCGGCGAGACGGATGGGGATTTGCGTCGGGGCACCGGCGACAACGACCTCCGCCGCGGCTGCTGGCGGGGCTTTGAGAGTGATGCCAGGCTGGAAGACGTCGGGGGCGTGTAGGAGACGTCGCTCTCAGCTCGTCTCACCGGCGTCCATGGCCGCTTCTTCAGCGGTGTCGATGGCCGCTCAGGGAGCTCGACGGTGAAGGCGCGCTTGAACGGACACGGCGTCTTCTCGAACTGAAGCACTTGTTCCAAGACCTCGCGAAAGCGACGGGCCCGCTCGTCGTTCTCGCCACTGTCGCCAACGGGTATTTCGATGCGCCAGTACTGTGGCCGTCGGATTTGTAGGATGAACTTGCTCGATTCCTCGTCAATGCACCAGCACTGGCTCTTGGGCAGGATAGGCTGGAGTGCGCTTCCACAGCTCAGGAAGGCGACCGAGCCGGGTGCGCGGTAGATGGAGAGAGCGTCTATAGCACGCAAAAACGAGAGATGGTGAGCAAACGACAATCACGCGATCGGGAGAGTTGGGACCGGAAGACGCTAGCTTACTGACGGCGATGGTACGCTCGAACTGCGAGTTCCATGGCAGGGTGCCGGGCTCTATGTCGTCCTCGATGGAGCTGATGCTCCGGCGACTGTTACGGCTGCGACTGTGGGCGCTGCCAATCTCGACAAAGTTGCGGGCACCCGCGGAGAAAGAGATGATTTTTGCGGAAGGGTGGGAATACAGCGTTTCGACGACTTCTCCACCGGCAGTCTGGGCCTGGCTAGGATCGATGTGGTGTCCAGAGGCCGGAAAGGTGCCGTGAGCAGCAGCGACTGCAGCGGCCTCTGCAGCAAGACCCGACATGGTAGAGGCCCTCCTCTTAGAAACAGTAGGAAGAAGAGGAGTCGCAGCAGCAGCTCCAGAAGCTCCAGAAGCTCCAGCGGAGACACGGACAAACGGCGGTGAGCCGGTACCGTGGGCGGACATGGGCCTGGTGAAAGCACGACGCCGGCCATCCGGGGGCGCATCCGGTTCATCGGCTGCACTGGCAGCCTCCATGGTGGTTGTTGTCTGGCCGTTTGCACTTCTCGGCTGCAGGGTCCTGTGATATTTTGGCGGCGATTTTGCGTGATGTTTGGGAATGCTCCTTGCCTCTATGGGCATTTTTATTGGTTGGGGACAGACTCTACAGGGGTCGTCGGACGGCGAAGGAAGGCGAAAAAAAGGAAGCGATGGGAGGCAATATTTTAAAAGCGAAGTAAAAAATGGCCCAAAAAGGGATCAGCTCGCCCGCGACGCGACGACATTCATGACAAAAAGCTTCGGAACTTTGTCGATGTGGGTGGCTGGGCCAACGTTTGTTTACCATGTCTTATCGACGACGGGACGGGAAGGAAGGAGAGAGAGGGGAGGGGATTATTAGGGGGGCTAACGCGCAGCGCCATGCCGAGGAAGGCCATGGTAGGGCGAGGAAGCCGCCGGCGTGCGGAAGGTGCAGAAGAGGGTGCAGAAGTGCGACTGCAAGCGGCAAGAAGGATTGATCAATCAGTCGAGCCCCGGTTAATCTCGCGCGCGCAACCAATCAGAAGCGCGGCTGCACGAGCAAGGCTCCGCGACCGTCCGACTCGATTGCCCAGTTGGAAACAGGCTCCTGCAGCAGCGGCCCAGTTATCTGCTCTGCCTGCAGGTTGGGGTTTAGAGGCTGCTGCTGCTGTTACCGTGTCTGAAACGCGCTCGACTGATGGTGATCCGATCTAGCTAGGACGTGCAGAGCGCGACGCGAAAGACGACCAACGGCGCTGGCGGGACGCTAAAAACGGCCTGCCGCTGTTGGCTGCTGGGTGTCATCTTGCTGCCATCTCGCCAGATACATAGTTACATTGCTACGGAGCACATATGCACACATCATGACGCCCGGACGGCGGGAGTCGTGCGGGACAAACTGGGGGTCCGCAAGATGGATGTATCACACTGAAACTCCCTGGATTTGTGGCCTGTCTTGGCTCTCAGACAGAAACACCGCACCCCGTTTCTGGCACCATGTGCTCAGCCGGCGGGTAGCTGTTGAATCAGGAGCGAGGCAGACGGACAGATGGGGAGATGGGAGATGGAAGATGGTGAGATAGAGAGGTGAGCAGGTCCGCACGTATTCGTACTCGTAGACAGAGAGGCTGAAACGACACGAGGCAGGCACACTACAAGCCGCTTATCCACAACCAAAAGGCTTGTCCGGCACAAGGTACGAGTACGATGCAAAACCTGTCGGTAATGTCGGTAGGAGCACCAACTGCCGCCCGTGGGCTAGCACGCGGTTCTTCGCTCCATCGTGCATTAGGGGCTGGCTATGATTAGCCAGTCACCGAACCTGTGAGACTGGAATGTTTTCCGGGAGCCGGAAAGTGCAGTGCATGCCGTATACATATTTGACAAGCACCAGTCCTATCTGGTGATATCCGGTATACGCACACGCTATGTGCACGCCATTGTTGATTCAGTAACCTCTTGCTTTGGTGGCCAACACACCGGACGCTCTCAGCAATTAAATTCCTGTCCTCCACCAGTCAGACCTTGCAAAAATAGATAAACTCAGATCAGTTCTCTCGATGATGCTGAAAAGTGGGTTACAGTGGACCATTCACCTTTTGTCAGGGCTCTTATTGGTCAATACGGACAGGCATACGTCATACGTTCGCGGCCCGGCTTAGGTAAAAGCTTTGAGCTCTACAAACTGGCCTCTGGCACACTTACTTCTTCCCTCACCCGCCTTAAATTCGGTTCGTGTTGCCCACCATGGCCACAAAGGAAGAACTCTTTGACTTTTCGCATTTCGACATCAATGCCATCCTGCGGGGTGCACAGCTCACGCTCGTGGGTGGTGCGTGACTTCCCAGCATGTCGTTTTTTGCTTGCCAAACCGCTCAGCTGACACATCCCAGCCCAACGAGCTTTGCAGAACCCCGGCCTCTGGACGACGCAGCATTACCGACAGGCGGTCATTGCCGTGGGCTGCGGCATAGTGATCCGGCTGCTGGTGGAGATTCCGGTGCGAGACCTTCCCCTCCATACTGAAAGATCACGTGCTCACTCCTCGTCCACTGTTAGATCATTGCCCTTCGTATCGTGCTCTGGGTGCTCGGCTTGTTCATGGAGCTCGACGCAATGACATGGGACGACTCGATCGTGGACGGGCTGCGCTTCCTGCAGTCGAACGTGCTGCAGGTGCCGCTGTTCATGATGTCGCTGATGCGGCACATCACGCCGGCCATGGACGAGCTCTTCATGCTATCGCTGCAGTGGGTCGACCACACGTACGCGCAGAAGCACGAGCACGAGCGCCCCGACGGCATCGATCCGCACCAGCGCTACTACGAGAACCTACGGCAGTACGGCGATGCGGGCCGGCAGCTGAAGCGGCAGGGCCAGGGCCAAGCCCAAGACTCCTCGGCAGGCGGCAGCGGGCTCACGCGCTTCCTGAAGCGCTTTGCCCGCAAGACAGGCATCTCGCTGGCCGTGTATGCGTTGTCTTTCTTGCCGGTCGTCGGCCGCTTCGTACTGCCGGCCGCGAGCTTCTACACCTTCCGCCACGCTGTCGGTCTCGGCCCGGCCGCCGTGGTGTTCCTGGGCGGCGGCCTGCTTCTGCCGCGACGCTATCTCGTCGTCTTCATCCAGACGTACTACGGCCAGCGCAGCCTCATGCGCGAGCTCCTGGGACCGTATTTTTCGCGCGTCAGCTTCTCTGCCGCCCAGAAGCGCAGCTGGTTCCATAGCCGCGAGGGCCTGCTGTTCGGCTTCGGCGCCGGCTTCTATATGATGCTGCGCGTGCCCTTCTTTGGTGTCTTCATCTACGGCATCGCTGAGGCGTCCACGGCCTACCTCGTCACTAAGATCACCGACCCGCCGCCGGCCGCCGCCGTTATGGCTTCCGGTGTCGATGCCACGTCTGCCGTGGCCGTGCGTGCAGCCTATGCCGACGGCCAGCAGCAGTGGCGCAACAAAAAAGCCTTTCTCGAGCTGGCCCTTGACAATCTGGATGCCATGCAGCGGCAGCACGGCGGCACCGGCAGCAAGATTGTCCGCAGCAGCAGCAGCGGCAACGACACCGGCAGCACAGCCATCATCGAGGACCCCGTTGTGCGTCGACGCTACAACGATGATCCACCACCGGCATACTCGCCCGTTGCCAAGCAGTGAGCGAACTGTCCTGGAGGATGGAATGATAGCGTTTCGGGGCCCAGAAGCGCCGTCGGGCTTTTTGCAATCAAGATATTTCAATTCAATCCACCGCTATCATTGGCTGTTGTCTGCTGTTGGCGCTGTGATTACGTCGTTTTCTTTGCATTCTTTCGTTCTACCTTATCGTCTTAGTGTGGGGGTTGCCGTCACTGAGATGTATCTTAGTACCCCGCGTTAATACTCTTCGGAGAAACGAGTAGCATATAGAAGGGACGACGGAGACGCGTCCGGCCAGGAATACAAGTATAACAAGACTTGAGCCCATGCCTGCCAGAAACAGCCGACCCAGCAAGCCAACACCGTGCCCGAAACAGCAGTCGCAACCATGGGCAAAACCGGCATCCGTACCATCACCAAAGTGAGCTTCGATAAGCCTGCCTGGGAACAACCAGGCCTACATGTACGTTTCCCGGTTAGCTTGCATAGACAAACAGACTCGTTCTGACTCGCGCTTCAGAACCGATGGCACCCCGACAGTATGTGAGATAGAATATCGTCGACGTGTGTGCTTGGTATCGGCAGCCATGCTGATCAGCAGTCCCCTTTTCTGGCACGATCCAGGACGGCGAGACGGTCAAGATTGAGTGTCTGGACTGGTGAGGAGATATTCTTTTTTCTCTTGAGCTCGAGTCTCTCTCGCTGACGTCCCGCTCGCCGGCCTGACAGGACCGGCGGCCAGATCGGCAACAACGACTCGGCCGACGACCTGCTGCACGTCGACCTCACCCGCATCCACTATCTGAGCGGGCCCTTTGAGATCTCCGGCGCCCAGCCGGGCGACCTGCTGCTCATCGAGATCATGGACGTCCAGCCGTTTGAAGACCAGCCCTGGGGCTTCACCGGCGTCTTTGACCGCCACAACGGCGGCGGCTTCCTCGACGAGATCTACCCGACTGCGTGAGTCCTCAGCTTCTGTATAGGCCTCACAGCCCACACCTGCTCACATCCCCCAGAGCCAAGGCTATCTGGGACTTTGAGGGCATCTCTTGCTCTTCGCGCCACATCCCCCACGTCAAGTTTGCCGGCCTCATCCACCCTGGCATTCTGGGCTGCGCGCCCTCGGCCGAGGTGCTCGCTACCTGGAACAAGCGCGAGGGTGAGCTCATCGCGGCCAGCGAGCTCGCCGATCGCGACGTCGCCCTGCCGCCCCAGCCGCTCAATGCTCACGCCGGAGCTGCCGACGCCGCCACCGCCGAGCGCATCGGCCGCGAGGGCGCCCGCACTGTCCCGGGCCGCCCGGAGCACGGCGGCAACTGCGAGTGAGCAACTTCTCGCCCCTCTCTCCCGTCGATATGCTGACCCGCCAGTATCAAAAACCTGAGCCGTGGCAGCAAGGTCTATCTGCCTGTTCATGTGGCGGGCGCCAAGTTCAGCGTCGGTGACCTGCACTTTTCCCGTACGTCGTCTTTCCACACCCCCTCTTCCAGTATCTTGTTCTAACGGCCTTGCAGAGGGCGATGGTGAGATATCCTTCTGTGGCGCCATCGAGATGGCCGGCATCATCACCATCAACTTCAAGGTCATCAAGAACGGCATGGCCGATCTCAGCCTCAAGTCGCCCATCTACATCCCTGGGCCGGTCGAGCCGCAGTTTGGCCCCGGCCGCTACATCTATTTCGAGGGCTTCAGCGTCGACCAGAACGGCAAGCAGCACTATATGGACGTGACTGTTGCCTACCGGCAGACCATTCTTCGTGAGTCTCCCGCACGGTGTATCGGAATAGAGGCTGTGTCCTGACTCTGTCCCCCTTCCCTAGGCTGCATTGAGTATCTCCGTCGCTTCGGCTACAACGACTACCAAATCTACCTCCTTTTATCGTGCGCTCCCGTCCAGGGCCACGTCGCCGGCATTGTGGACATTCCCAACGCCTGCACCACGCTCGGCCTGCCGCACGACATCTTCGACTTTGACATTGGCCCCGAGGCTGGTGCCGCCAAGAAACTTGATATGGGCAGCTGTGCCTATCCCACCGGCGTCACCGACGGCGTCGTCCTGGCCGGTAGCTCCAACAGCAAAACTAGCTTTGGGGGAGGCTTGACGTACAAGGAGTAGAAGAGTAGTGTAGTGCAGGACCTCCTGTTAGAGAAGTTGACGAATGCAATTCCGCGATGAAACTCCCGCTTTCTCTATAAGAATGGCAGTGAAAATCCCAGCTACAAAACACCTCCAAGCACAACTAATCAATCGCCAGCTCGGAAAACGCTGTGTGTCCCGTCTCCTTGGTGTGCTTTATCATGTCCTTCTGGCCCGATCCCAGCCAGTTCTCACATCCGGGCACCTCGCACCGAATTGCCATTGTCTGCGTATCCGTGTAATACCGCGCGCCCTTGAGCTTGGCGGCCAGCTCCTTTGCCTTGGCCAGTACGGCTTCGTCATCCGTCCCCCACTTGGTCACATCCATGTCCACCGGCAAGCCCAGGTCAAACGTCTGCGCGATCCGGTCGTAGTGAATGCCTGAGTAGAGCAGGATGCATCGCGTGTCTTTATCGAGGCCGTACGTGTCGACGCGGCCATACTGCTTAGTCAGCAAATAGACACACACGCAGCACAGCTTCCGGACACAGACCACACACACCTTGACGTCTATTGAGCAGATCTGGATGTCGTAGATCTCGCTGAGGCACTGCAGTTCGATGGAGCCGCCCCACCGCTGCGGGTCCCGCACCCAGCGCGCATACTCGGCCGGCTCCTTGTTCTCGAGCACCACTTTGGAGTACTTGTCTGGGTGCGCGAGGATGTGTTCGGCCACGCGCGCCCGGACCTCTACAGCCGGGTCCGGGATGCCGACGACGCCGCCAAAGGCCGTAAACATGCAGCTGTTGTCGTCGGGCATGACGCGCAGAACTGGTGGCCAAGTCAGCAAGCAGGGCTTCTTTAACGAGGAGAGAGCATGCACACGAGGGACGCACCCAGATAACCGCCGCCCTCGTCCCAGGGCACGACGGTCTCGTCGACATCGACGCCTTTGGGGACGAACGGCGGGGGCGCAGGGGTGCTTGATGTCGGTGCCGGAGCGGACTCGGACGCCGAAGGGCCGCCACTGTCTGTCGGCACGAGCATGATGGTTGCGCCGTTCAGCTGCAGGGGGCCCAGCGTCATGGCGGCTGCGTCGGCGAGGTCCAGCGGTGTCGGCGGGAAGCCCGTCTTGAGCGTGAAGCTCTGCACACCTGTCTTGTCGCGGATGAGCTCCAGCAGCTGCGCCAGCGTCCAGTCGGCTGCGGCCTCCAGCGTGACGGTGGCGCTGGGGCCGCGGACGCGCATGCGGATCGAAGACATCGTATCGGGACGCGGGGATGAAGAAAGAGGGAGGGGGAATCGAGCGATAAGAAGCGGGTCTCAGGATGTGTTCTCCGAGCTCTGCCTGTGCGGCCAATGGTCTTGTCCTGAGGTTGTATTTCTGGACAGGACGAAACAGCTCTGCAGGAAGCTCGACCAGAGTTCGGGCTGTGAGCAAGGTGGCGTGTATCGTAGGCTGCAGCAGACCAGGCCGAGGCTTCGCTCTGTTTCGTTGGGCTTCTTTTGGGCCGCTTTCAGCAAACACAAACATAAGCGTGGGCTATCAGATTGTAGGGGGCAAATAGGGGGGCGGCTCTTTACCTCGTGAACGGCCCTGCCTCTCTTCTTGTCAAAATGCGTCCTGGCTTCGGTTCGGAGCTTGAATGATGCAGTGTACCGGTACGATTTGATTTCCGAGACAAATGCAGCTAAGGCGAAGCAAACGCAGCTCTTCTCTCAACATGTGTAAATAGTGTGAAGGATGGGTCGCAGTTGGGCAGTGACCCTTCTTCTCTTACATACCTGAAGCGCGAGTACTTCGTATACTTCCCCCTCTTTCTAGGCCGTCCTCAGGACGACAGCAATAACGTCAGCTGCATGACAGGAAAGAGCCTCAGCTACCGGGACTTTGCTAATATGGGTGGAGCGAAGTCTGGCTATTATGTCGGCTCGCCTTATTGGGCGATGTTCGGGGTGATTAGTCAGCAACGCCTACCGGCGCGTGATTGCGTTATTCCTCCCTAATCTTCGTTGTATGCTCAAGACAAGCCCCAAAAAAGAGGGACCCCCCGACGAACAAGGCACAAGAGGCGGCAAACAGCCAATCCGACAAGAGACAGGACTCGCCAAGAGACTTGCGCTTTCGGCCATAGTGAAGCAGGCCTGCAACGCAAACGCTGGTTGAGCTTGTGTGGCTGGGAACTCGTCAAGCCGCCGAAAGCGAAAAGGAAAAAAAAAACAGCGACAAGAAGAGCGGGTTAGGACGAGGCGAGGGCAACGCAATTTCGGCGGACCTTTCTTATGCGCTCATTGCGATCGCAAGCCTCATCCCCACTGGCGGCGCGACAAAGTGACGTGCCCTTAACGGCGTCGCCCGTTGGCTCGACGCGCCGGACACGAACATCAATGGCGGTGCAGAATGGAAGCGGAGGAGGACTGGGAGGACTGGGAGGACTGGGAGGACTGGGAGGACTGGGAGACGACGCGTCGATGGAGGTGCGCGAGTCGATCGAGGCGAAAGCGACGTCGCTAGCGGATGCGGATGCGGACGCGGATGCGGATGCGGACGCGGACGCGGACGCGGATGGCGAGGCGGATCCAGACATTGAGATGACGGATGCGTCGGCCATGGACGTGGTATCGAGAGCTGGGAGGAGCGTGACGGCATCGCGTCCGCCTCGCGACAGCCGCGACCTGTTGCAGCTGATCGACACGACGGCGAACTTCCTCAGAGGCTACGAGGAGAAGTAGGTTTTTCTTTTTCTTCCACAGAGAAGCCGGGGGCTTCGGAGCTGACAGGGTCCTCCCGCAAACAGTGGTCAGGAGATTGCGCTGGGATTCAACCGGATCCCCAACAAGCGACTTCTTCCGGATTACTTTGACGTGATCAAGGAGCCGGTTGCGTTCAGCACGATTCGGGTACGTTGTCTTCGGGACCAAGAGCAAGCAAGGTGATGGCACGGAGTCTGACGCAAGATGCAGGGCAAGGTGCAGAAGAAGCAGTACTCAAGCTTCTCGCAGTTTGTGCGCGACGTAGCGCTGATCTGCCACAATGCGCAGGTGTACAACCGGCCGTCGGCGCCGATCTTCCAGGACGCGATGCGACTACAGGCAGTGACCAAGGAGAAGCTGCAGGAGCTGGTCCGAGACGGGTCGATCGGCGCGGAGGAGGCGGAGCTGCCGGACCTCGGAGAGATTCCTGACTTCTCGCCATCACCAGAGGCCGAGGGCAACGACAGCGGGGAGGATTCAGAGGCGTCGGAGGAGTCGGAGGAATCAGATGACGAAGAAGACGAGGACGACGCGGAGGACAACGGCGACGGCAACAACAACGGGACCGGACGGAGCGGCCGACGACAGCCGGGAGGACGGACGCAAGGCAAGCATGGACAGCCGCCACGGCTGCTGACAGCGATGGAGGCACGGGTGCAAGCGGTGCTCCGGGGACTGCGGCAGATGCGGGACGCGGACGGCGACCGGCTGACGGAGGCGTTCGAGACGCTGCCAGACCGGACACAGCTGCCGGAATACTACGAGGAAATCAAGCAGCCGATGGCGCTGGACGTGATCCGACGGCGGCTGCGGCGCAAGCAGTACAGCAGCGTGGAGCAGGCGATGGCGGACGTGGAGCAAATGTGCAACAATGCGCAGCGATTCAACGAGGACGGCAGCGCGATCTTTGAGGCAGCAGTGGCACTGCAGGGCCGAAGCCGCGAGCTGGCGGCCCAGCAGCTGAGCCGGCCAGACAGCGACTTCCGCGATGCAGACGGCCGATTGCCACTGACAGCGATCCCGGTGGCGGGCGGCAGCAGCAGCGATGCGTGGCGGGTGGGTGACTGGGTGCACCTGCGCAATGCCAACGACCCGGGCAAGCCGACGGTGGCACAGATCTTCCAGACGTGGGCGGACGCGTCGGGTGGCGCGTGGATCAGTGCGTGCTGGTACTTCCGGCCGGAGCAGACGGTGCACCGGTTTGACCGGCACTTTTATGCACACGAGGTCTTCAAGACGGCGCGCTACCACGTCCATCGGGTCGGCGACATTGTCGGCCGCTGCTTTGTTATGTCGGCACCACGCTTCATGGCCGGCCGGCCGCGTGGACTGCCGGCCAACATCGCCGTCTATGTCTGCGCGGCTCGCTACAACGAGGTCACGTGCCGTTTCCACCACATCGACGCCGCGGCCTGGCCTGCCTGCCTGCCCCACGAGCTGCGTGACGCCGCCGCGGCCGGCTCCGACTACGCCCTCGATCTCTTCCCGACGCCGCAGCGCCTGTTGCTGCTGCCCAGCCCCATCAAGCATCTCCTGCGCGAGGATGCCCGCGAGACCGACCCGCTGCCCAAGCCGACATACGGAAACCCCAATGCGCCTCCAATGGTAGGCGCCGTGCACCGCCGGCCGCGCCTGCCTAATGTGCGTATTGTGCTTTTATGCTTTTGTGTCCCCCTCTCTGCCTGATTTTCCCGGCTGCCACGCTCTTAACCCCACCTGAGCCTCTCAGCTCTCGACAGCTCTCGATATACAACTGACACCCAACAGGAATCTCCCCCGCCCGAACCCCAGCTGCCCGGCCAGGGACTCCCGTCTGAGATGCAGCTGGACCCGTCGCGACAGCCAGCATACCTCCATCCAGGCGTACCAGCCGGCGCTATCCCATCGCCCTCGCCTCACGCTTCTTACGCTCAGCAGCAGTTTGTGCCGCGTCCCCGAACGATACCGGTGCCGCCACAACATCAGCAGCCCATTGTTGCTCACCCTTCCGGCTCGCCACTGCCGCTCCAGTCCGGTCACCATCTGGCTCCGGCTCCTGGAAATCCCCTCTTCGTGCCCCATGTCTTTGGCACGCCACAGCAGCAGCAACAACAGCAGCAGCCGGTGCCACAACCACCCATTGGCAACAACAACAACAACATCATGATGCCACAGGCTCTCCCGCCACAGCAGCAACAACAGGCTGGCGTGGTCGGGATGCCCCCGGTGATGCCTCCCCAAACTGGCGGTGGCGCCTTTGATCCCCGCCTCCAGCAGCCGCAGATGCTGCACAACCGGATGGTATCGTCACCTGTGCCGACAGCGCGTGGACCACCTGCGACCCCCTCAGCTGCTGCTGCCATCGCGGTGCCGCCGCCGACAGTGTTGCCGCCCTCGGGCCCGCCGATACCGACAGGCTACATTCCGCCGCGGCCGACGGCAGAGGCGTTTATTCTGCCAGCCGACATCGACAGCTCGATCCCGGCCACCGTGCGCAAGCGCTACCACTGTGACAGCCAGGGTCGGGTCGTCTTCTTCACGGCGCCGTCGGTGCGCCATGCCGTCGTGGGAGAGGGTGGTGAGGGCGGCAAGGGCGACGCCGACATCGACATCGACACCACAGCCGCTGTCGGGCTCGCACAAGAGTATGCCGGACTTGGCCACAGCGTGCGCTATCTGCACGGCCTAGACGACTTCCGCGAGGAGCGGCGGCGCAAGCGCAAGGCCCGCGACGAGGCCTTGGCCGAAGAGGCCCGCGCGGCTGCCGAGCAGCAGGCCCGTGACCAGGAGGACTCGGTCCGCCTATTGTACGGTGCCGCCGGCGAGGCCTTGGGCGGGCTCGTGCAGTGGATGAATGAAGGCACGCGAGCCGTCGAGGACAGCCTGGGCGGCTGGGAGACGCCGCAGACGGCGTCCAAGAAGCGTGCCGTCGTCAGCGAGCAGTCGTGAGCGAGACGGACACAGAGTGGCAATAGGGGAGAGTTTGTGCTTTTATCGTGTATTGTGTAATTCTAGAATCCCCCACAGGAGTTGCGCAGGGCCGAGCGGAGGGACACCGGCTACATGGACACGGGAACGGGAAAAGAGCGTGTCTGCTTCATCCTAGACGTTTTCGGCTTTATTTTGTTTTCGTTGCCAAGCTTTTTTATATTTTTATAGCAATCTAGGCAATTTTGTCGTTGGCTGAAGCCTGGTTGCCATGTTGAAAGGAGGCATACGGATCAGAAATGTGTCGCTAGTCGCCTTGGAGACGTATGAGTGCTTATGCACTAAAAGGATGCAACATATCTTCAGATATCTTACAAAACTTCTGTCTGTTACCAGGACTGGTTGCCAAGCACGTTGTCACCTTTTTTCGGCCCTGCTATCGGCACATATAACCAAGTACGGAATGGTGAATCGCTCCCGTCTTGATCCCCATAAACCAGCACAACAAGGCAGCAATGGTGGCTTAGACACAATGCGACTGCCGTGGCATATATGCTGTCACCGTCACGCCCGACCTAGATAGAAACCCAAAGGTATCAAGCCAAGAATCGTCCCATGGCCATGTAGTTGACCGCTTTGTCGCCATCTGCTCAAGACATTACCTCTTTCCACTATCGTCAAACGCACAGCCCTCTACCCTTTACCTCCTGGCCAGTCTCACATACAAACAAGACTACCTCACAATGGAATCAGACGGAGAACAATTCGAGGATTCAGACGTTGAAATGTCAGAGGATGATTCCGATATGCAGGAGCTGGAAGACTTCTCCATCGTCGAAGCCCTCGCAAAAAAACTATTGGAACAAGGCAATATCATCGAGGCAGTATCAGTACTACGGGACTATGTCGAAGGGATACGGGAATTAAACGGCGAAAACGAACTTCTTTTAATATTTGCAATGTCGCAATCTGCACAGCTTCTGGGCAACCAGGAAAAATATTCTGAAGCAGAACTATTTTTAAGGGAGGCAATTACAAGAGAGGGGACTATTTCGGCCAAAACCATGTCCACCCCGGTAAACTGACACTTTGGCTGAATTTTTGTTTGGGATTCTGTCTTCTAAAGTCGAAAAAGCTCGAAGCGTGTAGCGTTTATGCGAGCTTGCTAGAATATCTTCTCCAAAATGAACGGCACAGCGAAGCACTGCTTGTGGTGCAAGACTATCGCCGGTTGCTCCGTCGAGACTTTGATGACTACGAAGCTAAAAAAATGTTGCTCCGCATCGGAGGTCTTCTGCTAGACCAAGGAGCCCACCAACAGGGACAATCACTACAACAGGGACAAAATTGCATCTACAAGGTCTTGGAGCAACAACGTAACATGCTTGGGCCCTCACACCCGATGACCCTCGAAATTGTGAATTATGCGTCTGCTGTGATGGCGCGCAGCGCAAGAAACAATATGAAGACTGGGAGAATCCCAACATGCGCATATATATTGAGAGACCAGTGCATGACATGAAGAAGATCATGGGAGAAGACCATATCGGAACCATATATGCCCTGGACTTACTTGAAGAGCTATTGTGGAGCGATTGCCCCCATGAGGATATACTTGCTTTATCCTGGAAAGCGTTTGACACGCGGAGGCAAACGCTTGGCGACAAGCACGCAGATACCATATCAGCCAGAGAGACACTGGTATCTCGGTTAACGGAACTTGACTATCCCGAAGCAAAATACATTCCTGGCAGTGGATCGGCCGAGATGACAGATTCTGTAAACGACCATGGTACTCACGCTCAGTCGGCTAACACATCAGAGGAAGCGAGCGTTGAAGGCAGATGTGGAAATTATGAAGAAGACAATCAGCAGAGTGGAGATGCAGATCAGCTCTGCAACTTTTGCAGCGAGCTTGATCCTGCTTCCTACCTAGGAAGGGATCAAGTTTACAACTTGCCATCGGAGCATTCCTATCCTAGCATAAGCCGGACAATCAGGGCGCTACTCGGAGAAAAATTGCCCACTTTGTCGGCTTGTTTGCAAGGGCTGTTCTGCGAAACCTCAGCTTTCTCTCTCCAAACTTGACCCTGATATAGAAATCACATATCAGTATATTCTGCCAGAAAGCGTGGAACACGGCCACCAGACGATTTACCCTAGCAAGGAGCGTATTTCCGCCATTGTTGATATTCTCTTGCTGGAAGTGTCTATACAAAGGCAAAAGGAACGCCTATGGATATACACGGTCGGAACGAGTGATACCTACATGGAAAGTGTAGACGCTATAGCAGAGGCCAGCTTAACAATCGATCACTCCTCGACTACCAGATCGGTAGCCCTTGTAGGGCGTGACATTGTTTCAGCCATGTCCTTGCTTAGGCACGAAGACAACGAACAAGTAAAGCTTGCAATTATACCTCTTTGTGAACAGTATGCATACATGAAAGGCCGGTTAGTACGCGAACTTGCGGACATCCGTCTTATCAAAACCTGGATACAGCATTGTGATTCCTACCACGACGGGGGGTGCGAACCCATCACAATGAACGAAGACAGCAATTGGCGGCCGAGTTGGCTAATCGATGTACAGGAAGAAAAGCTGGTGCCAGGGACACAGGGGGGCATCTATACGCTATGCCGCTCTTAGCTATGTCTGGGGACGTACTGAGCAGCTAATGCATACAGAAGCTACGGCTAACAGCCTGAAATCCGGCCGGTTGATTTCAGATTGCGCTCCTACAACGATCAAGGACGCTAAGGACCTATGTCGTCAGATGGAGATCCCGTACCTATGGGTGGATGCGATCTGCCTCGAACAGGATGATATGAACGACGATGTTCTCAACTCAATGGGGAAAATCTATCAGGGCGCGTATGTCACAATAGTCGCTGCAGACGGCAAAAATTCATGGGCCGGGCTTAACGGTCTCAACAAGCCCCGTACCAACAGGGAATGCAGAATCCCCGCAGACGTTGGCAATATGTCCCTCGGACTGTATCTGGGCTCCAGCCAATGAGCCCTGGTATCGATGTGAATCAAATCTGTTTGCTGAGAGCTGGCTGGTCACATCATCCGACCGCCCAGGTTGCGACCCTGCTACTGGAGACTGATGCAACAACAGGGATATCACGGCGCTTGGGTTTGTATATCATGGAAAAGGAACGATGGGACGCTGCTGTGAATGGCCAGCGGACAGTTTATTTGTGTTAGGAAGGCTATGTTGCAACATTTTGATTTGATGGCTAGCTGAGGGATTTTCCCTCTTCATTTCCGGTTCCTTTCTTTCTTTCAATAGTAAAATATTTCTAGAGTTCGAGACTTGATGTAAGGTACTCGTTCGCTTTAAGTCTTGAAAAGCGCAAATTCCTAAGCGTGATGAATACCAACATTCTATAACGCACACCGCCACAGAAGACTCATGGACAAAGAGCTCACATTTCGGCCGGATGCCCGTGTATTCAAGCCTCGACAAGGCTACCGACTTATTCAGTCGCAGGGGCAGACGCAGGGATGCACACAGATTACCGATCAGACCATTTCCTAGCGGGACGCGTGCTGTGCATTAGAGGCTTTGTACGGAGTAGATCACGGCAAGTTGGTACAAGTGGAGATAATCGTTGTCGTCTCTCAATAGGGTTGCGTGCAAGTCTTCAAGTGTCATCTGTCACTTCAGAACCAGTGTTGATTTCTTGCGTCCTTTTTCGGACTTGTACCTGTAACACCCCTGTGGCGCCTTCCTCCACAACCACACTGTGTGACTGTTGAGTGGTCCGAGGGGTATTTAGCTACTTTCCTAATTAGGAAGCAACTAGCAACTACACACCGCATGCCGTCTTCGCTGCTCTTAATCTTTCGATCAATGCTTGCATCGAAACTCGTATTTATACTGATCGTCCTGCTTCACTAGGTGTCCTTCACACATCTCCAAGAGTCGTCAAAGAGCCTCCTGCCATTCTAAGACCGGCTGGGGCTTTTGGTACTTGGTACAGAAGTGTACTTTTTCCATTACACCGTATTTCCTTTTTCTTCTTGCATACTCTGCATCTTTTAACTTCTCCTTCTGCATCTCCTTGCACTCGTTTGTATCGCTTGACAATGGCCGCTTCCATCCTCGACCTGTCGCCCGACAACATTGTCATCCGGCCGTTGTCCGTGGCCGACCACGCGGCCAGCATAGCCGTCGAGAATGCCGCCTTTACCAATCCGAATCACCGCGCCTCGCCTGACAAGCTTTCCTACCGCCTCACCGCCTGTCCAGAGCTCAGTCTCGGCCTCTTTGCCAAAGCCACGGCTGCCGACGGTGAGCTGGAGATGGAGTCGGACGCCAGCGGCAACATCCTCGTCGCCCACATCATCGCCACGCGCTGCCACGGTCGTCTGGCCTCGGACGCCAGCATGAACTACCCCAAGGACTGGCGCACCACTCTGGCCACTACGGTCGCCACCGAAAATGGAACGCCCATCGGCCACGACCCCACTGGCACCACTGTGGCGCTGCACTCGCTCGCCGTCGCCCCCGTGGCCCAGCGCAAGGGTGCCGGCTCACGTCTTGTCCAGGCGTTTGTCGACAAAATGGGCCGCGACACGCCGGCCGACCACGTCGCCATCATCTGCCAGGATGTGAGTTTTGTTTGTGGGGGCAGGAAGCGTGGCTCCTTTCGTGTTCCAGCACGCTGACTGATGTGCCAGTACCTCGTGAACTACTACAAGAAGCTCGGCTTCGCTCTCGTCGGTCCCAGTGCTGCCCAATTTGGCGGCGGGGGCTGGTATGACATGGTGAGACAGGCCAGACGTTCTAGCCAACCCACCCTGTCTCATTGGGAGACTTCTGACACTGCCTGCAGATATACGACCTGCCCAAGAGCACATAGACACATAGACGGAGAAGGGAGACGGACTGGGGAAACGCATGGCATTTGGCATTGGGTATCATTGGAAAGAAAAGAAGCAGCAAAAGCTATTACAAAAGCCGGTGGTTCTCACTTTGGATACAATATAATACGCCTCGCAACAGCCCCAGATCGACGTTTTCAGCAAGCTTACAGTGCCTCCATGTCTTGCATTCTGGCTGTTCCGTCTATGCATGACACTCTGTTCTTTTGGCCGTCCCCTTCTGACTTCTGACCATATACTTCATCTAGCCTCGGACCGTCTACCCTCGGAACATCTACTCCTCTGCCTTGTACTGCGCCCGGTATGCTTCCGTTCGCTTCAGGTCGTCGGGCGTCGCAAACGACCGCATGCCGGCCACGATGTCGTCGAGCGTCAGGATCGACAGGATGGGGAGGCCGAACTCGCGCTTCAGGGCGCCCAGAGCGCTCTCCTTGGTTGGCGTGTCTGGCAGTGTCTCCATGCGGTCCAGCGCCACCACGATGGCCACAACCTCGCCACCGGCTGCTCGGATCTTGGCCACGGCTTCCCGCTTGGCCGTGCCGGCCGTGATTACGTCGTCGACCACGAGGACCCGCTTGCCAGCCAGCGGCGCCCCGACAAAGTTGCCGCCCTCGCCGTGGTCCTTGGCCTCCTTGCGGTCAAAGGCGTATCCGATGTGGCCGTACCGCACCGGATCCAGCGTCGCCAGCGCGCTCACGGCCGCCGTCGCCAGCGGGATGCCCTTGTAGGCAGGTCCAAAGACCACGTCAAAGGCCGGCTTCGACATGTCTGCGCCGGCAGCCCCGAGCTCGCCCGCCTTGTCGGCCTCGGCAATCGTCTCGCCAAAGGCCGTCGAGATGGCCGCCAGCAGATCGGCCCGGTAGAACTCGCCCGCGTTGAAAAAGTACGGCGACACGCGGCCCGACTTGAGCGTGAACGTGCCAAACTTAAGCGGCCCGCCGTCGACAGCAGCCCGCAGAAACGCCGCCTTGTACGGTACCAGATCACCGGCCATTGTGTTGAGAGAGAGGCGAGCGTACGTGCTTGAGAGTATAGGCGGCGCGTGCGGCGTGATTGAAACAAAACACAGTTCGTCGTTCAATAGTCCAGTCGTACTCAGCTTCCCTCAACCGCTCTCGAAAACTTTTTCCAATTGCCAGCGCTAATACCGCACACGTGACCGAACAAGACATGAGGTCAGAACCTGGACTTGTACTTCCCCACGTTGCTCACATGGTCAGTGAGAATGAGACAGAATCAACAAAAATAAATCCCTGATTATAATATATGTAAGTGGTCTCCCTCGCCCCCCGGAGCCTGCATAGAGCCTTCTGCTATATGCAAGAACCGGTGTCAAACAGAAAAAAGCAGAGAGCCTCGTGGTAATTAACAGAATTCGGTCTTCGAACCCGGCCTTGCGGATCCCTTCTCTGAACAAGAGAAGGCGTGCTACTAGATGTACAAACGTCAGAGACCGATAGATGTCTCCGGCCATCAAAATCCACCCCAACGCCGACGCAGGACAAATCTGCGCTTGTCCCCATTTATTTCCGTCTTCACTTTCGTTCTGTGAACGTCAAGGGGCAGTCGTCCTGTGGAGCAGTGTCAGCAAACGCGTGTCTCTCTTATCTTTCCGACCTTCTTACCTTGGGGAAGATCGTGGCAAACACCTTGATCTCCTCGGACTGAGGAGTCGGGTGGTGCTTCCAGTCAAGCCGTATAGAGGCCATGCCGATGCACAGGGCCAAGTTCAGCTGGGCATAGTGCTGGCCGAGACAGTAGTGTGGGCCAGTGCCAAAAACGAGGTAGTTCTTGGCTCCCTTCTCCTCCGCGTCACCGGTGTAGTAGCGCTCCGGGTCAAACTCGTCCGGGTTGGTGTACACATCGGGGTCGCGCAGAGCCATGTACGTCGTGGGAATGACCATGGCGCCTAGAAACAGAGTCAGCAAAGCGTACGAATACAGGATGCAGCCCGGGATAAGACGGGAGACTCACCTTTAGGGACAGAGTACGTCTCGGAGATGGGGAACTTCTTCTTGACGAGGTAAGGAACCATCAGGACAGGAGGCCGATAGCGGAGCAGCTCGCGTACGACGGCACGGGTGTAGGTCATGGACTCAAGCTCATCTAGGTTGACGGAAGCGTTGCGGTCACCCTTGCGCACACGTATGTTCTCATCGCGGACACGGTCGAGGACATCGGGCCGCTGGGCCATGATCTGAAAGAGCCAAGTGCAAGCGCTGCTGGTGGCGTCCTGGGAGGCGAACAGGAAGGTGAAGATGGTCTGGGCAATCTCATAGTCGCTGAATTCGCGCAGGAGCGGTGTCGGCTTCTCGAGGCCCTCGATAGACAGACCCTTGGCCTCGGCGTTGCGCCAGTTTTCCGAGTCGACCATAGCCTTGACCCAGGCGTCCATGATGGAGTTGACCTCGCCGCCGGCACGCATGCGGATCTTGCTCTTAGCCGCGCACTTGGAGAACTCTTCCAGGACCAGATCGGCAGCCTTCTTGCCGTACCAGGTCTTGGTGTAGGGCAGGATAATAGGAAAGTTGACCAGCTCGAGGGCAGCCGTGATGAGGTAGTAGTCGTCGGCGATTCTTTTGAAGGACTCCTCTGGCAGATAGCTGCCGACAAACGAGCGGCACGACAGGGCGCACATGATTTCGCGGAACTCGCTCATGAACGGGACAGGCTTGCCGCCAGCATCCTTGGTGATCTTCACGAACCGCTTAAAGTAGGTGTGGTACACATCCTCCTGGCCGGGCAGGTAGCACTCGAGAGCCCGGCGGGTGAAGAGGCCATTCAAGCCCTTGCGGAAGTCCACATGGGCCTTGCCGTCGAGAAATACCCAGTTGTCGGCACCCAGCAGCTTGTGGGCAATGTCGACGACACAGGGCTTGACATAGGTCGGAGAGTTGAACACCTTGCGGGCCATGTCGCGGGTCGAGGCGATGACCACAAACCTGGAGCGCGCGGGTCAGCCGCTGTATGGATGCAATTGAAAAATGAGCACGATGTGGAACAGCAGGGACGCAACATACTTGTGGAACACCGAAACGCAGCTCAATGGGCCGCTCACCCACTTGCCATAATACTCCTCAAACTTGGGGTTGACGCTCTGCAAGAAGGGACCGATAAACGGCTCCTTCCATGCCGGGCCAACAATGCTGCCCTTCTGCGAAAGGTAGCTGACTATGGCAAGCAAAAAATGCATCAGCAGCTGAAGAAGAGGAAGATCATGTATTGAGGCTAACCTTGGTCGTAGACTACGGCAATGGCCAGCACAGTGAACAGGACCGTCCACACGCTGGTCTGCGCGACAGCCTCGATAAGCGGCTCGAATTGGGCAGGAAAGACGCCGGCAACGTACTTGGCCGTGGCCAAGGGCGACGCGACGACCGTTCCGTTGATCGTTGCCATCGTTTGGGGGTTGATCCGCGTGCTGCCGGAGAGCAGAGGAACGAGGCTCCGGAGGCGGAGGGGAAAATATGAGGCAGGGATAGGTGGGCAAAGGTCGCAAGCCGGAAACGACACACGATCCGGAATGGCGGCCAACGAGACGCGAAAGGTAAGGAAGGGACACCGTAGCTAGACGATGGAAGAGGCGTGCGGGACGAGGCAAAAAGAAGAGCGGCAGTAGAATAGCAAAAAGGCGAGGGGACGCGGCGTTTTTTTATTCTGCTAATCGTTGGCGCGGAAATTACGACGGGTAGCCCCTACCTTTTTTCATCGAGCTCGCAGTGGGGCACGACATCTCCTATCCTGAAGATCGATACGAATACGGTTGCATTGTAATCCGAAAGCCGAATTGGCTCTACTTACGCTTGAGTAGAAAAGGGCAGTGGTTGCCGGTATCTGCTGTCGCTCCAATTGCGCGCAGAGCGTGCAGCAGTATTCAGGTGGCAGCAGAATCGCATAGGGCAGGGGTTTGCACCCGAATGTCTTGGGATTTTTGTTGAGTACGAATGCGAATACGATGGTCACATGTTTTTCTGGCTAAAGCGGCGGCGACCAACCAGGCGATGGTAAATGGCAGCACTTATTTTCCAAATGCCTTTCGGATCTTTGCCCATCCGACAAGTTGCAGATAGTCTTACGATGCAGGGAAAGGGGCCGTAGAGCCAAAGCCATTGGCCAATGGCCATATGCCATGTTTGCGCCCTTTACCGCCTTGCATCACGTAAGATACATGGAGCGTGCGCAATGGACGGCAGAGCGATACGGACGACCAGCTGTTAATGTATTAGATCCCGACGCCAACCGAATAACGACAGCAGCCTGGAAAGTGGATTGGGTTTGTAATGATGGGGTTGTATTCCGGAAATTCAAGTTAAAGTTTTTAATTGAACAAAAAAAACGTACAGCAGCGGGTATTCGCTGGTCGTCACCGACCCAACTACTAATCCGCCGATTACTGGTTTAACTAGGGGAGAGCGGACGGGATCCCGTGCTTTCCAGTATCTATGGCCGTACGTGAAAGCTGTGTGTTTCGTGATTACTATATAGTCTGTGTGGGCTGAAATGATCGTGCCGATCTGACGTGTGAATGTTCCACGCTTGATGCTAGTTATTCTCTTTCCAAAATGAGGCTGCACTCTGTTCTGTTTATCGCATGCAACATGGCTGCAAGTCCCGTAACAGCGATAGTCCCACGTGCATCTTCCCACCGTTGTTCTTTTGCGGCTACTCCGTACTGTGTGCGCCTTTCGCCTGACACTTCCCCGCAAGCTGGCCCACTAGACGCCTGATGAGTCACCTGCGTTTGGATAATAATGTCCTTTCTCCGTACCGCTCTGTGAGGATGCGAACGGTGACCTCCACGTTCAAAGCGCTTGACTCATCCGTAGATGCCTTGGCTGCCTTAGTGTCGTGCTGTCCAACTCCGCTTGCCGGCGGCATCTGCCAGTACCAAGCGACAGCATGAACCGCTTCCAATCGGCTGCAAAACGTGCATCTGGACACATGGAGCAGGCATGGCGCAGCCCTCCACCCCATATCCTAGCGTGGCAGTGGACATCGTAAAGAGACTTCCGTCATCAGCGTGAGCCAATCGGCCGTCATTTGGTCCGGCTTATACCATCTCACCGGCAACAGCCACAGTCACAGTCAGAAGTCCTCGTAGGCGTGAGCGGTCAGAAAGCCCTATAAAATCTACAAGGCGTCCAGGCATCAGGGAATCCATGTGCCCATTCACAGTCATTATCATCCCACACGGTCATCTGCATATCGCATTTGTAGTCTGCCTCCTATCACGCGTATCAGCCCAAAGTTTCACACTCCCAAAACCTTCGCCTTGGCCATCAATCTCGACCTTACTCAAGACTCTCTCCAATCCAGCTCTTCACAATGCCTAGCTCCAGCTCACATCCCTTCAACCCCAGCGCTGAGCCCGGAAGGGCCACAACCAGCGCCCTTGCCTTTGCTCCTCCTCTCGACCACACAGCCTTCGCCGTGGTGCTAGATGCCAAGGCTAAGGAGAGGGACGCCCGCAAGGAAGCAGCGAGGAAGCAGAAGAAGGAGGAGAAGGCAAGGCTCAAGGCAAAAACAGCGGCGGTCGAGTCTGACAACGCCTCCATCTTCAGCTTCTCCAGCTTCGGCAGCACCACCGGTCTCTTTGGCAAGAAGTCCAAGGGCGAGTCTAGCAAATGAGCGGTGACATGCGGACAGAGCATTTCTCCCCGCCATCCCGATTCTTCACAGCCATTCTTGGCAAAGATGCCAAGCTTGCCAAGTTCAACCACAAACAAAGTCAGCTATTTTCACTCCTCTCACGCTCGAGAGAGAGACGACCGTGAGCGTCAGACGACCAGCTGAAAGACACGAATGGCAGAGGCGCAGGGATAGGAAGCGCGATAACATAGCGGTGCCTTTAGTGTTTTACATAGCGGCCCCACTTCGGCAGCCTCGCGTTTGCTAATTCCTAAGTTCCTAATATTCGTTTCCCATGAGTCAGAATGCCGATTTCTTGAGCGTGACTCAGTGCTATCAGCATCGTTCAGTCGTATCCAAGCGTAGAAACACAACCACACTAGAACGTCTCGTCCAGGATGTTGGCATTCATCTTGACCATCGTCGGGCTATATTCGGACGGATTGTCCGTGTCGTCGCCCGCCGTGTACAGAATGTCCTCGACAATGCGCTTGCTTGCCTCGCGTGCTGCAACGAGATTAGTCAGCAACCTGGTGCTCTTCGTGAAACGGAGAAACAGTGTATCTTACCTGGCGTCTGCAGCAGCTTGGACGGCGGCAGGGCAAAGCTGATGGTCTTGGGTGGGCTGAAGCCGCCGTAGAGATCGTCGCCGTCATCATCGCTACTTTCCCACGTGATCTCGTCTCGTTTGTGGCCGGCCGCCGAAGCAGCTGCAGCAGACGCGCCGCCATAGGGCACGGCCGCTGGCGCGGCGTCGACATCGACGCCGAGGTCGTCAAACGAGATGTCTCTGGTCCTGCTCTTCATCGCCGGCGTCTGGACGCTGACTCCAGGAGTCCGCGGGCCGGCCGCCGCCGCCGTCAGCTTGCTCCGGTATGCGGCCCGAACGGGCGACAGAAAGGCGGCACTGCGCAGCTTGGGCACGGCCATCTCGGGCGACGACATGGGCGACGAGTCCTGCCATGCGGCCCTCTTATGTGCCTGCGCCTGCTGCTGCTGCTGCTGCTGTTCCGTCACCTTGAGTCGCATCGGCGAGGTGCCGCTGCGCGCCGTCTGTATCGTCTTGTGTGGCGTTGCCTGGATGCGGTACGTCTTGTCCATGACGCGGTGCAGCAGCGGGTTCTTCTGCTGCTGCTCCATCGCCAGGTCCTCCTCGGCTGCGCGGCGGTGGCGCTCGTCCAGCGACAGCCGCGGTGTCATCGACATGTCCGGCAACCGGGCCGTCCGCTCGGCGAGCAGTGCTGAGTCAGCAGCCGACGAGTTGTCGTCGTCGTCGCTGTTGCCGTCATGATTGGTCGCACGGGTACGGCTCGCATCCACGAGCATCATGATGCTGCTGTCGTCGTCTTCGTCGTCTACAGGACCCTTTGGCGCTGACTGTGCTGCTGCTGCTGCTGCTGCCGTACCCCCCTTGCCCAGATTGAGCTCCTCTCGTAGCACCTCATACGGTGACCGCATGTCGGAAAAGCGGGGCCGCTTCGACTTGGACGTGGACGGTCGCGGCGTGCTGCCCGTCAGGTCGCCGTCGCCGTCCGACAGCAGCGACTCGTCCCGCGTGTTGGTGCGGTCGTCTCCGCAGTCTTCGCCCTGCTGCTGCTGCTGGCGGGGCGTGTAGTCGGTCGAGGTCTCGTCGTCTTCGTCTTCGTGCGTGGCCGTGGTGGTCTCCTCGGCGGCCGTAGTGCTCTCGTCGTTGGCCGCAAGCTCCTCGTACCCTGACAGAGAGACATTGGCAGCAGCCTCGAAGAACTGCTTCCAGAACTACAATGCATCCGGCAAAACTCGTCAGCTGGGCCAGTCACTCGGAACCAGACGGTCAGCTGTCTCTCACCTTGGACGAGTCCCAGACTGCCCGACATTGCTCGCCGTATTGCTCCACGACCGGGAGGATGCTCGTGATCACGATGCGATGGGCTCGGCTGAAGTTGCGATCGATTTCTGGGACCATAGTCAGCCAAAGTAGCCCCATTGACTCGCTTGCGAAGGCAAATAGCAAACTCGCCCTGCAGGGTGAGCGTGATGGACTGTTCCAGCTTCTCCAGCTCCTCGGTCGTGGAGAGCGGCCGATGCGCGAGCGAGACGCTTGCACGGGACATGGTCGTTGTGCTGCCGGCCTCCAGAATCAAATGCTGCAGCTGTCTAGTTGGAGGGGCTCGTTGGCGAGCATTGACAAAGGGCGCGTCGTTGACGCGTAGAGTAATTGGAGGGGATGGTGGGGAAAGGACGTGTGGCTGGTGCATGTGTGGCGTCGTCTACTCCTGTAACACAAAGAGCATCCGACTCCACTGCGCATTGATCGCTAGCGCAACGCATCAACGCTTCGACTCCTATGATCACAACGGCCGGCCGACTCTGCTACGTGGGCGTCCTGCATCCTGCAAGATTTTCCAGTCACGATGGTAGGCATGCGATATGGGTTCCAGATTCAAAGCATGGCTTTGAAAGTGCGACCGATAAACTGACGCCGTTTCTTCGCAGCCTCCCAAGCGCAAAGCTGCGTCGACAGCGACAGCGATCAAGACGGCGCGCCAGTCCAAGCTGGCCAAGGAGAACAACATCACGGCCCAGGAAGAGGCCGAGATCCGCGAGGCCTTTAGCCTGTTCTCCGAGCCGATGGATGGCGAGAAGCAGGGCGTGCTGCCTATTGGCGATCTGCGCCGAGCGATGATGTATGTTTGTCTTTTCTCTCTCTCTTTCTTTCTCTCTCTTCCCACGCTCACTTGCCACCAAGCGCCCTCGGTATCCCTCCCAGCAGCCAGACGGAGCTGTCCGAATTTGTATCCATCCTCGACCCCGACGACGAGGGCTTCGCCGTCTACGCGCCCTTTGTGGCCATATGCGCCCTCAAGATGCACCAGCGCGCCCAGTCGTCCGATGCGCACCTGCAGGAGGTCGACGAGGCCTTCCGTCTCTTTACGGCCGGCAGCGGGTCCGGCGCCAGCATCACCATGACGCACCTGCGCCGCATCGCGGCCATGCTGAAGGAGGACGTCAGCGACGACCTGCTGCGCGACATGATCCTCGAGGCCAACGGCGGCGCCACCGGCGTCGCTCAAGGCGTCGACCGCGACGCTTTTGAGAGCGTCATGCGGCGGGCTGGTGTGTGGCGATGAGGCGACGACGCGACACGGTGCCGGCAGGAGCAGGCGACAGAGAACACCAGCTCTTTACGAGAATCCATGCACAACGACGACACGACATTTATGCGTTCTGCCGCGTCCACAAGAAAGTCGACGGCGGCGGGTTCTGCTTCGCGTGTCGGCTGTGGCTGGCAGGTGGTGCTGGAGGGAGGATCGCGGGCATTTTGGCCGGGAAACACATCGGCACAGCGCTCCTTATGCTCAAACACAGGGCAAACAGGAAGCGGAAAGTGACAACGACTGGCTCACGTGACCAATATAGATTTCCAGATGTACGAGTAAAGTAAGCAGCGAACGCCTTGTGCAATGCCAAGAGAAAAAGGCCAGAACAAGACAGAATTACAAAAACTTTAAATCCCGGCAGAATGAGCTCTGAACATATCCAACCCCAGTAACCCTCTGCCGCCGTCGTGTGCTGCTAGTCCTTAAGCAGCAGCCGTTTCCGTGGTGTCTGCGGTCGCCGCTTCTGCGGCCGCCTTCGCCTCGGCCTCGTCACGCCGTTTCTGCGAGTCCAGGACGGCCTGCAGCTCGGGCGGGGCCTTGAAGCCGGTGTGCTCCGAGTGCTTCTTGTAGAAGTAGTTGTCGGGCTTGGGCTGCAGCTCGGCGGGAAGCTCGTCGAGCACACAGGCCAGCAGGGCGTCGACAGACTTCTTCTTGGATGCCTCACGATGCCAGATGGAGATGAGGTGTGAGTTGAAGCGGACCGACAGGCCGACGCCGCAAATTGTGTCCCCTGTGGATGTCAGCATGTCTGCATGTCTCGGCCACGGCTACACGATGGTGCATATGCCTACCCTCGTCCAAGACGCTCTGCAGCTTCTCGCCGATCGCCAACAGCTGGACGCGGGTCCAGACGTCAGGGCCGATGCTCTTGGGCACGCGAAAGGTCCAGCTGCCGCCGTGGATGTTGCGGCGGTCCTCCCAGACGGGGCGGAAACCGGCCTTGAAGAGATAGATGGACTCGCGCATCTTGATCTGATCGACGGGCGTGTTGTTGTTGTAGCGCCAAAAGTCCTGGACCGACTCGATCTGCGTGCCGAGCTGCTCGAGGTGAGCCGTGTAGTTGGGGCTGGTGCCGTCGACAGCCTTCTTGGCCTGGGCTTCGTCGGCGGTCTTGGCGGCCGGCCGGTCGAAGAAGACGTTCCAGTAGTGCTGCGTCGGCAACGGGCGCATAGTCTTGAGGAAGTTCCGCTTGGCGTCGTCACGCTGCTCGGAGGCCGTCCCGGCGGCGGGCGAGTTGGGGTCGGTCGTGCTCTGGGAGAGAGAGGACAGGCCCCGGGTGAAGAGGGGAGGTCGAGCAGCCATGGTGTGTGAGGAGGTTGGAAGAAAAAGTGTAGGAGCGAGTGTGAAGAGAAAGTATATGAAAGCACTTGTGAGAATCCAAGTCCAAGATCAATGACAAATGGAGGGGTGGCCTGAGAAGACACAAACGGCTGCAAGATCACTCTTGACGGCGACGGATCCGTAGTATGGAGGCACCAAAAACGACACGGACACAGAAACGGCACATTCACCACAGGCAAAGACAAAAGACGGAGCGACTGACTCGTATTTATCTACGTATCCTGCTGGTCGATGTGAGAACCAAGAAAGGAGAGAAAGCTTGCTGCCCCCACCTTGCGCTCGGGCGTGCCTTCCCACAGCTCTCTCCTGCCGTGGGCCAACCAGTCGAGCATGCTACTCCGTACTCCGTACTTTTGTCTCCAGAATGTTTCTGTCCGAAGTACAGCATGTCTAGGCGCTGCTGGCCCGGCTGTCGGCCAATCAGAGTCCGTGCCCCGCACCACTGGCCTAGTGTCCACCTCTGCTACCCTTCTGAAACGGGCCACTGTCTTGTCTCGTTTCCCCTGTCGGGATTTAGCTACGGGGTCTTGCTCCTGTGATTACTTACGCGAGCACGTTCGGACGAATTGTTTCTGCACAACGGTCGCTTATGTCATCCTGTGATGTCCAAGGCCTTGTTTGTTATGTTGGCATGTGTTGGTATGTCATTAGGAAGTAGCGAGTGGCCATCTTCCAGAGGCTGACTACATGACAGGCAAGTACGACTTGCCATTAGACATGGCTGTTATAGGAACAAAGCACAAGGGAGGACTGCGAAGTCAAGTCGTTATATAAGCATCAACATTATTTCCAGCTTGCGTTGGTGACCTGTTGATAATGAACTTCGAATTGAGAGAGTATATAACATTGGATGTCTGTTCCTCTTGGTCCTCTATCATTCAGTCCCGTGCAATATCATACATTCGCACAGAATCTCTAGACATCGCTCTCAACCCAGCATCCACTCTCATTCAGCATCTCAGCCAAGTCGACGGCACCATGGTACGCACAATGACCGTCATCCGGCCTGGATTCCGGCTTCCCGTCGGTCTAGTCAGCCGCACGGCCAAGTCGACAGACGACCAGCTGGCCAGCCGGAAGACCGAACCGACCTCATCTGTCCCGAAGAAGCGGCACCTGGTCACCATCACGGTGCCGGACGGCAGCCTGACCAGCTCGGCAGCTATCTGCGGCCGCATCCGGCAGCTGGTGCGGGAGCAGGTCAGCCTCCGACGGGCAGCCGCCTGGACACGCCGCAGCACAGCCTATCGCAGCCGGCTGCAGCCGACAAGGCCGACATCCCGTGGCCCCAACACCGTCTGCGTCCGCATGCCGAGCCATCTGCTCGTTAACCCGGTCGCCATCGTGCAGCGGTGCATCAGTGCTGGCGAGTGAGCCCTGTATCACTGTAAATGCATCTATACCGTAATTGGCTGGAATGAACATTGTATCAAAACACGCATGCAACTACAGAGGTATACTGATAGAAAGAATAAACAAAACTCATACCGTCTCCACGCTCCTTTCGTCAACATCGGTCAACTCCTCAAACATTGGCCAGCGGTGTCAAAGGTGGTCGGCTGGCTGCCGTGGCCGCGTCGCCGACGAAGCGCTGCTTGTCGTCGCCAATCTTGCGCCGGAACAGGCCGAGATCGGCCAGCAGCGACTGCATGTATTCCTCCATGTCGTCGTCCTGCTCATCGTTGTAGATCTCGGCCTCGGCCTCGGCCTCGCCGTCCTCGCCGTCCTCGCCGTCCTCACCGTCGTCGTACTCGTCGTAGTCGTCGTACTCGTCCAGTGGTTCGCTGTCGCCCTTGTCGTCCCTGTCGGTCGACAGGATGGACAGCGACGAGATCGAGGACATGCCAGAGATGGACGAGACGGACGACAGGCGCTTCGGCTTGGGTGCATTGTCTTCGTGGCCCACTGCCGGGATCGGGTTCTTGAGCGAGTCCAGGGCCAGCTTGAGATGCAGGCGCAGGGCCTCGTTCTCGGTCTGCAGGCTGCGGATCTTGCCCTCGGCCACGAGCGTCTTCTCCTCGGTCATGCGCTGCATGGCGGACACGCGGCTCTGGTACTCCTCGAGCCGCTCCTCCTGCTGCTGCGCGTCCTTTTCGCGCCGCCGCGAGTAGTCCGACACGGACAGCTGCAGCTGGCGAATCTCCTCGGCCATGGCCGTGATCTGGGCGTCGCGTTCGGCCGTCGACATGCTGTCCTGGTTGACAACTGCGCGCGTGCGGATGCGCTTGGCCTGGTCGGCGTACCGCAGCGTCGACAGCGTCTCGCCGTAGTCGCCCGGCGCGATGCACGCGATCATCGCCGTCTTGGAGTTGCCGCCCAGCGAGTCCTTGAGCAGCCAGGTCAGGATCGAGTCGCGGTAGGGCACCACCTGGTCGCTGCGCCTCTTGGCCGCCTGCCGCTTCTTCTTGCTCGGAACCGGATCCGCCAGGGCCGCGATCACTCGGCCCAGCGTCGTCAGCGACTTGTTGATGTTGCTGCCTTCGCGCAGCCGCTGGCCCGTCGCCTCGGTCGCCTTGGCCCGCTCGCTGCCGGCCAGGTCGACCAGCCGGATGCGCGAGCTGCGCTCCGTCGTCTCGTCTGTGTCCATGTCGTGGTGGATCTGCCGCAGCAGAATCGTGAAGACGGCGTGGCTGCGGCTCGACGTGTCGTTCATCCGGGTCGACGCTGTCGTCCGCGAGGCATCGCCCATCTGCATGTAGTGCAGGATTTCGTCCAGGCTGCGCACCGACACTTCCGTCAGGTCCTTCACATATGGCCCCTCCGTCGGCGACTCGCGGATCTTGAGGTAGTACGGCGGCTGGCTGGCCACCACCGGCACCAGCAGGTCGCGCACGTGTTCGTTGTACACCTCAAAATACGACACCCGCACGTTGTACGCAATGTTGGGCGTCTCTTCCTGTGCCGCCTCAATTCGCTGGAAGAGGTCCTCGCACGTCCGCGGGATCAGCCCCGGCTGTGTCGGCGTCCCCATCATCGTGTAGCTCTTGCCCGATCCCGTCTGCCCGTATGCAAAGATGCACGTGTGGTAGCCCTCAAAGTTGTGGTCTAGAAACTCTTCGCCCAGGCTGTTGTACACGTCCTCCTGCGTTGCGTAGTGCCCGTCCGCGCTGTCGTGGCTCCAGAACGAGTTGTCAAACGTAAACGACCGGTCCTCCACTCGTCGTGATGTCGCCTTGGCCCATCCTGCTGTCGAACTGTCCTCGCTACCGTCGCTGCTTGGGGGTGCCAGCAGCGTCGTCGCCTGCGTGATCGGGTCCATGCGGATCAGACACTCCGTCTTTTTTTCCCTCTCTGCATCAGTCAGCAGCCGAGCTCATTCCTTTTTTCAATCCAGACACCGCACTCACCCCTCGGCAGAAACGCCCGTACGCGCACAACCACTCTCACATTGCCCCCGGCGTCCAGTCGGGCGTGAGGCGGTAATGTGCCATCGCGAGCCCGCAGCGACGGCGTCGAGGCCGACGAGCTGACTGCCCGCGACGCCACCGTGTCGAGCTTCTTGCCGGCTGGCATCTTCGGGATCGAGGCTGCTCCAGGCATCAGTCGGGGTGCGGCAGACATTCCTATCAGCGTGTCCACGATGTCGTTGGATACTATGCGGAAGCGCAGCTTTCGTGACGAATGCATCGGACGCAGGCTGGGGCCTATATGTACGATGTCTGCTCGTCCACTAATCCACTTTTGCTGGTAGGGTGGGCTGTGTGGACTCCCCTGTCGTGCTCCTCTAGTCGACAACGAGAAAGACGACCCCATCCAAACTCCACTCTGCTTTATTGACATTCTGTTGCCAGGGCAAGCATCTGGCCTGATGATTGGCGGTGGCAGAAAAGCTGCCATCGATTGGCCGTCGTGGAGATCCACAGCGGACACCACGGCACTGCATCAGCGTTAAGCTGATGCGCTAACTTTTTGAGGGCTCTTATACGCCGTTTTCCAATCTCTTGCTGGCTCTGTCAAGGCGAGTTGAGACAGACGGCCCTTTTCCTGGAAGGAAGACACTGTTTGGTTGGAGGTTGGAGAAGCGGCACAGTTTCGATTTATGGCGCATGACGATGTCCGTATGTTTGGATAGTATCCTCGATTTCGGAAACTCTTATGAGGTCAACCTGAACGATGACGGCGATCAGATATCCAGATTGTGTCTCGGAAAGGCGAAATTCTGCATCGACCTGTCTATTTGTCCGTTTTGTTTTCCGATTTCCCCTTCACTCGCCAGATCAGTTCTTGTCCCACTCCTTGTATGCCTTCTGCTTCTGCCGTGTGTTCCAGCCCAGCTTGCCGCTAATGCTATTAACCCATTCCTCGCTCCGGCGACCGCGGGCCTGCACGGACGCAAAGGGGAAGCGGCTGGCGCTGATGGTGACATAGTCGCCCGGCTGCAGCTCGATGCGCTCGCGGCCGTCGAAGCTGGCCCATGAGCTGGTGCGCGCGCTATAGGGCACGCCGACCCGCAGCACAATCGTGTCGGGCAGGATGATGGGCCGGAACGAGAGCGAGTGCGCGCAGATGGCCGTCACCAGCATCACCGGGTTCTCGGGGTGGCACAGCGACCCGCCAGCAGCCAGGTTGTAGGCCGTCGAGCCCGTCGGCGTGGACACGCAGATGCCGTCGGCCAGGACGGAGGTGAAGTGCTCGTCGTCGCCAAAGATCTCGGTAAAGGACATGGCTACAACAAAGAAAACAGGTCAGAACGTCCCCACGGCACAAGGCTAAGCACATAACAGAAACATGGCTGTACTGAGATCCGAGAGGGCTTTCTCACTCGCGTTGGGTCCCCGGTCCACGACGACCTCGTTTAGGATCTCAAATGTGCCGTCGGGCCGGTGGGTGTGCTCGTCGTCCTTTTCCTCGCCGATCAGCTCCTCAACAAGGTCGCGTCGGGGCCAGGCAGCGTCGATGTTGTCGTGCTCGCCGATCCGCAGCTGACGCCGTGGCTGGCTGCGCATCACCGTGGCCTCGAAGCGCAGCCGCAGGCCGACGGTGACGCCATGCAGAAACGCCGTCGTCAACGTGCTCTGGTAGTCGTCAAAGTCGAACTTGGTCAGGAAGCCAAGGCTGCCGAGGGCAAAGCTCAACACCGGCGGCACGATCCGCTGGAAGAGCCAGCTGGCGTAGAGCACGGTGCCGTCACCGCCCAGCGTGATGACAAAGTCAAACGTGTGCGGCCGCGTGCGGCAGATGCTCTCGTCCCACCAGCGCAGGCGGCGCGTGAGCTCGTCGCCGCTGCCACCGGCAATGCCTGCTGCCGCGTAGGCTTTCCGCAGCTCGTCCAGCAGCCCGGCAGCGTCAAACTGCCGGCTTGTGCGCAGCGACCGCTCCACGTACACGGCGTAGCGCACCTCTCGCTCCGGGCTGAGCAGCCAGCGCGTCAGCTCGCGCGTCTTCGGCAGCAAGTCCTCGTCGTAGATCTTGGTCAGCACAAAGATGTTCTTGGCCTGGAAGCGCAGCCGCAAGCTGCCCAGACGGCGGCTCAGCTCGCGCACGCCCCACGCCATGTCGCTCAGCTGCCGCTTGGTCAGCAGCCGGCTGTGCATGTGCTCTTCGTCGTCACCATCGTCGTTGCTGTCGTTGCCGTCGTCGCCGTCTTCGCTCGGTCGCTCGGCTCTTGCTGCTGTCATCGCCGGGATCGACGTGGGCGTCGCCGGCAGCTGTGGCGTCGGTATCGGCGTCGTCGACGTTGACCCCGTCTGCACAATGCCGTCCCGCCACGCCTTCTCGTCCACCTGGCCCACGTCGCTGTCGCTGGCACCGCCATCTACAATCGTTCGTCGCCGCTCGCGCTGCAGCGACTGCTGCAGACGGCCCTTGCACTCGACCAGCCCATTGAGCCCCCGCTCGACGTCCACGCTCTCGTCTGCCACCGCGCTGAGCGCCGGGGATGCTGCTGCCACGGCTGCCGGCACCTGCTGGCTCTGATGGGCCGCACGGTCATGCTTCTGGTGCTGGTGCTGGTGATGACGGTCTCGAGCGGCGCTCTGGCCGCGCCGCTGGGCATCGATAAAGTGATGCACGATGCACTGCGCCTTGGCCTCCGGTCCAGCTCCGCCCACATGCCGCAGCCGAGGAAGCGTCGCCTCTGAGCCCACCATCGAGCTCTTGCGGCGGTATGGATTGCTCGCATCAAAGACCACCTCGAAGTTGGGCGACCGGTCTTCGTCACTGGCGCTCGAATGTCCCTCTGCCACCACATCCTGCACGTCTTGCGTGTCATGCGCCTCGCCGGCCGACGACTTAGCTGTCAATTCTTCCGGCATCGCGACGCTTCGACCCTCGTAATGTGCTGGTTTGGTAAGATGCCGAGCTGCTGACCTTATTTCCTATTTGATTTCTCTGCCCACCGCCACGAGCTGACCGATGACAACCCGAAACGGCAGGCGCCGACGTGCAAACGCCACAGTCTGGACATGTGACCGGTGCATGGCCGTTCGCTTATCTTATCGCCGCTCGCAAGCCTAGCCGGACCACCAGAGCCAATTTGGACTGACTCGTCGCAAACCTGTCCGAGACGTATTAGAGTCGCCTGGAATGAGGAGAAGAGGGGCGTTGTGTGGCCATGGCAGCTGAGGTGAGATCCTAACTGCCTCGGGCCTTTTTCTTTTCAGCTGGCGAGCACTTGCAAGCGGGTCCCACTCAGCCCAGTTGGCTTCCTTCTCGCCCGATCCGGCGACATGGCTTGCTCTTGCCAGAAAGGAGTATAGCAGACGGCCGCTAACGCTGGCCTGTGGGCCTGAGGCTGGTCGTTCATACCTTCAAAACCAATCGCCGCTGTGCTCGCTCAACGCTGCGTCTCACTCGGGAAGAGCGACCTGCTTGACCTGCCCTTCTTCCACGTAATCAGCAACTGTGTGCTCGTACTGCTACGCTTGGATCGTTGGCTACCCCCAAGTACTACCTATTCAGTTGACCGCCGTGCTCAGGTTTTTATTTCATCTGTCTTTCTCTAATTCCCTTCACCAGGATAATACACATTAAGATCCAACCCACTCGCTTCGTCTCACTCTGCCCGCATTTCCGTTCTGATGGCCACTTCACTGCCCTGCCTCAAGACAACTCTTTCTCAATCAGCATATAAATTCGTTGCCTATGTCTGGACAGTCTCCGGAAATTCCCTTTTCTTATGAATTGTCCGTAAAGAGATCATCCACGCCCTTGTCTCTCGGCCGATATGCCCCTCCCCCCCTCCCTCCCCCTCTTCCCTCCACCCACCAAATCCTATATCAATATCTGAGCGTGGACAGGACCATTCTCTTTCAGATTTGCCCTCCCCAATAGCCCAAGCGAACGGTGTCACTCCCATCTCTCAGCAGAATGGGAGTTAAAACTGACACGCACGCAAGGGGCAACTAAAGCTGCCCGGAAAAGGTCGGTCGACACACTATGGTATCGAGCTGCAAGCACAAGAGATCCGAGGTACATCCAATAAGGCAAAAAACAGACAAACAAAGTACAGACACGAGCACAGACATTTATAAAAACAGAATCAAACAAGCACCGTCCCATTTGCGCCAACCCAATTGCTGTGCTGGATGGTCCTCATGCTTCCGCCTTGATATATCCCGAATTAATATGAATCAAACGACAGCCAAGAAGATGAAAGGAAATAAGGGAACCGAAAAAAAGAACGCTTGCCGTGTAGAGGAGCACACCTAGAAGTTGGGGCTACCACACAACAATGGGATAATAATGTGCCGGAGAGCTGTTTCCATTCATGCGGCGCTCCATCGCAATACCTCCCATAATAACGCCGATTTTATCAACCACTCCACCGTGTCAACACACTTCTCACGTCGCCCCCCACGAGTAGTGGTTCATGGCGTCGAAGGAGCCTCTCGGGCCGCCATAGCCGTGCGGTTGTGGCAAAGCTTCGGTCTTGACGTTGTGGCCGGTCTTGTACTGGTCGGGGAACGAGTACGGTCGAGGATCGCCGTTTGCATACGCAGGCGTATTCGCCTCACCTGCTGTTGATGTCCAAGATGCTGACGGTGGGAAATAGTCCCGGGCAGGCGGCTGTGATGCCGACGAAGTTGGCGGGTTGGGGCTGTGGTTCGCTGTATCTTGCGCGCCATAAGCAGACTGGCTGTGCTGGTGCTGCTGATGCTGCTGGTGCTGAGGGTGCGGCTGTGGAGGTGGAAGGGGTTGTGATGGTGACTGGTGCTGTGATGGCGGCAATGGTCCCAGCTGCTGATGCGATCGTAATGACTGCTGCTGCGGCTGTTGTGGCGACTGTGACGGATGCTGATGCCCGTGCGCATGAGATGACTGGTGCTGCTGGTGTTGCGCCAAATCACCGCCTACGCCGACATACGACGGCGGACCATATCGGTACTCGTTGGATGTGTCGTTGGCGCCCATGGACCCCGAGCTATGCACAGAGTCGTGGTTTGTATGCCGCGGACTCTTCGTCGGCCGTGGGTTCGTGCTGACGTATCTCGGGACGCTGAGGTTGTTGTCGGCCGACGTTGGCAGCGAGAGCTGTGGTGGCGGTGCGGAAGACCCCTGCACATACGCATACTGTGTCCGGATGGCATTCGACTGCTGCCCGTCGCTTCCCACGAGAGACAGCTGCACCGACGGCATCGACGACTGCTGCATCGGCATCTCCTGTGGCTCTGCGGTGTATTGTGGTGAACCAGATACTGGCATTTTCTGGTACGGCTCGGCCGACATGGTCGTTGTAGGGTAGCTTCCGTTGCTGGTGGGAGGAAGCTGCATTTGTGAAGGATTCCAGGCCGGGTATGAGCTACACCGACTGTCAGCAAAACCGCTTCTCTCCATCGGCACCTGGCACCTAGCACCTCCAGAAAATGCTGCACTTACTTTGACCGCATCGATAGTGGACTGGGCGGCATTTTCGGCCCTGCAGAAAAGGTGAAAGAGGAGCGAGGCATCTCCATCGCCACCGGTCGGTTCTTATCGTGCGGTTTGACAGCGAGTGGCCCCGCAACGATTCCTAGCCCAGTTTCTACAAGAGCCTGTCCCCTTGATCCCGCACTCGACCCAAGCAGAGGAATCTCTTTCCTGGCCTGGAAGTTCCGTGGACTTCTGCCCCGGACAACAACAGGCGCTGTCGAAGACTCGGCCAGAACTACTTTGGATCCGTTGGCCAAGGTGCCGATGGCCTTCAAGTGCAGCACAAAGTGTTGCTGCAGCTCCTTCCGCCGTCCATTGTTTGCCGTCGCTCTAATATCGGGAAGGCCTGGTTAGCAATCTCATACTTCCTGCCTGTGGAGAAGGTGCAACTTACATCCGGAACTGCAGACGGCGCCATCCTATGGGATACACGGCATACTCGCCATCGCTTTCTGATCCATCGTCCTGGAACGGAATCAGAGGCAAGGGCGCAGGCTCCTGGTCGGGACTTTGGCTGATTTCTGGAGAGTTTGGTGGTGGCGTCTTCCACGGAATGACAATGAGGCGCACCGGGTGGCCGTCAACGGACTCAATGGCCGAAATTGTGAGCTCGGTAGTACTCACTGCCACGGGGTCGCCGCCATCGGTCACGACAGAGAGCAGGCCTCGTGGAGTGATGAGGGTCCCGCTGATCTGGAACAGATTGCGGCGGTAGCATGTCAGCTCCGGCTGCAACACGGTGCCATCGCTCGTGCTCGCGGGCATCTCAGAAAGGAAGAACATTCCATGGAGCTGAGCGTTCAGATCCAACTGCTGCACGCGACCGTGATGGTCGACAAGGGTGTGCTTGTCCGGGACTCTCTTGAAAGACAGCAGCTTGTGGCCCTGGTTGACGTTTAATTTCGAGCCATCATCCCGCATGTCCTGGACCATCTCCGTATACGGAGGTGGCGGCTGCTGCTGTTCAGTTTGTGAGTATGTCCGCTTAAGGTTGGGATAGCTGTGGTGCGCGGCCAGTGCCGAATGCGGTGCCCCGGTGGGAGCCGCAGGATGCGGTCTACCGTAGACGTCCGTCTCGTCTTGTGAGTAGCGAGCGTATGGGTACGAGTTGCCATCGGCCCTAGGCCGCGCCGAGTGCGGTGACGGTCCTTGATGGGCGCCGGCAGCATTGGCGAGCACTGGATCGAGGGTAGAAGGGTGGCTAAAGCGGCCAATGGGCATTTGCACCGGACTTCCATAGTTGGGCCAGAGACCGTTGTGTGCTGGCTCCTTCAGCTCTGCCATGGTGACTGTGTATGTTGCGGTGGACATGGGAGCATGCCACCGCCAAAGTTTGGTGAGAGGTTTACGCTGGGTGGTTGGTGCGAGAGACAGAGTCCAGAAGGCAAAGCAGATGACGGACAGAGATGGGAAGAAAGATTGAGAGAGGGAGAGAGACCGATGCTTAAATGCGGAGGGTTGTTAAGAGGGGAAATCGGCAGTGGGCAAAAATTAAGGTTGAAAAATCCCTAAATTGGAAGGGTGTCGCTGATTGCTGCAGACTGATCTCGAGAGAAAGGGGCCTCTGGTCCTCCCAACAGTGAGACAGTCGCAAGGTCGATGTCTAGACGAGAATCGGCAGGCGAGGCCGTGCAGGTTGAACTTGCAAAGATGAGACGACAAGCCACGGCCGGCTGTCAGCAAAGTCAACGGTGAGCAGAAACCGGTCGGCGATCCTCGCAAGTAGTAGCAAGCTGCGTTGGGTGTTGTTAATCAAGGACAGTCTCCTTGAAACAACGCTGCTTGCAAGCAAAAGAGAGGCTGGTTAAGTTGAAACGAGAACGAAGTCTGGAGGAAACGGTGTTGAAGGCTTCCTATCGCAGAAGGGCAAGGGGTGTACTTGTATGAAATGGAATGGTAGATGATGGAGGGGGGTGTTTTATGAAGGTCTCTTCGGCACTATCCTACAAGGTAGGGAGTGGGTTAGAGTGGTAGCGGTGGACCAAGAAAGCGACAGAGGGGGTAAAGACTAAAAGAGGAGGGCCGTTAAGAGAATACATGTATTACTCAAAGGCAGCCTGGGTCGAGTTATAGGTGGAGAGGGCCGTTTCTTCTCCGCCTTGCTGCTCTGACAAGGCCGGGAAGGGTGTGCTGCTGGTCTTGGAGTCTTCTGCACAGCGTTGCATACTAGCTTGCAGCCGTACAGGGAAAGAGATGGAGGCGACGGGAGATCTTGTTGGCAGGACCCTGAAGGCAAGCCGGCTCGTTATGGTATTATTATCTGATGGATGCGTCAAGCCAGTCCCGTTCTGGGCCAGTCGGCCGTTGATTCTGGTCGTGGCCTCGCCCAGAGCTGTGCCTTTATGGCTCGCAATGGCGGCCAACTACTGATTTGCCCGTCTTTTCTTCCCGGAAGTTTCTGGGAAGCGTATGTGAAGCAACATGAGAGGCGAGAGCCGGACAATGAGAGGGGTGTGGTCAAAGCAGGCAGGCAAGAGAAGGAGAGGATAATGGGCGGACGAAGAAGCTCGGCCCCCCCCAAGAGGTTAGTCTATCGGCGGTGGAGGCACAAGTCCTCGTACACAACAGGAGCTCGGTACCAAGGGCAACAAAGTCGGACAGCGCAGGCAGGAGGCAGCAAGGGGCCAGAGAGGGAGAGAGAAGAGGCCAGACGGCTTTGATTTCACGTCAAGATTGTGAAGGCGGAACCATACGACGAGCAACAGACAGCGTCGACGGACACGATTTCCCTCTATCTGCTCTCGTAGGGCGCAGAGTTTACTTCGGCAGCTGGGAACTTCCGCCGGTGGCGTCCAGCCGTTCTTGTTTCGAAATATTCCCTGTCAGATGGAGACGGAGGCTCGAGGGTCTGCAGTTGAGCTGGCAGGTCTGCCCTCTTTTTTTTCACATTTCGGAGGACATACTGAAATTCGATAAAGGTGTGGGCAGATGGCGTACAGAGATGGGTCAGTCGCCAACGGCGGGCCAGGAGGCTGCAGATTAGAAAAAAAAGTATGAAAAAAACAAGAGAGGAGTGGCGGACTTGGGTTGTGAGTGAGCTGTTGGTCGGAGCCCCCCCCGTCTTGGGGGAGAAAACAGCATGTCTGTTTCTTACCCCCGGCTCTTGTCTGCAGACACCATTCTGCAGGCCACACACCAATCCACACCACCCCCCAGGATCAGTGAGTATGAACCCTGTCAGCAAAGGACGATGCAAGTCCAGTCTTTCCCCTCCCCCCTTCTCCCACCCACCGCCTCCTCCGAGTTGTTCTGGTGCACTTCATACCCCTGTTCTGCCAAAGACGATCCGTGTTAGAGGTTGACAAGCGCCCAAAACTATGTCGGACTTATTGTGCTCTCAGGCACTACTGTCCCTGTTCTACTTAGTAGATGTGCTGAGGCGCCAAGGACGTGCTATACGTCTTGCCAAAGCTACAGCACAGGCATATTCTCCCAGACTGCGACGAGCACTGGCGCCTCAAGCGAGACGGCAGAAACCGTCAGTGAGAATAGCAAAAGAAAAAGGGGCCCAGCGGCTTCCGACCCTGGTCGCTGTTCTTCGACCCCCCTGGCCTCCCTCTCAATTTCCCTACCTGCTGCAAAGGACGGGGCAGGCCTCCTCTTGCCGGTACATCAGGTAGTATCTGTGTCTGGCGCGCGAACCATGCCGCTGCATCTCGTCCTGGTTTCCACACCCCCATCTTTTTCTCTGGCCGTCTGGCTTGTAGGCTCGTCCCATGCATTCGAGGTCTGTACTTGTACGAATACTCGTACTCGAAGAGCAAGTCCAGGGCTAGTTAGGGAGAGTCCCCCGGTGTTGGACCCGCAAATTCTAGAAGACCGTTGAGAAAGCAACGCCGATGAGAGGCTGGAAGGGGCATGGTGGATGGACAAGGGTGGCGCGGGCTGTCGGAGGTGTGTGCGAGAATGGGAGCAAGGCCTCGAAAAATGACAAAACAAAGCAAGCAACAGGAAAAAAGGGTGTTGGAGCTTTCGAGAGATTGGCAGCGGGGGCTAGGAAGGAAAGAGCACCAACTACCTTTCTGGAGGTGGAGCCTGCCGGCAGCGACCCCCTCCACGCAGTACGGAGCACGAGTAAGCTCGGTTGCAGAAGCCCATGTTCCGTGCAGAAGAGTGTGCTGTCTACAGAGGCTACGGGGGGAGCAGGTGGAGCCTGGCACCGTGTGTCCAGACGTGCGTGACGCACTGTGTTTAGTCGACGGGTCGGTGGTTCGATGTCTGGGGTGGATACTGCAAAGTACCTGAATCGGGCAAGGCGCCGTCACAAGTGCAAAATATACTTTGCAGATGGCTGCGCACGTTAATACACGTCGCCCAGGCTTGTGCGTGGAGGTGAAAGCTATCGTATGCAGGGCACTGCACGAATGCTCGTACGCGGTGCTGTCGCCGGGGCCGCCGGCACTGCCTTCTGTTTGTCTGGCTGCGGGTCCGGGCCTTGTCGACGACCAGTACTCGTATAAGCAAGATAGCAATCGAGCTGGTTGGTACCCGTATGTGGGATACTATGTATCTTACGGAGTATGGAGCAAGATACATACGAGCAAGCTCCGCTATTATGACATTGCGATATAAAGCAGAAGCGCGCGCAATGTTTGGTTTTATTATCGTATTATATGAGCACTGCGAGCATCGCAGCTGCTTTCGGCAAGGGCTCGCCGGCATTCTGCCTGCTTCTGGCGTTGCTTGAGTGAGGATGTGCTGGCAGATGGCGACAAGGAAGCAGAAAGTGAGAACAATCCAAAGCGGCTAGGCACGGCCGGCAAGCCAAGTGGGGACCATGCGAAGAGAAGGAATGGGAAAGAGAAACAGAGGCGATATGAGCAGCATGGAGTACGGAGTATTTCCTGCTCTTTCTCTCTCTCGGCCACGGCCGCCAAGAATCATGATGATTGATGTGCATGACCGACTCCCGGTGGAGAGCCTCCTCCTCTCCTCCGTATGGCGTCTTTGCCTTATCTCGATGCTCTGCTCCTCCCTTATCGAGGTAAGCGGTTGCGACTCGTGTACGGGTACGAAGCCTACGACGTAGGTGAACGACAGTCCCAATCAGAGGTAGCAGCCGCCTGAACCCATGTCATTTGTCACGCCCTGCGTCGCCTGCAGATAGCATGTGTCGTAGCTGCCTCTTCGAGACTCTGCGCGCCTGCATGTGTCTTGCATGCAGCGCATCCAGTTTTTTATTTTTATTTTTACAGCACATACTCGTATCTTACATAGTAGTATTGCTGTGGCAAACGCCGCTGGCCTATCGGACACCCTTGATCTTGACAGTCCCCAAGGCTGGTACACTCAATCAGCACTACCCCGTCCAGCCAGTGGCCGTCCGATGCTGCTCTCGACCTTTCAGCCGCTTGTGTGCGCATGTACGAAGAGGATACTCTGTGCGAGTACGAGTGCACGGGTTCTTCCGTCCTCATAACCCATCCACGTCGGTGCCAAATGCGGTCAAAACAGCTTTTGCGCACCAATATCAAGGCCCCTGGCCGGAGCACTTTACAAATAAACGGCATGTGGGCTATGAAACATTGCATGCACTATAGACATGGGACATATAATACCGCTTTTCGCAGCACAGCTTCAGGCATTGGGCTTGGTTGGCCCCTCACAACTGCAAACGATAATCCCGACAGGCCCATAATATCCACGGCGGGTCTGCCTTTGTGCACTGTCCAGGAGTGGCGCTAACGGCCTTTGCCTGTCCTCGTTTGCTCGCACCCTCACAGGGGAAGGCACGAACGGGCGAATTGCCCAATCCTGGCAGCCGCAACAATGCACTCAAAGGGTCAATAATCTGCACTTCGCTTCGCCAGCGCGATATTGGCATAACTTCTTCGGCTCTCATACCAGTGCAGCTATACATAGCAATGGTCATTTTACCCCACGGCGGATGTCCTCTTTTCTGACTGGCGCCGCCCATGTCTCACACATCGCCCATGCCGTGTTTCCCGTAAGCCGTCACTACCAGGTAGCACTACATTGTATCTGGCGACAGGTACGGAGTACAGAGCACCACCCACGCCCGTTGGCGTGTACGAGTACATGTACCGGCTGCTGGCGTCTGTGCGGTCATGTCTGGTCCGGACGGGATGGATGTATCTTACATACCATAGTTGTGTCCACCCGCATGGCCAAGTGCGCGAGTGGCTGGCGATATGCCCGGCTCCGGGCATTGAAGCAAGGAGGACCTTTATATCAAAAGGTACCGACGTGGAACTGGTCGCAGTTAGTCTTGTCTTACTCGTACATAGTAGGGTTCAAAATCCGTGGTTGGCGATCGATGACGC